CTGAAAACATCCATATTGAGCCTAGAGCTGCACAATATGAAAACATTGGATTACCTTGAGGGGTGAGCACCGCAGTAATGCAATGCCAATCTCGAGAGCAACGGTATCAGCAAGTCGGCTCTGAATGATAGCGGTCAATAGAGGCTCTACAAAGTGTGCCTTTGCCTTGAATCCTAGCTTGGCGATGTTTGCTGTGAACATGGTTTAGCCAAGGTACATGAAAAGCCGGTTCAGTCAAACGCACTTAATTGGACTAGAATCAATCGGTCCTCTTCATCTTCGCGTTCAGGGCCAGAAAAATGGCGCACAGCCCATTGCAGTCCACGTTCAGCTAATTCTGTCACAAGATCGGCCAACGGGGAAAATGATTGCAAGCGGGAGGCAATGCACATGCTTTCGAGGGCGAATTGGTCGACAGCAAGGCGTTGCATATTCTTCTGTAGCAGGCTGGCGAGCTGTTGTTTCCGAGTTACATCTGCCTTGGTCAAGATGCAGATGCAGCGGATGCACAACTGTCTCAGGTCATCAGGGCGGTGATGCTGAGGCAACATACGATCAAAGAGCGCGATCACAACGGTATCACGAAGTAAATTGATGGCGTCACCACCTAGGGAATCCAAGACAGCATGCACTGCTGGTAGCAGAGGCTCAAACGGAATGGTCGTCCAAGCTCCCGAGTTGAGCCACGCGACAAACTCCTTTGCGACACCGGATTGAGCATAGACTAGCCCGGACACAATGCGTGACGTAGATTCCGTCCAATTAGCCTTTTGAAACAGCCTCGAGACGAAATCAGCGGGCAGCAAGCCTAATTGTGAACTTCCAGAAGTTGGAGGGTATGGAGGTGACAAGGAAAATTCTAATATCTTTGCTCGTGGAGGCTGCCCGTCATGGCATGGCGGAAGATGTGAAGTCACGGCAACAGCGATCATTTCTTCAAGGACCTGGGAATCAGGCAACACCCGATATAACTTGAGGAGCTGCGAAATAGGAATCCTTGAACTGGCGCATGTGAAGGAACCCTTCAAAGTATCGAGGGCAAATTCCAGAACCTCCAGCACAGATGGTGTAAGGGCAGCATTATTAGCATCGCACGCCTGATGAATGATGTCCAGAAGATTGTTTGGGTCTGCATAACGTAGCCACAACTTGATGGAACGTCCCTGGAGAAATATTAGCAACGTAAATACTCGCCCATGGAGTCATCGTACCGTCTGCAGTGATCCTGACCGAATCGACGACTTAAAACACTCCGTCCAGTACGTACAAATCGGGGAAACCATGGTTCTATCACTATCACTGCCGGGGTCAAGAGAAACTCCGAGAAACGCATACAGAGCTGCTTGAACAATTAACGCAAGAGCGTAAAGCAGCACTGAGAACATTACCTTCTTGTACGGTGTCAGGAAGGTCTACAGACATACTCAGGCCATGGATAGATGGCACCCTCAATAGGACAAACTCCTTTAACCGAGCACCATCTTCCTTTGAGAGTTCACCAAGAGCCCTCTGCATAATCGCAGATAGCAAAAGCAATAAATCGCACACAAGAGATTCCTGTTCCATGATCGAGCAGATATCATGTCCAATGATGCAAACGGCATCCTCAATCTGAACCCGCGTCGGTGATCTGAGAAACAGACACCCCAGCATTGTGTCGCGACATTGCTTGTTCGCAATGTCAGCTTCAGAGCTTTGCGTGAACATCCAATCAAAGGAAAGCCTGTGTAAAGCATTCAATGACGCAGGAATCAGGGAAGACAGGTGACATACACTTGGAGGTGCTGCTCAGAGGAAGTCTTTAGATCACTGCCTTCCCACATCAACGAATTTGCGGGATGAAGGTTCTCGAATAGATCCTTGAGAGCAGGAGGATGAAAGCGTTCGACCACGACTGCAAGTCGGACGATATCCTGAGACTGAAGTGTGGGTTCTACGAAGCGCAACCAGTCAACGAGTTCGTATGCGTTGTGAATGCGTGCATTTGAGCTTTCAGCTAGAAAAATGCAGTCAATTTCCATCAAAATGAAACAAATATACGCTGCACACACGCAAAGGTACTCCCTCGATTTTCGTCAAGAAGTTTTCGACCTCTGGACTCGCACTAGGCTCCGAGTGTCTACGTGCCTCCTGAAAATGACTCAAGCACTTGTGCATGATCGACACTTCACGCCGGATCGCAGCGGTAACGCAAGCATACTGGGAGAACAAGTTCTCGGGCATCGCAGCATCATTCACTTTCCCAGAGAATATACGCAGAAATGTCAGGTCTCTCTGCTTGCTCGCCAGCTTGAACACGAGCCTTCTCACAAACCCAGCAATGGCAAGAGCATCTGATGGGGTGAGTAACTTTGCCGCTAGTTTCGCGGCAAATTGTTCAAGCACAGTCATAAGCAACGGACTCGGCACATCAACTGCCGGGTTCTCCGTGGGTAGAAGATCCTGAAGAGCCTCCAAGTATCGATACGGTGTTTTTATACATCGCTGCGCGCAGTCGTCCAGAAAGGTGGCAACACCATCAGATTCGTCGGTCAGGGCAGCGCCATCCGGGGCTTCGCAGCCCGTGCCTCGACAGGTTGTTGGGAGTGAATCGAGCCACATGTCCACCTCGTCTGGGTGTTCCTGGAAAAGGATGCTTTCAGCAAGCGTTTTCTTGAACAGCGAGCGCAGGGTGCTCCGGACTGCTCTTGTGAGGCTAGTGCAGAAAATCTTCAGAAGAGCATGAAGGTAAGTGTGAGAAGAGTTTGCTGTAACCGAAAGTTGGTTAGCACTCGAAGCCGACGCTAGACATCAAATCATACTGACCAACCTTCCCAGACCAAGTAAATTGGTCGCTCTCTTGCAATAATCGAAGTACATGCAGCTGCTTCAAGCCATGCAAACCATAAACATTCCCAGCTTCCCTTACGGCATTCTGAGACGCATCCACGAGACCCTGCAACAACTTCCCTACATCAAATCTCGCCTCTGCGACCATCTGAGGGAAACACAGGTGATACAACCAAAGCAATCTCTGAGCACTCTCTCCAAGTAAAGCCAGTTTTACCTCTTTGGCATCTACCTTCATTTGTGAGAAGGCCACCACTACCTGGAATTCTGGCACCCTTCTCCGAGCCTCTCGTTCAACCTCTCGATGCCGACGCGTCCACTGCCCACTTTCGTCTTCCTCGAGTGCAGATTCAACATCCTGGAAAGCACGAAAGACACAGGAGAGCTTGGTCAAGCACCTGGCTACCGCGAGCGCTGTACAATGTTGCACGAGGTGGGAAGTAGACTGCAGTCCTTTGGAGAAATGCACCTTGGTACTGACGGAAGGAAGGATGCTCTCAAGGATGGTTGAAAGCGGTGGCGGATCGGGTTGATATATATTGTTCCCGGGGATGAGGAATGATGAAACTGGTACAGGTTGGGAGATAACAAGGCCAAAAAACGCGATGTTAGCTATCCATTTCGACGATAGACGGGGTTCCAGTGTCAGCCCTACAGCAGGCCAGTATCTAGAATAGTGAACATCAATGAGGATCCTTCATCAACGACGCTGCGTACCCAGCGACCAACTCCGGACACGCTGCCAGAATTTTCAGCGCAAGTTCCTGCTGCCTGGCGTCCTCATTAACCTTGAGGCTCTTCAGTATGTTACTCAAGATCTTGTTATATATTTTCCCGCCCTTTTTCGGCTCATCGACAACATTAGCATCAGTATCACGAGGATACCATCCTCTGTCTCTGAAGCAAATGCCTAGTCCAGGTCGTGTACAAATAGCGAGGAGAAAATGATGCACAAGATCTGCCGGGATGTGGTCACCATCCGCATTTTCAGCGACTGCGCGCTCGTACAATTTTAGAAGCTATTCCAAACATTAATTCTTCGCCTGCTAGTTTCAAGTATCACTCACATGTCCAATAGTGATTTCAGAGAAAAGTCCAATTTTCATGGTCCGTTTCACTTTTGGATCAGACCACAGCCCAGTCCAGCACACTTCAAGGACTTTCCGAATGACCAGATATGAATCTTGAGAAAGGCCTTTGAAGATAGATAGGAATATGTCTCTCTGTTGCTCAAGGAAAGTCGTTTTCACCATCGAGGGAGTTTCGGGGTCGATGAATGAGAGAATAAAAAAGACGTAATAAGTGCGGATATCTGATTGACAAAATTCAGATAGGTCAAAGTCCACAGATACTCGTAGAGACATACCAGGTCTCTCAAGCACATCCTCTGCGTCTCCGTTCCCTCTCCTCCTCATATGCGATACTTTTCCCAACGTCTAAAGGTTTTTAAATTTCGAATCTGTCATCGTATGGAAGTCGACGCACCTTCATGTCCCACGGAAACGCTTCGCAAAGTGTCTTCCGTTCCCTTCCACCTCCAAAGTGAGAAATAGTGTTCAACAGTTTCATTGAAACGAGAATAAGCTCGTTGGAACCAGAGATATAAGATGTGATTTTGCGCATCCATTTTGGCGACAGGAGCGTTTTGATGATTGGAATGCCGTGTGAGTGATATGTGAAATGAGAGGACAGCAGAGTAAGGACCGATGACAGTAGAGACACGAGGAGTGATAGACTGGACGACTAGTGCATTTGCAACGTCAAAACTTGAACAACGAGAGAAAGAATTAAGAATGCTCGCACTTGATTTGTACTCTCCCATATCTCAAAAATATCATGAGCACCTGGCGAACTCTCCATCCACTGTACGACAAGCGAAAGTCTGTCATCTTGGAGAGCGACGCTCTCTCCTGACTTGATAGACAGAGTCGAACGCAATGCAGACAGGGCTACACAACTGGGTGAATACTTTTTGCAGTAATGATCGTAAGCTTATGCACCTTCTATTTGAGTATTCTGATCTTGGTTCTGCAGAGCCCGCCTGACATCGATCGCATTGGAGAATTTATACGCCCTCCGCGAGGTTTGGTCAAGTTTTGCGCGTTTATGAGGGCGCTCCGATTTGCTTTGAGGCATGCTTCGCTCGTTGGGTCAATAGCTCGATTCCATAAATAAGGAGACCCAATAAGACGTGCCAAATCTTTGAATTTTACTTAAAATCACGTGATTATAACAATTCAGAGTTTTCTATGTCCTTGCATTGACTGATGGGTCTGTTTCTTAACCATCTTTCTAACCCTCGAGGCCGACGATGGCAACGACCCTCTCTGAACTCCTATTTTTCCTCTCTGCTTTCGCTTTATCACTGGTCGTGACTCTGGAGAAGGCTCACAGTCGCACCACATCTCCTCCTTCGCGCCTAACAGAATGGGGCCTACTGCCGCTTTCCAGTCCCCGCCCTCCCTTTTACCCCCCGCAGCTTTCCTAAAAAGACTTAAGATCGTCACCTTTCTTAACAGTCTCACCAGTGGTGCGAGCGAAACTTCTTGGAACGGTGGGAGAAGCGTGGTTCCTATGAGCATGTCGACAGATGGGATGGTAGATGTAGGCAATCGCTTGCGACCTGCATGGGTTGCCTCAGAAGCAGCTGGCTCTCCGAGAGTAAGGAGGTGCGTGACTGTTTCAGGGCCAACGCAGGCGGGACCACATAATTTCACCACAGGTTCTTCATGTTGAATCCTCCACTCCAGCACGTCAATGTCTGGAGGCTCCCGAGGTCTCATGTGCGTGACGAAATCTGTGAAGCGGTACTGGCTAGCCCTGCAGACGTGTCCCAGCTCCTGCTTGATGCGTAACACAAGACCAGTGATGACGATCAAATAGGTTTGTAAGTTAGGCTGGAACCCAAAATAGTCGAATGCGCGGAGCGTCATGAGAGTAGCGGGGTAATCCTCGAGAGCCATAAATGTCCGCAGTGCGAGGTGTAGGCATGAAACTGAGATTATGTTAGAATGTGCCAGGGGTTCATTCCCAGTGTGCAAAAGATGACACTGGACCATATCCCGAAACAACTGGCGTGGAGGGACAGCGTTGTCCGGGCGCTTGTGTTTCCGCGAGCGTTTTTGACCCCAAAATTTTGATACGTTGAATAGCTTCTTGAAAGTGAGGTCGCTGGGTAAGAGGGAAGCAGAACGGTTGGCCATGATTGCGTGATAAAGCCCAAAGGCCTCGATGTATTCTCGACGAGCGATGCTGGAGCGGATAAGAGTGTTGAAAACTGATATATCGGGCGTGACACCCTCTGACCGCATGCGGTACAGCATGGCCTTAACGGCCTCAGAGTTTTCGGGTTGAATTTCCTGCAACGTCTCCAGTATGCCCGCATAAGGAGCTGCATCAGGGGCAACCCCCTGCTCCATGCAGTCGCTCTCATACTTCTTGAGCCAACGTTCTGCAACGCTCATTTTCCCCACACGCATACACGACGTTACCATGACGCTAACCATATTGCCAGACGCAGATAGATTAACGTTGCTGATAGGGACGGAAGCATGGGCCGTGTCATCTGCGAGTTCGGTCATAGCTATCACTTGCAAGCTAATGTCACGACTGGGAAAGAACTGCTCGTGGAGCATTCTCTCGTAGACCGAGATAGCGAGCTTGAAAAGGTTCCTTTCAAGCAAGAAACGGATGAGTCGGTTGAACATAGTCGAGCGGTAGACATTGTTTAATTTTGCCACGGAAATCCTGTCATGAATATAGGACTCTACATCATCGGGACCGTTTGCAAGAATGCGACTATCTATAGAGCGCAGCAGACCATTGACGCGGGATCGAAGCACGCGTCGAGTGGGTTCCTGGATGTTGCTAGAATTACTGCCTCGTGTTTTATTGTGTGAGCTTGCCTGGCCTTGAGGGCTGGAATTGAGAGAGTGTAAGGTAGAACAAAAAAATGAAGTGAGTTTTTGCGGGGCAAAACGTAGCTTCAAGGCGCGAGGAAAGCTAGATTGAAGCATGAGGAAGCTACATCCTGTGACATACATCAACAAAAGAGCCGCAGCCCTATGACCGGTTACTGCCTTGTATGGCTTACAAACCCCGAAGTTCGGGGTGTTCTCGGACGTCGTCGGCGGTCGATGCATCAGCTTATGTTTAAATTTTATATGGTGAATTCAAAAGTTCTCGATAGCGGTCTGCGTGATAGGTTTGTCTAGATTTATGACATTGCTCCCTTATCCCTTCGGCAATGGGCCTATGACCGGTTAGCGCTTGAAGAAGTATATTTGTCCTCTCCTTTCTCCCACCTACATCTTGCACCCCCACTTCGCTCGCACACTGTGATGAGTGACCATAGGCCAGATCCTCCTCCAGAAACTTATGAAACAACCGTGCGTGAAAGCTCGGTGTGTAGTCTAAAGGCTTACTTACTGTGGATGAGTGCTTATACAATTAATCGTTGCTCCTGGCGCTGTCTTCGTCCAGAGCCAATCCTGTAGTCGAGTCAAGCAAGCTACTCGGAAATTGGCAAAAGGGATCACCAAGAAACTTTCTGTAAGCAAACTGCTGGATTTTCTGATTCTGACTGACATCGTGCAGAAACGTTTCAAATGTTCCCGCAAGCGTATTCCTGCAACTCAGGATGTCGAACATCAAGTTCCTTTATCCAGTGATAACATCCAGGTAGGTGCTTGAAATCGAATTCCCAGTTCAGTTTTTCAGAGGCGCCCAGGACGCGTCACTTCCGCATCCTTCCACCGACGACAAGCATCCCACCACATCTGAAAATACTACTGGATGTGTCAACCAAGGGACATCCGGACAATCTGCTTATAAGGTACTTGCATCCAATTTTGTGGTTTTTATGTCTAAATTTTGTTGGTTGCGCAGGCTCTTGACGTCACCTCTAGCGTAGAGGAAACCTCTGGTCCCAAATCAGTTGATGCCGAACTTCAGGGTGCCCATGAGGCTTTAGAAAACATTAAAACACTCTGGAGACCTGCGCAGCCTGTGATGTCCGCTGTCAACGATGCCCCAGCAGGTCTCACTGCCGTAGATAATTTCCAGACCAATTACCTCCAGCCCCTGAAAATCTTCGACGCCGCCATTGACAAGATTGCAAATGTATGGGCTGCTCTTCTTAGTTGGTAGTGAACTAATCAAGTCATAGGTGCATCCATACGCAAAAATGGCATTGGGCGTACTTTCTGCTGCAGCCAAAGTACGCTCTATGTTTCTCGGAGTTCTACTTCTCGCTCAGAAGTCATGGTACCATATAGATTATTCTTGCTCAGGCGGAGCGCGACAAATCAGTAGATTGCCTTCTTCAAAAACTAGATGAAGTTTATGGTTTCATTACCAAAGACGATAATCTTTCCAAGGTTGAACCAATGCGTGATGTCATCGGAAAGATTGCTCAGCAGACTCTGGAGTGTGCCCGTTTCATCAGGGAATACTCGAAGACGAAGAGCTTCTGTGAGTCATTGGATCATTGCATTCGCACACCAGTCTTATACTTACTATGATAATAGGGAAGAGACTCGGTAAAAACATCGTCGCGGAAACAAACGATATCACCGCACAGTACATCAATGCCTTGGATGGACTTATGCAGCAATTTCGGGATCAAACTCATCGGGATGTAGCTATCTTTGTCCAGTTTGCGGGTAAGGATTCATACATGTCTCTGACTTTAAATATACTCATACCCTTAAAGGTGAAACACTTGGTCTCAGCGGCATGACTTATGCAGCGGGCGCAGGACTAAATACTGCGAAGCAATGATTGTCAGGCACTCGTACGGACATTCTCTCCCAAATCACCGAATGGATCAACAGCAGCGGAGACTCTGTTTCGCGTGTGATGTGGCTATCTGGCCCTGCAGGCAAAGGAAAGTCAGCCATCGCCCACACTATTGCCAACTGGTTCGAGGAAACGGGAGGCCTTGGTTCATGTTTTTGTTTCGATAGACACAGAGAAGCAGACCGTCGCCATGAAAAGATTTTCTCCACCATCGCGCGCGATCTTGCCGATCGTGATCCAGGGATGAAACGAGCGTTAGCGGATGCAGTCAAGAATGCAAACTCTCTCAAGAATACGTCGGACATTATCCAGCAGTGGCGGAAGCTTCTCATGGAACCGCTGAAGAAGTTCTCTGGGTCAAGTGTAGGGCCTGTCTTAATTGTGATCGAAGCGCTGGATGAGAGCGGCGGAGTGGAGACGCGGCGTAACCTCCTTCGCATACTTACCGGTAGACTTCAGGACAATGGACTTCCCCAAATCACCGAACTCCCTTCCAACTTTCGGATTCTCGTCACCTCTCGCCCACTTCATGATATCGAAAAGGAGTTTGAAGGTGCCGATCATATTCTACGGTTGTCCATGGACAAGATTCCAGCAGACGTAGCGGAGTGCGACATCCGTGCTTTTGTATCTAACAAGCTACAAGGCCTGCCGCGTTTCGGGCGCAAGGAGTTTGCAAGCCTCGCTGCGAAAGCCGATGGACTTTTCGAGTGGGCACGTCTTGCATGCGAATACGTTAGGGAAGACCTTCCTGGCTTATCCTCAATGGACTGTTTCAATGCCGTCATGAACCACAATCCTGGGGAGCGAAAAGACTTGTTGTATGATATGTATCGGCTCATCTTGACAGAAATCATGCCAAAGGATAAGTACACAATGGTCCATTACGAGCAAGCAGTAGCGAAGTTTCGTTCCGTGATGGGCCAAATACTTGCCACAGCCGAGCCCCTCTCCTTGTCTTCACTGAATGCTATGCGGCAGCATTTCCCGGAGGACCGTGACCATTACGAAGTAGATGTAGTGATAAAACGCATGGGATCCCTCCTCAGCGGTACCACCGACTCATATACCCCCATCCGACCCCTGCATGCAACATTTCAAGAATTCCTGATGGACGAATCATCCAGCGGAGACTTCTTCGTCAAGAGAACGAAGGGGCAAGAACGCGACCTTGCATTTGCGTCACTGCGAGTGATGGAAAATGGCCTTCGCTTCAATATCTGTGGTTTGAAGTCGTCCTACCTCCCTAATTCTCAAGACACGGAGCTACCTCACCGAGTCAAAACATCCATTCCCCCACATCTCTCCTATTCCTGTCGATATTGGGCCACGCATGTCCAAAAAACAGACTTTGACGATAAGCTCGCAAAGGAAATAAAATCACTCTTAGACGACGAGCGACAGATGTTCTGGATTGAAGCACTCGGAATTCTCAATGGGTGCAATTATTATGCTTCCACTAGTTGCCAAGTGGCTGAAGGTGAGAACATGCCTACGAGACAGTGTCGGATGAACAGCTCATAAATAGATACAGGGCCATTCTGGATACGAAGATCTGTGTTTCATCACGATGGATGTACAAAGATTCATTCAAGTGTTCGGCGCTATGATTTTGCACAGCACACCACATCTGTATTTATCAGCGCTCCCGTTCTCGCCCGTCAACTCCACCATGGCTAGCAAATTTACAGCAAGGTTTCCAAATACTATCCGTCTAGCATCTGGCCGTGATTTGAACTGGACGGTTGTTCAGGACCATCATCAATGGGCACACTGGAGAGGTTTTCTCAGTCTCGTTCTCACCGGATGGTACTCGCATCGCATCTGGTTCATCGGATAAGACTGTGCGGATGTGGGATGCAGCGACAGGACAGCTATTGGGTGAGCCCTTGAAGGGGCACACTGGAAAGGTTTACTCAGTCTCATTCTCACCGGATAGCTCTCGTATTGCGTCTTGTTCATTGGATAAGACTGTGCGGATGTGGGATGCGGCTACAGGACAGTCATTGGGTGAGCCTCTGAAGGGGCACACTGGAGAGGTTTCGTCAGTCTCGTTCTCACCGGATGGTACTCGCATTGCGTCTTGTTCATCGGATAAGACTGTGCGGATGTGGAATGCGGCGACGGGAGAGCCATTGGGTGAGCCCTTGAAGGGGCACACTGGAGGGGTTTTTTCAGTCTCATTCTCGCCGGGTGGTACTTGCATTGCGTCTGCTTCAGCAGATCATGCTGTGCGGATGTGGGATGCTGCAACAGGTCAGCCATTGGGTGAGCCCTTGAAAGGGCACACTGGATCGGTTCGGTCAATATCGTTCTCACCGGATGGTGCTCGCATTGTGTCTGGTTCAATGGATGAAACTGTGCGGATGTGGGATGCAGCGACGGGTCAGCCATTGGGTGAGCCCTTGAAGGGGCACACTAGCAAGGTTTTATCAGTCTCGTTCTCGCCGGATGGTACTCGCATCGTGTCTAGTTCATGGGATAACACTGCACGGATATGGGATGCAGCAACGGGTCAGCCATTGGGTGAGCCATTGAAGGGGCACGCTGGATGGGTTTTCTCCGTCTCTTTCTCACCGGATGGTACTCGCATCGCATCTGGTTCGGACGATAAGACTGTGCAGATGTGGGATGCAGCGACAGGTCAGCTATTGGGTGAGCCCTTGAAGGGGCATACTGGAGGGGTTTTCTCAGTCTCGTTCTCACCAGATGGTACTTGCAATCGCGTCTGGTTCGGAGGATAATACTATGCGGCTATGGGACGTAGTCAAAGTGCAGCTATTCGCCCAGCCAAGAGATCCAGATTCTTTCGCCTCTCCGTTGCATCAAAGCACCGCATGTCCCACCCAAGAAGGCCGTGTCATACCAACCAACACTGTAACAATCGCCTCGTTTCCTTCTCGTCCAACTTGAAACACGCTTTGCCCAACCCCTCGGACTTGCTCGAACCCCCCTCCCATGATTCTGATTCAACCCCTTTCTTGCTGCAAGCTGATGGATGGATGACGGGACCCAATCATCGGCTCCTTTTCTGGGTACCTCCCACTTCCCGACATGCATTTTATACTCCTTGGACTTCATTGGTGATACCCACAGGATATCCTGAGCTTGATTTGAGCCGCATGGCCCATGGAACACACTGGTCGAGTTGCCGAGATGCGTGAGTTCTGAGTCTTTACCGTCCCTTCTCAGTTGATAACATCAATCCTGCTAGCTCCACGTAAAGATTTTATTGCAGATATGATAGAACTTAACCATTCCTCCAAAATAGCCGAGCTACGATCCAGAATGGATTGGAACTGGTTCGTCTGAATCATCATTCGCGCCAGGGCCCTACGTCGCTAGGGTCTAACCTACACCCTAACCACGTGAATGCGAGCTAGCAGATGCTACTGGGTGTGAGAAGAGGGTCTTGGTAGAGTTGATTCCAGCTTATCGGCGGTCCACGAATGGAGGAACAAGTCAAGTGACGACCCTAGGCGCAGACGAGGCAAAACACGAGTCAAATAGAATAGATGGAAGGCCCGTAGCGTAGAAGCTGGTACGGATTGTCGCAGGTAGAATCAGTAACATTGAGAGGATGCGTTCTTAATGTGTCAGGATTCAAGGTTCCGACGTGTGGATTGAAGCTTTGATGTGCAGTACGAAAATTTGACAGTCCGCTGCCAGCTGGACGTTTACCATCAACGGAGGCATCACAAGGAGTACCTATACGCCAACTTCGATTGGCTTCGAGGCACTGCTGATAGAGCTAGGACATGACGGATATGTGTTGTTCGGCATTGAATATATCCCGGCTTGACCGCCATCAATGTCCTCTTACGCATATATGATATCGTACACTAAACATTCTCTGTATGATTTATGTCAAATTTATGCCTTGACCGACTCAACTCAATCTCTCACAACGCTTTTAGTATTTATTCCAAGAGGACGACTATTTGTTTTCATTCGTCCATGATCTGTCTATCCTGCCAGGGTCAAACTCTTTATAAGCACTGGATTTCGGTGCTGCCTGATGAGTGGGAATGCATTCGATGTTCTCCTCACACAATTCAGACACTCGACTATCGCGTTCATTGCAAATTGTACCTTGCCACACGAGGTGTCATGCCAGATCAGTGTCGTGCAACCCACTAATCATTGGTGTACCCTAGGAGCCATAACCTCTCGCACCGAGGCACTAAGCGGAAAATACGAATTGAAGTAGGAATTGGGTGTACATATCGTGTAGGTATACAGTCTCGAAGTCCGGAAAATCAAAGTTCTTAAGAATAGCTTGCAGGGAGTCATGACTAGATGCAAAGTCGTCAGATCGTCTCGAGAATACTTTAATTAACAAGGTGGGAGGACGCACGGAGTTGATCATATGCCAATATGCACGAACAATATACGCTGGTTCAAGGGGATCTCCTTGTCACGAGCCAACGACTGGACCGCTCGGTGCAGCGCCCAGGCAGCTCGTTTGCAATTCATTTTGCCATCCCCGCACAAATTTTTGTAGAATGCCTTGACCAAGCGCTCCACAGTACTATCATTGACCTTCCACAATGTCCCAATGACGCTCTTAACCCCGGCGAATTGCAGGCCGGCCGCTAGGTGTATCACTTCGTCGGGCGTACTAAAGTCACCGACTGCAGTTTCACAGGCAGAAAGAAATGCAAATTGATGCCGAGATAGATCTGTTTGTGCGATATCAAGGAGTGAAAGCGGTTCGTCGCGCATAAGAAAGGCCGATTCAAAGGGTTTGTCAAGTTTCTGTGTGCCGTGGCACGCGAGATGAAGCCAAGTATTGTCTCGCAATGCACACAACGCTCTTGATTTCGTGGCATCAACGCTGGTTATCTTGGAGAAGGAAACAGTTGGGAGAGGGGGCAAAAGACTCCGCACCAATTCCAGTTCAGGCTCCACACCATCCAAAGTGGATAAGGCACCAGCTGGGCAATCCTGACCAATGGCAACGAAGGGCACCGGTGAGGACCTGTCATGACTTCCACGAGCCTTCATCAGCGCGGTAAGCGATGGCGTATATGAAGAGATGTACTGCTGCGAAAGGGATGTTCCATGTTCGGTGTACTCGCTAGCAGCATGCAACGGCAAGAAATTGAAGAGAGACGTCGGGCACCACCATATCCGGGAACCTCGTGGTGCAAATAGGTTGAGCTTCTCGACCACTGGGCCGACAACGTGCTCCCACAACTGTCTCAAAGCTTTGATGAGCGCTATCGGTTTCTCTTCAGGACCGGCTTGTTTGTCAACTGCCTCTCGGAGTGCGACTACTAATTTGGCGAGTTTCCAGAAATTGGTAGGGAGTTGAATGCTAGCGGGAGGTTGCTGGTGTGGGATAATGATGGCATCGCAAGAGGATCTGCTTGCGATGAGCACAATGATGGGCCCATCACGAGCTGCGTCTTGCAGATCAGAGAACACAGGGGGAAGTAGAAAACGAGAAAAGCCCTCAATCTTCCTGATCTGTTCTACAGTTCCATTCCACCCCCCCACTAGACGTCTGTACTGGGTCGCTTCAGCTTCCACATTGACTTTTGTGATGTTATCTGGATGGCTCGCAGGAGGTTTATCAAGAAGGGAGCTGAGATCTCTGAATCTCTTTATCAGAGCCATTGCGTGATCCCCGCGAGTCTGCAGGATGTCAAGATGCGTGCGGAGTCGTGTCATCTGGGTCCAGATAATGGTCCTGCCTTGTTCCAACAGCTCAACAGCGCGACCCACGTCACCACTACGAAGAGCACACGATGCAGCATCTGCGGCCAGTGTCCTTGGGAATTCCTTCATGGCATTATGACGAGACGATACAGAGGCCGTCACAGACACGTAGGCGTCCAGGAGTTGCATAGAAGTCGCATAAGCATCGAGTTGAGTACTATGTGAATGTTCACTAGCATGGTGCACCCAGCTTAGGCTTGCCTGCAGGCGGGATAGCAAGCCTCCGGAGACAACATTTGCCGCTGTCTTGAGATGATGCATGGTGGCATCCAAACTATCAGTATTTTTGCCCGCGCCGGTGCAGGTAAGTCCTGATAGATGGAATGATAGATAGACCTCAGCTAGCGACCTATGGACTAGTATTTGACGAGGATCATATTGTGTCAGCAAAGTCAATGCAAATCGTAGATTTTCTCGTGATTCGTCGAGGTCTTTACTATCGTGTTGATGCTTAAAGCGGATGGATAGTCCATTCGCGAGGTTGTTTAATGACACGAACCTATCTGTGTGACCAACCGGGAACAAAGCCAGCGCTTCCCTCTGAAGTGTGATAGCTTCATCCAAGTCTTCGCTGTTCCATCGGTGGTTGAAACGGGAGAGAAGTTGAGCCGCGAGGTTGTTCAAGGACCCAGACCGATCTGTGTGACCGACCGGGAGCAAAGCCAGCGCTTCCCTCTGAAGTGGGATAGCCTCATCCAAGTCTTCGTCGTTCCCTCGGTGGCGAAAGCGGGAGAAAAGTTGACCTGCGAGGTTGTTTAATGGCATGGATCGATGTGTGTGACCGATCGGGCGCAAAGCTAGTGCTTCCCTGTAAAGTGCGATAGCCTCATCCAAGTCTTCGTCCTTGCCTCGGTGGTCAAAGCGGGAGGCGAGTTGACTCGCGAGGTTATTCAAGGACCCGGACCGATCTGTGTGACCGACCAGGCGCAAAGCCAGCGATTCCCTCTGAAGTGTGATAGCCTCATCCAAGTCTTCGTCGTTCCCTCGGTGGTGAAAGCGGGATAAAAGTTGAGCTGCGAGGTTGTTTAATGACGCGGACCGATCTGTGTGACCGATCAGGCGCAAAGCCAGCGATTCCCTCTGAAGTGCGATAGCCTCATCCAAGTCTTCGTCGTTTCCTCGGTGGCGGAAGCGGTAGTAGAGTTGAGCCGCGAGGTTGTTTAAGGACCCAGGCCGACATGTGTGACCGACCTGGCGCAAAGCCAGCGCTTCCCTCTGGAGTGTGATGGCTTCATCCAAGTCTTTGTTGTTCCCTCTGTGGTCGAAGCAGGAGACAAGTTGAGCCGCGAGGTTGTTTAAGAACCCAGGCTGATCTGTGTGGCCAACCGGGAGCAAAGCCAACGCTTCCCTATAAAGTGCGATAGACTTATCCAGGTCTTCCTCATTCCCTCGGTGACGAAAGCGGGAGGAGAGTTCATCCGCGAGGTCGTGTAATGACGCAGACCGACTGGTGTGACCGACCGGGCGCAAAGCCAGCGCTTCCCTCTGAAGTGCGATGGCCTCATCTAAGTCTTCATCGTTCCCTCGGTGGTGAAAGCGGGAGAAGAGTTCACCCGCGAGGCTGTTTAATGACATGGACCGATGTGGGTGACCGACCGGGCACAAAGCCAGCGCTTCCATCTGAAGTGTGATAGCCTCATCCAAGTCTTCGTCGTTACCTCGGTGGCGAAAGCAGGAGGAGAGTGCAATCGCGAGGTTGATTAATGACGCAGACCGATCTGTGTGACCGAATGGGCACAAATCCAGTGCTTTCCTCTGAAGTGCGATAGCCTCATCCAAGTCTCCATCGTTGCCTCGGTGGTCAAAGCGGGAGGAGAGTTGATACGCGAGGTTGATTAATGACGTAGACCGATTTGTGTGACCGACCGGGTGCAAAGCCAACGATTCCCTCTGAAGTGCGATAGCCTCATCCAAGTCTTTGTCCTTACCTCGACGCTCGAAGCGAGTTACCAGCATTAGAGCCAGATTATTGAGAAATCGACCTCGGTAAGCATGCCCGGTGTTGTAGTATCCCAGTGCATCATAATAAAGGGATATTACTTCATCCAAGGCACCAGGTTCATCGTTATGCAAACACCATTCTGTTCGAGCAGTAAGTTGATTCAGCGATGGTAGAAGTATGGATGTAGTGGGTCTCTCCTCCCCAAGATAATTTGCATCAATCCCTCCATCAGCATGCGAAACGCATGTTTCGATTGCAATCAAAGCTGCTCTGTGAATGTGGCTGTTGGCGTGGCAGACATCAAGGACTTCGCTCAGCAATTGTTCAGCTGCATCACCATCCGTTTGAAATCCCCGTTTTGTGAAGCGCGAGAGCAGAGCAATGGCAAGATGGAGCTGGGTGACGGTTCGGTCCGGATGATCAGCAGGACGCAAGTCAAGGGCGTCTTGAAAAAGAGAGATAGGGATGTCGAGGTCGAAGTATCTTCCGTCAGCTTGGCAGCTAATAAACTTTGCAGTGGCTAGATTGAACAGTGCTGCAGGGCGGTAGGGATGGTCCGTAGGGCAGAGATCCGAGGCACTTTGGAAGTGGGTTACGGATTGGTCGAGATCCCTGCTGTTCTGTGTCTTGCGGTATCGTGCAAGAAGACGATGTCCGGCATCTGTCTTTAGTGCTAACCCATCCATATCGCGAGATGTAGGCTACACGTTACAGCTCTCAGCATAAGAATGCCAGACTGCGTTGATCACTCACGGTAGTGACGGGGTAAATTACTGCGTCATCGTTTTGATCAGAAAATTGCTGCTCCACTGTCATGAACAGTGAAGTACAAGCGGATACGACTTCCTCTTGCTTTGGCTGAAAGATTATGGCTGTGATGCTGGTTAGCATCTGTCAGGCGTCATTTTTAATAGACGATACTGACGATGCGATTTTTCGCTGCGATCCAGTAATTCTCCGACAGAGATCTCGAATGTGCGGAGGAGTTCTCCGTGACAGAGCATGGGACCCAACTCAAATGAGGCATACACGCTGACCCGAACTTTAGAAGATGATTCGCACGGCCTAGAGTCTTTCTCAATACCTGCAGGACAGACGAAAATAAGGACGACTTACAGGCGAATGCGCTCGTGCCATTCGACGACGGCCTGGTTCACGTCTACAGATTTATTGCTGGTCTGGTATTCAGCGCCATCAGCCTTGACCACCGCATGGAAACCAGCGGGGATCCGTCGGAGACCAAGGGTAAGATCAGTTGCGCGAATGCCTTGAGGGAAATGGTCAATGCGAGCTGAGCGAAGATAGATATCACATGCCAGTAATGATGACTTGTTGCACTCCACCGAGGCGTATCTCTCCCGGTTCGTGGGTATGTTCTGGGTAGTTTAGCTCCTCACTAAACAATATGCAGATTGTCAGGCATTTAGAAAATCGGTGCTTCATTTGCTTACTCCTTGTTTTGCCTGAAAACACAAAATTAAGTGCATACATGTGGTATACAACACAATGACTTACGATCGTGGACGCTCTGAACTCTTCGTCTTGTTGTCATCATCATTGCCCAATGACTTGCGCTTGCGTTTTCTCCCTTTCAAGGGCTCGGTACTGGAATTCTCTACTAGAGGAGTTGGGGAAGTCATCTGTGATGACGCTGAAGGAAAGTCTGGATCAGAGTCTGATTCTGATGAGCTTGAAGGCTCAAAGGTGACAGGTCGACGACGGGCCATCAGGAAAAATTCAAACTAACACTTGAGAATAAGATGTATGCTAGAGGTTGGGAAAGACTGCAGTACCTGTACAGTAAAGTCCTGAAGGATTATAAAGGAGAGAACCACAGCATGTATATGGCATCCACGCGGTGCAGCGCCGATGAATCAACAGGACAGAAACGACTCACAGAATACTGAGCCACTCACAGCGCTGGGCGTCAGAATTGTACAGCAGAGGCATGTTCAACTAGGGTCCGATATTGATTCAAGCAGCCGAAATGAGGAGGCCGTGAGGCTGAAGAAGAAGAGCAGAACATTCCACACTTTTGCAAGAATTCGGATATCGACAAGCACTGCCTGATTTTCAACGCCCTTGACTAGTCTGACTAGTGACTAGTGACTGGCTGCATCCTAATGCCGTATGTTGCTCGAGAAGGCATGGGACTGAACTGCAACTGAGTCCGGCCCGATCGACCCAGTGTATTACGTAATGAATTCCGCACTCGCCCAAAAATGATTTGTGGCACTTGTCATGAATTTAGGTCGTAATTACTGTCATGTTACAGGTTCGTGGAGGGCAGTCGGATGTTGAAGCTGAGCTCGAGCGCTGATGAGTCTCAATCTAACCTTGACTGCAGTTTCACAGTTGCCTCTGCAATTATAGTGAGACTCGGAGGGGTGAGCAAGAGTACCATGACTCGGACACGACTCGCCTCTACATATTTACCTTAGATCTCATCAGTCGAAATTACCCCATTATCACGGCTGTCGACGGTTGCGTGTCTCTCATCCCTGCGCAACTTCACTTGGACTCGGAGGTGTCACATCGTCCTCACAGGGAATTTCTTCATTCATGTCGATCAAGCAGTCCGCTACCCAGTGTCCCTTCCTGTTTGCGCCCCGGTCTCATCTTAGAGGTATCTTTATCTGACAATCATTCAGGGAATGGCATTTCCTTACCTTATGTCGACTGCTGGACACTCGAGCTGATTTCGCCGGAACACTGGGTTGCAATGCATGGGTACATTTGCTCTTGATCGCAACCAGCAGTAGCATTGATATATTTGCCAGTACGAATTTGCATCCAATGAATTTGTCAACGCTCTGACTTGTGTCTCCCTTGAAGCAACAAGCACGGAAAGTGGGAGCAAGAATTTCATTGCTGTGGGGATAACGATCAATGGAGAAAATTTGGCTGTAAAAGGAGAGGTATGTTTCATCAAGTCAGATATACATTTTCGAGGTTGTTGAAGTTGTTTCCGATCCTAATTGGACACAAAAAAGATGGTACAAATTGAAACTGCAAGTGAAGGATGACACGAAAGGCCCCGTAACAGCTGTGTTCGGCATAAATGGTCACCTTTGAGTTCGCTCCTCCAGAATTTGAAGCACACTCTTGCACAAACCCAACATACTATTCCATCCACGACCCAACACAACAAGCAGTGCAAGTTCACCTGTCCTCACAGCATATGAGATACATCAATTGCACGATGTGTGCGTTTACATCGGAGTGGCACTGCCCCTACTACTGTTCCTTTACTTCCTTTTCTAACTCTTCTAATGGCGCTGCCAACAGTTGAAACTCAGCTGACCAGCGCTCAGATCGAGAACATGATCATCAATGTTTTATGACCTAATTTGAAGGCTTCCTGTGGTTGTAATGATGACGCCTGCAAACTAGGCTATCTCTGGTGGTGCAAAGCGATGCTCCATCACTCCACCGCACCAACTCCACGATGCAGATCGAAGATTCCGCGCTTATCATTGTTGGCAACCTTACGATATGAAAGCCCGAAACCGAGGCAGAGAGCAAGAAGATGCTTATGAAACAATACATGGCCCGAGGACGAGGAGCAGGGATAGTAGACATTTAGGTATGTGTTCGCACGCGGGTAGAACACGAGTTATATGTTTGCTTTGTGTGGATATCGATATTCCCCCATTTGGGGGCTGGCCTCGAGGCTTGGCATGCCGATACAATTTGCCTTCGATCTTTTACGGTTACCGATTCAATTGTTTCGCCCGTGCAAGTGTTTCGTAACCGTTGAGCCCCTGCATCAACTTAACTTTTTTCATGCAACAATATCTACTTCGGCCAATCAAAGCAGGAACGGTTATCTCCCCTCCAACTCATTTTAATGATCCGATCATTGTTAGTGGATGGTGGTATATATATCGTCACCATACGTCTACCAAGTTCACCTTTCACCCACACCTATTTTCTACTAACATGACCATAGTCTCAAATGATCCCACTTCGTGGCCAGTCATCAATTCAAATCGTATTTCCAGCTATGTTACAGGTTCGTGGAGGGCAGTCAGATGTTGAAGCTAATATCTCAATCTAACCTTTGCCAGTCGCTTCCGTTGTTATAGTTATATATGATTGGGGTGAGCATGATAATGTTAAAGAACTGGCGATGTCTCACAAATATCTGCAGCACTCACATTCGGACAAGAGGTATGCCAATGCTATGACCAGATCAGCCATCTCACTAAGAATCATTTTATAGATCGAATTGTTCTGGGTGAGTCGAGTCTCGTGTCAGAGGAACACAATGAAAATACGCTTAATTACAGAAACAACGCTGGTCCTTAATGACATTTTTGTATCTTGGTGTACGTAGCTAGTTTGTCGCGGTTGCCAGTTTGTGCTGACTTGAAATTACCATAGGTGCGCTACCTTGGAATCTTATCTGCTATGTATGTTTGGAAGGTCAAACAATCGTTGTTGTGCTAATCGGCTATGTCTTATAATCAGCGTGGCCATCCTGAGTACTCAGTACATTCACTGTTTTTGCTTCTTCTGACTGACGGCATACAGGCGAAGTTCCGACCATCTCGCTGACAGATACAGTGAGTCTTCTGTACATCTCAGATGCCTACTATTTCCCTTCAATTAACCGTGGTGCTCTGTAGGGGTGAGTGTGGTTCTTTGTAGATTTTTTGGTTCACTAACCTTGACTGCTACGCTATGCTGCCACAGATGTGAGTCTGTTCGGAGTGTGTGCCACCCGAGGCTGATCACTCGCTGACTGGATTCGTCAGGCTTCATTACGTTCGTCGTAGGGTGTTGGACGGGTGTTTTGGTACTTGCAATGCTGTGGGGTGAGCTTGGCACTTGCGACCTCAGTGACATTGACTTGACTGAAACATGCTGCAAGTCATCATGGTCGTTCGATTATATGCCATGTATCAACGATCTAAAAAGATCCTGATCTTTCTGGTTGTCACCCTCCTGGCTAACAACATCTTCTTTGGAGTGGTCGGCATAATTTTGATGACACATGTTTCAGGGGGTATGCTTAATTGTGGATGTCGAAAACATGGATCTCATTGATGAACACCAGAGGAAATCATTCTCTCTGGCACTTATCAGTGCTCGAATGACATTGGGGAAGTGTTCACGCTTCTGTGTTCCATAACTTGGATACTCGGAACTGTGTGGGAGGTCCTCGCACTATGTTTTGCAGTCTGGATTGCTGTCAAACACTTCCGTACACTGCGACGACATCCAGAAAGAGAAACTGCTGAGGATTGTGTAACGGTGTTGATGAAAACTCACATGTTTTACTTTGCGAGGTGAGCTTATATTGTGAATATGGTCTCCTTTTTCGCTGAAGGATCGGACGTGGTAGCTTTGTTGCTGTTTCTTGCCTCCAGCTCATTATTGATTTCTCACCAGCTTTCTCAACCGTATGTCAACTCTTCACTTACCTCTGCATGCGACCACGGTTCATCATTTCTATAGGACCCATATTCTCTGGAAGCGCATATTTGTAATGGCTTGCTTCAGATTTTGGAAGCCGTGCAGTCGTTTGTGCTGGGACCACGCCTGATCCTTGGACTTCGAGAATATAACGCGAAGCTTGTGGCCGATTTCGACGTAGCATCTGCCATGACCTCTATTGCTTTCCAGGAGCACGTGCATATATCGACTGACAATACCGTATAGCACGGGAGATGTTCAGTAGAACTGACGGCTATCTAGTGCTCTGCAAGGAGCAGCAGAAGATTTTGTTTCTATTCATTCTCTTGGTATTGATCTAAGTCATGCGGTGTTGCCAAGTGTGTACTTGTAAAGGAGATAGGTCTGGGCAATGTTTCTCGTAGTGTGAATAGCTATAGATCCTGACAATGTTTAAATCGATACACTAGATAGTATCCTATGTACCTACCCACTTGCACTAATGCTAATCACCGGTCCTTTGTTCTGTACGATAACAATCATTCCTATGATTTCCTGGGCAAGTGGGCGCGCAAGCGCCAAATCGTACAATTCCTCAGGAACCCGTCTTTGATTTGCCATCTTCTCATTTTATTCGACGTCCCACTCTTCCTGGATCCACTCAAGATGATTACAAGGTGTGCGAAGCACGTAGTCGGAGGTGTTAATGCACGGCTCGGCTAACTAGTATACACTGGCACGGCTAAAGCCGGACATAAGCTGGAACTCGCGGAAGAATTCGACTTCGATTGGCCATGGCATATGAACAACGGACTCAGTCAAGACTCAGTTTAGATTGGAATCAGCGCTGATGGTGTGCACCGGCAGCTGTATGACACGGCGAGTTATTAAATCATCATTCCCTTGAGTTCTTCAAATCTCTAACTTTCTGATGGTGTGAGGACAGAACGTTGCCGCCTCCAGCCAATGATTGTGCGTCTGAGCATTTGTTTTCTCTTTGTCCTATCTCAAATTCTCAATGCTCTTTTGATCTGGGGGTGATGTTGTTTCTTCATCTTACATCAATCAACCGGGACGTCTCTGGTGAAACCTGATGCCTCTCACCCACGCACCAAATCCATGATACGAATCACATTTTCTGCGCTCACCATTTCTGGCATCCTGATGATACGATAGCCCAATTTCAGAAGCAAAGCTGAGAGGGTGCGCATGAAGTGATGGATGGCCTAAGGATGAGATGTGACATCGAAATATGTGCTCGCAGGGAGGTGTCAGTAGCCAGGGTAGGATTTGATGCTTCGTGTGGATCTCCCTACTAACTTTTCTGGTCCATGGTTGCCGACGCAATGCGCATTTCAAAGTGTAGGAACTATCATCATGATGCTCCCTGCGGCCTGTGCTGGCGAGCCGCAGAGAGTGGAGATGACAATAGTTGCATGATGATTGGTATGCGTCAAACTGATGAAGTACTAGTCCTTGGTTTTATTGATGGACTGATGCTCATGTAGCAAAAACATCTCGATAACGACGTCGGAAGTTAGGTAACAAGATCACGAACAGTTCTTGATTTTGATCAATCTTTTGGGTGTTCGAGTGTTTCTCTCGTGCAGATGTATCACGACCAACATCTACTATGAGCCCCTGGATTGATTTGCCTTGTTTCATGCAAAAATATCTACTTCGGTCAATTAAAACACGAGCGGTCATCATCGCTCAGTGTCGTTTCAGTGATCTGGTGGTATAACTAGCACGAATGCCATCGTTATATGTCACCCAAGTTCGCCTCTCACTCACTCACATTCTCTCCCAATATGACCATAGTCTCAAATGATCCCGCTTGGTGGCTGACCATCAATGCATACCGTTTTTCCAGCTATTTAATAGGTTTGTGGAGAGTAGTCGGATGTGGAAGCTGACACGATGTAACATTGGCTGCGGTTTCACAGTTGCCGCCTTTGTTGGAGTGACGTATGATTGGGGTGAGCATGATAATGTTAAAGGACTGCTGATATCTTACAAGTATTTTCAGCGCTTAACATTGGACAAGAGGTATATCAATGCTATGACCGGAACGGCCATCTCCCTGAGAATGATTTTATAGGTCGAATTGGTCTGGGTGTGTAGAGTGTCATGTCAAAGGAACACACATTGAAGTACACTTAATGACAGAGACAACGTTGGTCGCTAATGACATTTCTGTATCTCGGTGTATGTATCTTGTTTGTTGCAGTTGCCATGTTGTGCAGACTTGAAAGTATTCTAGGCACGCTACCTTGGAATCTTATATTCTGGGTATGTTCGGAAGGCTACTAAACAATCGATGATGTGCTAATTGTTTATCTCTGATAATCAGCCTCTACATGATAAGTATGTTTCCTGAGTGCATTTGCCGCCTCCGCTCCTTCTAACCAACAACATACAGGCACTATTCCGACCATCTCGCTGACAGATAAAGTGAGTCTTCTGCACAGATTCTACTATCCCCCTCCAATTAACCGTGGTTCCCTGTAGCAGTGGGTGTATTTTGTTTACTAACTTCATGTTCACTAATGACTGTCACGCTCTACTGCCACAGATGTGAGTCTGTTTGGAGTATGTGCTTCCCGAGGCTGGTCACTGACTGCATTTCTCAGGCTGGATTATGTACGTCGTACAGAATTGGACGGTTGTTTTGGTATTTGCGATGCTGTGGGGTGAGCTCGGCACTTGCGAGACCTCAGTGATACTGACTTGACTGCAACATGCTGCAAGTCATCATCATCACTCAGTTGCATGCCATGTATCAAGGATCCAGAAAAATCCTGATCTTTCTCGTTGTCACCTTCCTGGCTGTCAACATTTTCGACGGAGTGGTCACCGTAATGATGACGATGCATACTTTCAGGAGGTACGCTTGATTGTGAATAAAACGTTCATGGAGCTCATTGATGGATACCAGAGGAATTTATTCTCTCCGGCACTTATCTGTGCCAGATTACTAGCTATGTCGAAGATGTCTTACTTCTGAATTCCATTCCTTGGATACTTGGAACTATCTGGGAGGTCCTCACACTATGTCTCGCAGTCTGGATTGCTGTAAAACACTTCCGTGAACTGCGACGTCATTCAGCAGGAGGAATTATCGGGGACTGTTTCACGATGTTGATCAAAACTCACTTGGTTTACTTTGCGAGGTAAGTTCATATTGTAAATATGGTCTTTTTTCGCTGAAGGATCGGATGTCATAGCGCTGTTGCTGGTTCTTGCTTCACTCTCATTTATATTTTCTCTCCAAAAATCTTAACGGTATGTCAATCTTTCCCGTACCTCAGCGTGCGACATGGTTCATCATTTCATTTCTATAGGACAAAAATTCCCTAGAAACTCAGACTTTTAATAGCTTGCCTCAGATTTCGATGGTCGTGCAGTCGTTTGTGCTGGGACCACGCTTGATCCTTGGCATTCGAGAGTATCACGCTAAGCTCGTGGCTGACTCCGATGCAGCAACTGGTATGACCTCGATCGCTTTCCAGGAGCGTGTGCATGTATCGACTGGTAGTAGTGTGTGACACACGAGATGTTAATGGATGCCCAGTGAATTTCACCGGAATCACCATCCACGGTACTTGAATGTGACGTACAATTTTCTGACTGGTTATTTGCAGCTGTGATCTTCAGCGCTTCGATAGCTGCACCGATAGCATCACTCGCCATCGGCCAGAACTACAAGGAATGACATTTAATTTAGCTCAACTCGATAGGAAATTTGTTAGAAATGACGCCTGATCGTGAGCAGAGAAATGAGATTTGTAATTCTCCTCGCCCTAGCTGGCCCGTGTACCTTTTTTGGAAATTGCTGCCGGCCTTACACCAATGATTCTGATTTCTCGCGAACCAGACGCGTTTTTTCAACTACACGCGTGTTGCCTATCGCTCGCTAGCATACTCAACAATGGGTAGCACAGAGCCCACGACGCTACATGAGGAGCACCAATATCTCTCCCTCGTCCGCCGCGTCATAGACGTAGGCGAAGTTCGCCCAGATCGCACTGGCACGGGCACCCTCTCTATCTTTGCACCCCCCTCTTTCCGTTTCTCTCTCGCAGACGACACGCTCCCGCTCCTCACCACGAAACGCACATTTCTACGCGCTATCGTAGAAGAACTTCTCTGGTTTATCAAAGGCTGCACAGACGCTCGAGTGCTCTCGCAAAAGGGCATCAAGATATGGGACGGAAATGGAAGCAAAGATTTTCTCGAGAAGCGGGGTTTGGGACACAGACGAGAGGGCGATCTTGGTCCTGTGTATGGGTTCCAATGGAGACATTTCGGCGCGAACTACGTCGATTGCGACACAGACTATACCGGTCAGGGCGTCGATCAGCTGAAGGAATGTATTCGAAAGATCAGAGACGATCCGACTGATCGACGAATAATCTTGAGCGCATGGAATCCGGCGGGTGAGTTTGCTTTAGTTTAGTGGTACAACGTGCTCTGATTTCATATCGTAGCCATGCCGCTCATGGCCCTTCCACCGTGTCATATGATGTGTCAATTCTACGTGCATCTTCCCGTCACGCCCGATGCTCCTAAACGCCTATCGTGTCTCATGTACCAACGCTCAGCCGACCTCGGGCTCGGCATCCCTTTCAACATCGCGTCTTACGCGCTTTTAACGCATATGGTCGCGCATGTCACGGGGACCAAACCCTACGAACTCATCATCCAACTTGGAGATGCGCATGTTTACCGCGACCATGTCGATGCCCTCGAAATACAACTCAAACGCGAGCCAAAATCATTCCCAAAGGTCAAATTTAGAAGGGAGATCACTGACATTGACGGATTCGATTCGGAAGACATCGTGGTTGAAGGATATGATCCTCACCCAACGATAGCCATGAAGATGAGTGTGTAGATGTAAAACCATAGAATCCGTTGCTCTGCTGCTACTGAATTATGATACCAAGTTATTTCTCGTTGCTGGAATGTCAACCAGATACCCATGCGAGCAACAACAGGAAAACTGATGTACGCAGAGAAAGAATAACATTAACCCTTACAAGCGATTAGATCAATAAAACACGCAATCAGGAATGATGCGGTACAAAATGAGACAGGAAACATCGAAACATCCGTGGTAAAGTATTATTATTAGGCAGCGACCTATGCAGCAGTGGGGACAACACGACGAGTGCGGCGGATGCACCAGAATGCGAGGCAAAATTTGCTCCAACAACTGTAGTCTTCTTCTAGGGCATGTTGTTGTGTTGTCGTCTGTACCTGAGGCTGTGGCGTTGGAAGTGGCTGGGCTACAGGCTGAGTGGTCGTCAAGGATGACTGACCAGTCTGAGTATGACCCTTCACAGGGGAACGCCCTACGTGAATCCTCTAAACATTTGATGATGTTTGTAGCAGAACGAAGGACACCTGATACAATGCTTACACTCTTTTTTCTTCCGGCTGAGACTGTTACGGGCTGTGGGCCAGTATACTGCGCGAAGAAACTGTGCTTGGGACGTGGTTGCAGAGCGGTGGACTCATTTGCTGGCGAGTGGCGTCGAGAAGGGACGGCGATAGTATTCCAGAAGCGCTGAGTGGGGGAGAGATTTTGGTTCCGGGAGCGACGAGGAAGTCCCGAAGATGGTGCCGAAGGATGATGGGGCTGGTAAGTCTGCTCATCGTCAATACTAGTGCAAAATAGTATGTACAACAAGGCACATGATTCACCTGACAGTAATCACTGTATGAATCATCTTGGTCCCAATCGGTGAACACATCGCTCCCTGATTGAGGATTTGTAGCATCGACCTGTATTACTTCCGTGAGCAATGGAAGGAAAGCGGTCGGATGCGAGAGTACTGACATCAAGGCAAGACGGTGTTGGTGACTGAGGTCGAGTTTTCTACTGTATAGCTTGTCAACTAGCAGTATGGGCGTGAAATCACGTACTGAAAGCTCGGGAACCAGATCTCTCACCACCCACAAGGTGAGTTTCTTTTCAAGTCCGCTGTTGGCTAGGTATCTCCCATCTTGAGAGAATGATATGCAGCGAAGAGTTTGGCGGTCCATGAATGGCTGACGGAGCAATGGTTCATGGGACACTGTGTCCCATAGTTGTGCAACACCTGGCTGGCCCACGCAGGCCAGTACATTGTGTTTAGGTGAAAGCGCGATAGAATTCACCAAATCATTGTGCTCAAAGCGATGAAGTTCAATGCCTGAGATACTGTCGAAAACACGCACAAATTTGTCTGAGGCGGCATAAACTTTTCTGCTTTCCGACCACAACAAGGATGTCACACTGGCCCCCAGTTCCTCGATGGGGCCGACAACGAGCTCGCCTGTTTTTGTATCCCAAATGCAGATCGTCTCGTTCAACCCGCCTGATGCGATTCTGTCGCCTTCAGGCGAATATACAAGAACATTCACCCAACGCTGCCCCGTCTTGATTGGGCCCACCTCCGTTTGTCCGCTGTCTAGTTTTCGGATTAGGATTGTCCCATCTCTGGAACCTGCTCGCAATGTGGTCTCCGTTGGGTGACCACGACAGTGACCTTACTTCTCGGCTATGACCTGTCCAAACGTCTTCAATCATCTTTCCACTGTCTGTGTTCCACCGCTGAACGGTCCCATCCATCCTCCCACACGCAACTGTCTTTCCATCCGGCGAAAGTGCCAGTGCATGTATGCAACCCCCCTGGCCTGTCCACGGTTGCCCGACAAGAAGTCCTGTGTCGCAGTCCCACTTGCGCATTGTGCCATCCCACGAACCACTCACGATGTGGACGTTGTCATGCAAGAAGACAAAAGCCCAAACATAATCCTCGTGGCCCGTAAATTCTTGCTTCGGAGATGACTTTTGGGGTTGAGTTGGGGACTGAGCTTCTTCACTAGCCGGCAAAGCAGGGGCTTCAGAATCAGAGGTCATAGCTTCCTCAATGATCGGCGTCGCAAGGAATTCGGGAGACTGTGACATAGCTCGTTACTGTGAGGCTTCTTTGCGCTTTTTCTGACTGACCCAGTTCGTGATCAAAGAGGATGGGAACAGTTGGTCAATACTTACTGCTTGTTCTACTTGTCCCTTGCTGGTAGCAAAAAACAATGAGGGTAGGTCTTATGTGCATGGCAAGCATGGATTCCATGAGGCAGCACTAATATTAGGTTCGTAACAGGTATGGCAATTAACTCGGATTCTAGCGTGGCGAACGTGTCACGAGTCATTGATGCATATCACTGTGATCAAGCCAGACTCGGAGTGACTTTCAAACGTCAACATAGCTTCTGATGCCCGTCTATTGCGTAGTGCTTTTCATATCCAACTGACTGAGCTCCGTGTTCTCAGGATCTCACACATACTTGATAATATCTTTACTTCCTAGAAATAAAACAACATTCAAGTAACTTGCAATGGTACTCGCTGAATTTGTACTTGGCTCATGGTCAGGGGTTATCGGTTACGTAGTGGAATGTGTGTTTGGCATGGACCATGAGTTGCACTTCTCGTATTGTAACATTCATCTTCCACCAGCAGGTGCCGTATTCTTGATAGGACAGCATCAGTCAGCGAGTTATTTTCTTCGCTAGGAGCTTGTAACCAGTTGACCCGGAGTGCACAAGGGTGTCAAGTATATATGTTATGGTACTGGTATAAAGTGTAAAACGTGTTATAAAATTTGTATGATATGTGGATTCCTCTTTCCAACAAATCGTGGATGGATACTACAGGCCGAATGCGGAACGTATATCAAAAGAAGGCACGAATCTAATACTGCAAGCCGGAAACTGGAAAAAAAAAGCTGAGCCCACCAGGACTATGGTAGTAAGATCACTTTGCCGACGCTGATGCTGACGCCAAACGCATACTCTTCCTAGTCGGAGGAGGATTGTCAATGTCCAACTCGATACTGGTCTCCCTAGTCCGCTTCAAGTTTCGTGATGATATCCTCGTCGGAGAGCGGCTCTGACAATTGGGCGGGAGTGTAGTGAATTGGTTGTCCGAATAGCTGGGTGTGCGTCCGAAAGGTCTTGAAGCACGGCTCTGAGGTATACCAAGACTGAGGGTAGACGTAAGCGCCGTTGGAGTAGAAGGCGCTTCAGTAGCGGGAGGTGTTGGTACTATAGTGGTTATTTCCGCTGCCTCACTCGGCATAGGAAGGGTCCTCAGTACATGCCGGTATGCAGCTTGAACGAGGCCCATAAATCTCTCTTCCTTGGTGTAAACCCTCAGGAGGACCTCGCCAAACTTCTCGGGCATCAAGAGGGAGACGTCTTCTGACTGGGCCCGACGGCACACTGGAGGACGAATCAGTACAGGTGCAATATTTCAATAATTAGTGATCACCATTTGGTTCATGTTTGCTATAGAATTTTACCTGGAAGATGGGATTGTCCCCTCCTCTGCCGTAGTGCATCTTGCTCACATCCACGATGACGTGGTCAACAGTGAGCTCAGCAACGAGGCTCTGTTCAACACCCTCAAGGTTGGCATTTTTAGCAGCATGAACAATTGCCTCGGGCGTGATATGTGCCTGACAAAATTCCTTGTCATCCCAGTCCATGATCTTGTAGTCTACCCGGCGATAGATATCACGGGTCTGGATGCGGTGAATGATCTTGCGCGCTGGTGCGAGCTCCTGATGCAATTACAAAGTGAGACGAGCGAAAGGAGGAATTACATGAACTCACTTCCGATTCGCTAATGTTGATGCAGTGGAAGAGATCATCCGTGAGATGAAGATACTTTTCAGGTACGTCGATATACTCTGCGAACTTCATGTGCTTCTGTGCAATGAGAAGTACGTCCATGATCATGTACTCAATGGCGCGAGCTGTACTGATGTCAGCATAAAAAAGGATGTATGCAAAGTGTTACGTACTGGTTTTGTGATTGTAGATGTTTTTATGTAACGAAAAACGAGTATAAAATAGTTCATAAACTGTGTTGGCATCCTTGATGTCATAGCATATTTGACCGTCGATGACGCGAGCGGAATGAATCAATCTAGATGTGTGTCAAAAACACTCAGCGAACAAGTTGGTGTGAAGACTACCTTGTCATAGCAATGTTGCGTTTCTCGCCAACAGCGTGGCAGTCACGAGCGATGTAATCGAACCTTGAACTTCATATTAGGTGTTTCGGATGTGGAACGGTGGAAACGCACTTGTCGACATCAATGCCATTGAGATCATTGGCGACAATCTCAAACAAGAAAGGCATAGTCGTTCCAAGCCTGAAGCAGCCGATCGTTCGTCAGAAGCTGTTAAGTCGAGTCAGCAGTAACACGCACTTGCACCGCTCCTTCCTGCCAGAAATGAGTGCCTTCACGGTCTCTACATCCTCAGGCGATATGTCAAGACTACGATACTTCTTCACCATATCATCAAGCATCATTTCTGAAGCTTGCTCGTGACTCCATTTGGGGTGATTAGGACTAAAATTCGATCCTCAGGTCTTTCGGAAACGTAAGGCAAAATCACAACCTACAGGGCTTTGGGGATGAAATGACCATCCCAAACATGAGACCATGGCCCATGACCAAGGTCGTGGCACAGTCCAGCAAGCTCGACGCATCGTATATGCTCATCCGTGATACCCAATGACGGTTGGCTCTTCTGAAGATGTTGAGCCATCATCCTAGCCAGGTGGCCAACGCCTGTTTGAGCCCATCAGCCGAACAATCTAAGAGATATCATCACTCGTACCGAGACAATGCTCAAATCTATTGTGAGATGCTCCTGGGTACACATAGTACGAGATTCCTAGTTGTTTCACATATCTCAACCGTTGAAAGTGAGGTCTAGGAGAAGAATGTATTCAGTTCTTTTCATCAGTAAGAAGCCGAAGACAACTCACGTGTCTATGAAGCTGCAAATCCATGGATCAAATTCCACTATTGGACATACGGAGTCGCGGCCATAGATGAGATCGCCATGAAAAATTGACTGAATTATAATACTCACCATAGTCGTGTACTGGATCTTTGAAGATCCTCTTATTAGGAATTGAGTCTTCAGTCATATCGAATTTCAACGAGCAACTGAAAAGTCACGAAAGCTGGTATCAGGGCGCGTAACGTGGTAGTCGTCAAAGCGAGAGGGAGAGACCGGTAGTGTTTAGAGACTAGAGCCGATCATCTTTATAAATCATATACCGAGAAGCCTAAGATGATGACAAAAATTACGTTTTGAGAACGCAGCATGACCCTGGCGCACAGACACGTGACTAATATCAATCGGTTTGAGCTCGGTTGCAGTGTAATTCAAGCTGTATTGTACAGGTCCATACTACTAGTCGGAACCTAAGTTAGATACTCGGTTCATTCATTGACAGTCTATGTAAAAAACCCTCGTTAGATCCATTCGAGCGACGAGGCACTTTGGATCCTTGAGATAATACTGACGGGGGTGGGATGAACTCGAGGCTTCTAATGAAACTCGAGGTATTCTCATTTGCCTTATAACGTTTGGCGCAGATCAGTCATGAGACCGTCACGTTATCGTAAATAAACCATACCCTGCGCCCTAGATTGTGAATTAGAGGTGGAGGTCGTACAAATACCGCACGAAGTCCGTGAATCGCGAAAAAGGGGTTCAAAACGCTGAGAAAACTCGGACCTCATGATGCAGACAGGGCAGCTTCTTTATCTGCTAGACTTGGATCATAAACAGGAACATGCCCTATGGATCAAATAAGCACCTGGAAATAGATCACGTAGGACACGCACCATTGATATGTGGCATACTAGGGGGTGGCGAGGGAACAGTCATATGCGGCGACGGCACCAGTGAGTCCATAAGTGGAACTGTATTCGGCTCTCCGCATTGTTCCTGCTGAACTTGACCGGACTGTGAGTTCCCCTCATGAAGGTCACCATGAGGAGCGGATTCTTCTCCTTGCCCCTGCTTTCCTGATGGCCGACCCTCCACGCGCCTCACAAACTCGCCCCATACGGCACGTTCGTCCGCCCCCATATTCTCAAACATACTCCGGACCGCCGTGTCGGCTTTGCGATATACGCCGCGGTGCCGGCACACGGTCGACTTAACATACCGACATCCAAAAATGCGTTCGAATGACGTACGTTGAGTAGCATTAGGCGTCTGGGCAATAAGAGCATCCATCTGCCGGAAGCCGGCAGCAATTTCAGACACAGTATAATCGTTGGGCCATCTTTTGAGTGGAGGGTGGGGGTGCTGAGGGAATGGCCCAGGCCCTGTTCGAGTGGCTGACGAGGGGGACACCACTGGATACTGCCCTGGGCTGTTCGGTGGCTGGCCGCTCATCGGGGTTGGAGGAGGACCTGAGTATGGGTGTGGCATGGGCGAGGAAGCCTCGCCCTCAGGACTGTTTACGTGCGATGGGCTGGCAACTAGTGGTCCACTCATTGGATGTCCAAGCGGGACCTGTGGGTACATATATCCCATGGGCGGTATATACATCGGGTGCGGGTACCCTTCCGGATATGGTCTTTTTGTGGGAGGGCCCTCTGTATGCTCAGTTGCAGGCCTCTTGGTACCATTTTGTGTGACAATCGTAGGAGATACGGGTTGTTTCTTCTTCGACTGTAGCACCAACTCCTCCGCGAGTCCTCGGCATTCCTCGTCTAAAAGACCACTTAAAAGGCTTTTGCGGAGTTTATATAGCAGACGTTGGTCTGTCTCGATCGCACGGACAGTGGTAATCATATGTTGCTCCCAATTCCCCGTTGCATGATTATAAGTATCGACATATGAAGTAGGTGTGAGTTCCAGGTCGGAAACCACGGATGGAAAATGTGACAGCTGAAACAACGGAAAGGTGGATATCTCGTGGTTTAGGCGAATGGGATCGCAAGCCGGCTGTCACTTAGTCTAGTCACCGAGCACAACCATTTGAGAATATAAAACCAACCTTGTACCATATAACAAGCGTTATAGAACGTTTCAGTGACAGTTCCATCTGGCTTTGCTTCTCATCATTAGAAGACTGCTCCGAAGGAAGCTTCTCCACACCACCAGGGACTACATTTGCAGACATCTGTGGGTAGGTGGATGCAGGAACAATTGGAGGTGGTCGGGAGGCTAAAGTGTGCACCCTATCCATTTGTATGGACATAGCTGCCCTTCGAACGCGCGTTGACAGACGCGCTGGTTGCTCTGGATCATAGCAGACAAAAGTCAAGCGAAATGGATCCTCTGTACGAGATCAAGGAAACAGCACTCACGAACCAAGAATCCTATGGACAGCAATAGACAAGTCCGTTGAACGAGAGACGTGGACAAACAGTGGACGAAACCTCAGTCCCAGGGACCACGTGGAATCAAACTCCGATCTCCGCTTCATCGGAACGTTCTTTCATACTAGAACACCACTTACACCAGCCTAGAGCTTGCTCGGACTCGAAGTTGGTGAAAAACGCATTTTTGTGACACTTTCTTTCCTGCAACTCACCCTCAATTTCAGCGAATGCAATGACTTACGCAGGGCGATTCGGCAAGCACCAGGTCATGAAGTGACCTTTGAATTTTGAAATCACACAACCTACATGAGGTGCTATCAAAATGATCTTTTTAGTGGAACGTTGTGGCTCGAGACCACTGACTTATGGGAACTGACAAAGTCAGCCCCGGTCAGCCGATAGTCTTCTGGGAATTTCACCCAGGAATATACAGGGGGATTTCAACCTGTCCACCAGCAGCGAAACCGTTGGCCCAAGTATAATTTGCACTGGATGAAGATAGCATGGCCCACATTCATTGTGGCTCATGGAGCTCAGAAGACCGCTAGTAGGCTTATGGTATGTGGTCTGAGTATTTTTTCCCGAGTCACCCTTCGTACGATATCACAAGCCTGTCGGCTCAGTTGTATGGTTTGCATCTGCTTCACCTTACCTGATCTGATGCCATACGACATTATCGCATCAGTGGGAGTCTGTGAAATATAGCGCAATTGATCAGTCTAGGCCTTCATTTGCAATGCTCGGGATTCCAGCAGTCTGTTTCCTGACACGCCTATTACTATCACTTCCTAAAACCATATTGGAGCATGATCGCAGCATGAGGTTTTTCATACTCCAGCTATAACGACTTCTAGCTGTACTGTAGGTCGGTGAACTTGGTTACCGGTTTCGACCCGGGACCGATACTTTACGGATCAAACCATATCTCCAGAATGCTATGCACCACGTTCCATTCCCGAATTCACTGTCTACACGGGGCACAACTTAATAATCAATCTCGCAGACGCTCATCAATAACGCTAGCACAGGTTTCAGCGCAGGAACACCGCTATGTCACCGGCCTAGATTTATAGTTCACGGCCCCTTCCTGGCCTGCAGCTTCCCCTCTTTTGTATATGTCCCATCATTCTCAGCTAGAATCGTGGCGCCAAACGCCTCAGGACAAGCGATTGACAATTTCTTGTAAGGCTTTTGGTTCACATTATCAAGACTAGATCGATTCATTCTGGGGTGTAGCGATCCATGTAACAGCTCCTGCGGCTGGCCTTCGTCGCATTCCAGCCGGTTATTATGTCGCCGTCAAGATCGACGGAACTGTTTGGAGAACAGCCGTTAAAGCGGAAGTACCGTCAAGCAATATCGTGCAGTGGGATCAGATTTTTGTACTGTGAGTGCTCAGTTACAGGGCGTTTCGTGAGAATACTGAAACTGCGTCTCAGTCCCGCAGATAGTTCAGCAACAGTATCTTTGAGAATCTTTGCAGCCTTCGAATTTGAACGTATGCTTGGGCGTGGCGAGTTGATGCGCGAAGCCGAGCTTACAGTGGGAGAACTTTTACATCACAGCGACCAATCTCTACGTAAGTTAGCAGCTAGTTTGTTTCTCAATGCCTTTCACCCGAATGAAATAACCTTCAGCCATCTTATTCTTCCCTGGTGGGGGTGAATTATCATCTCTCCTGGTAAAGGTTGACCGAGGCCTTGAAGACGAACCCGATGCGACTCAGTTTGGCCAACGCCACTCCGTAAGTGTTGTCAATTCTACAAGCATTTCTGCTATCAGATTGACATCCCAGCTAGCCCAGACCCGATGAGTCACAACTTCTCGGACAAATGACAGAGACCGGTCAGAATCTCCTCGCATGCTATCGCCGCACTCGTCGCATCTCAGACTATCACGCAGCCACGGAGCAGCTGCGCCTTGCGCTTGATTATTGTGGCAGTGAACACCCTGACCGTGCAGCAGCATTGACTAATTTAGCGGACGCTCTTGTGATTCACCCGCATATTGAAGAAAGCGATAACTCCATCAATGCCCCTATCTCGTTGTATCAAGAGGCGCTGGGGCTTCGCCGATCGGGGCACCCAGACCATCCTTTGGCACAGCTCAAGCTTGGACTTGCATTGCTATACCGTTTTCAACTAAGGAAAAATCCTGCGGATGTGATGGAAGGACAAGACCTGCTGAATCGTGCGCAACGCGTATGTTCAGACGACACTTCCGATATCGAACCCGTCATTGACGCAATCAGGAGCTCCACTCCTACTAATATTTCAAGTCACCGCTCTTTGGAGGTGCTTCCATCACCACCTTCACCGCTTTCACGAGTGTCGATGAACTCCGCAGCTCCACCGCCTCATAAATTCACAGAAGCGGTGGGACGCACTGCTGACATATCAACACGTTCTGTTCCGGTATCAGTGAGAAGCATGAACGGTGAATCACTGCTACAGCATGGCCAGGCAGAACAATTCGGAGATGAGAAAGAGTTTGCCGTAGATGAAGCTGACGCTCCACCGCCAGCCTGTCAGCTTACCCATCCTCGCCTGCAATCGGGAACTCTATACACAAACTCTGTCATGATGCCCCCTCAACAACTGCCAGGAAGTCCGCGCAGAGAATTGCTGCTTGCCCCTGATGTCGAAATGCGGGTAATACAACCACAGCAGACTATTAAATCTATCTCATCACCGCTCACACCCCATTCGTTTCTCCCCTTGCCGGTACCAGCTGCTCGGGCCCCAAATCTGCTCGCTTCTAACCTTCGCATAGTATTTATTGCTGCTTTCGTGTCTCTATCTATTCTCATGCTGATGACACATCCATTGAGTGGGCCATGGTTTTGATTAATCTTATTATTGCTACCTGCATTCACATATGTAATACTAGGACTGTGCATAGAATCTGTACAATATCTGTAGCATCAAACTGTATTTATGATATACCTCACTGTACGTATATATTCACAGCGTAACTAAGTATGCTATCTATATTGCAATTAAATATATGCCTCTACATGTGACCTGGCACGGAACGTGCAATGCAGCCTCACCTACTCAGCGCCTGTTGCACGTCTTTTTGTGCGTTTCCCACAATGTTAATGTGGAGCCTTTAAGTGTATCTTGTACTGGACATCTTTCCATCTACTTTGATCTTCAGCATCTCAAATAACTTCCCTCTTCGCCTCCGCTGTCTTTCTCTGGTCCCTTATTCCCGCCCACACACTCAACCCAAGTGCAATGAAGCACGCTGTCGCTGTTACGTACAAACTCGAGACATAGCAGTCGCGTCCATCAAAACATTGATGTTCGCTTGGAAGACCACCACGCCTTATCAAGGGTAAAGAAGAATGCGTCTCGGTGTCATCGTTCGAGGCGTGTGAATCGAGGTTGCGACCGAACATAAGCGAGAAAAGATTCCCTCCCACTAGTGGACTGAGTGAGACATATCCCCAATTCTCCGAGAGATGTGCTGGAATAATTCACGTCAGTCCCTTTTAGCGTGACTCAGCAGCAGCTCTAGTCCACTACTCACATAGCCCAAACCAGTCAATCATAATTGTTGGGGCAATGCCGAACAGACCACCGTATGCGAGCCCAAGTAACGCGGTTGCTTTCCAAAGATGTGCAACGTCGTTGACGCTGATGGCAGACAATTGAGAGACGACAAAGAGCGCTGAAACGATGCAAAAACAGTATGCACGAGGAAGACGAAGGCGAATTCGGATCAAGTCCGCGATCAATCCTGATGTGTCGAATGAGTAAAGAGAGAGAAGTAGAGGGGAAAAGAAATGAACCAGTAAGAATTCGTCCTGCGAAGTTGCAGATACTTAGAGTTGAAACTTGTGCAGCTTGCCATCGCGAAGCCCCTATCTCGTCATAGTCAGGGTTCCCTTTGGCATATAATGCCTGAGATATGGAGCCAACATTATTGATATCTGCAGAACTTTGAATGAGGCGACTCCATTGACCCTGATAACAAAAAACCTACACATGAGCCCGGTTCCACTTACTAATACATGCAAGCGTTGGTCACAAGATATGAAAAACAAAAGAAAACACAACTTACGAAGCGACATTATAACAAAAATAAGATAAAAGTCTGGGGTAAGCCACAGTTGCTTCCCATAGACATTAGGCCCATCATGTACGGGCCTTGCATGACTCGCGCTCCTCCTAACACTCGACCCTCTCGATGAAATCCGGTCCGACACAAGTTCCACCGCGGTCGATGGTTCGGGGACGTGATAGTTTGGTGCCTCATGTACGTGTTCCATGGGATCAAGAAGGGAAGTGTGGCTGTCATTCTCATGAATAAATAGAGCGGCATCGCCGCTCGGAATCGGCTGGTATTCCTCGCGTCCACGTAGGCCCCCTTCGATACCGCGTGTGGTACTCGGGGGAGGTAACGGTATTTGACGGACTGTCACAAGACCAAGAAGCATAGGCGTGGCGGCGCCGAGGCCCAGGACAAGGAGAAGGGAAGATGTATCACCAGGGAATGCGGTACTGGCGACTGCAGAGAAGAAAAATGCGGATAAGCCGAAACCAGACAGAACGAGACCCGTTATAGTTCCGCGCTGCACAAAAAGCCATTGCTTCAGTGACTTACTAATGCATGGATCACAGTACGGAGACAAACCGAGGTTTCAGGGAAGCTCTTGGCCGTAGTGTTTATAGCAACGGCGAGGCCCGCATTTCCAGCCAAGCCGGTCATGAAAGTGCAGGCAATGAGGAGGACAAGACGCATGAACGACGTTGCTGTTTCGGCACCATTATCGTAGATGCGTTTTATGCCGAGATATCCTATGAGGAGGCAGGCAAAAGCACTGATAAGCGGAATGCGGGGACCCTTTGAATCGACTACTCGACCCCAGGCTGGGCCGCTCAGATATACACCCACTGAATGAAACTTAGAGTTTGGTGGAGTTCATTTGAACGATTAACGTACCATTCCCTGCGAGGCCAATAACGTTTAACTGGGTATGGGATAGGAACAGACGCGCGCCTAATTGTGGAGCGTATGCTGTGATAGGACATTATGCCAAGGATCCTATCGACACACGGACTACTCACCAGAGTATATCTGGTCGCAGCAGAACTACTTTCAACGCCACGTATATATACATATAATGAATTTTTTGCGCACATAATTTGTCCCTGAACTGAGGGATACGAGGATAGATCCTACAAGTGTCAGCATCCGCGGTGCGCTGAGCAGCGCGGGTGGCTGCGTTTCCATGTTTGAGGGGGTTTCTAGATTCAACCTAGTGCCAGTAGCCTTGAGATTACGAAGCGTTGGATCGGCAGTGTATTTGTCGAGCTCTCCGACGACGACAGCAGCAACGAACGTCGAAAAATGAAGTCGGAAGCAGATGTGACCCGCAGAAGACAGAAAAGTTGAGGTTGAAGCAAACTTGAGCTCGAGGCCTGAGACTTTCCTGTAATAGCACGGATCTCCGCGTAATGTCTCTATGTCATATTTATACTAGTATTTTAGATTAGTCAGATTACTTGGTGACATATTATCGCCGTATGGACAGCTACTAGGGACCATTCAGCAGCTTATAGCGATTCTGATATTCGATGTGGTTGATTCCTGGAGTAGTATTTGTGATTGATTTCTAGGGCAGTGAAGGCTTGAGAAGATTGGATAATAACCAAAGATAAACATAACCATTAACCACAACGTACTCCATGCCCGCACGAATAAACAAACGACAGCAGCGTGAGCAGGAAGAGCTCCTTGCATTAGGAAACCAGCCTGCTGCGGCCGTCGATACCGACAGTGAGGAACCGTTACCGGTAGCACCTTCGGGCTTTGCAGCGGTAAGTTCAACCCTGGAACAAATCTGTGCGGAAATTGTAACGATCGACCCAGCTTTCTACTGTAGAAGACGATCATGATGGACCTGACAGCGATGACGAAGCATCTAAGCCCACAAAGGCAAAGAAGGCGCGCAAATGCCTTATTATAATACGATTTGAGACCTACTGACTAATTCGAACGCAGGCAAAGAAGAAGAAGAAGAAACCCGCAGCATCCGATGCACCAACAATTCAGCAGGCTAAACCCGCTGACCCGGAGGCACCAAAGCTCCAACAGGCTAAATCTACAAAGAAAGGAAAAGGAAAAGAGAAGAAGAAAGACGGTCTGGACGATCTAGACACGGCGCTCGCAGAGCTTTCCCAAAAGTGCGTTAAAAATGCTGGCGCCGGTTAATGTGCTCATCAACGCAAAGATACCCAGAACTTCAAAGCGTGGCAACTTCCTCATCGTCAACTACTCGAAATGCATCCCTTGCATCCCTTCTATCCATCTCAGTATCTAACCTTGATGCAGAAGCAGAAATGCGCAAGTTCTTTGGCGCAAGAGCCGTCGTAGCTGCAAAATCATCAGAGACTTCCTCCTCTAGTGGCTCAAAAAAACGGAGGGGCGTTGCTCCAAGCCAGACTCAGCGTTCACAACTTACACGACCCCATCCATCATGGAGCATGATCAAACAACGTGAAGGCCTTTCTTCTCGTCCATTGACCGACGAGGAGGTGCAACAAAAGATCCCAGATCGAAATAGCCCAGCCGCAGGAGACAAGTGGTGGACTGTTGAATATAGTAAGAGGTACAAGGGTGTCACAAAGACCTTTATGCAGGCCGTAATGTCAGGAGGTACCGTTTTCTTATCGTATACTCTCTCATGACGCTCATAGTCATCCCTCTGACTAGATCCCGAAGCGCTGCGGGGAGTTTTGCAGAGACTCCCGTGGCATGGCGATACACTGCTGCAGCTGGCAGAGGTATATCGCCATCAAGAAGGTCAGTGGTCTATTTTTCATCATGAGCGTGTCATCAAATTGTATCAGAATACAGCCAAGCTGTGGAATACGTAGATCGGGCGCTCTTCTCATATGAACGCGCTTTCTTAGGGTCATACACCTTCACCAATGGGCTCAACCGCCTCGATTTCAACCGAGTCGAGAATCGTCCCTTCTTCCTTGCGTTGCATCGGCAGGTCACGTATGTCCCTCTCCTGTACATATATCTTGGAGACTAACCTGCCACAGTGATCTCCAGCGTCGCGGATGCATTCGTACCTGCTTTCGAGTTTGGGCGCCTTCTATACTCCCTCGAACCATGGACGGATCCGCACTGGTGTCCTGTTCCATCTTGACTTTATTTCCATCAAATCAGGTATGGGGCAATGGCTCTTGGACGTATACTCCGAGTTTGCTTGCACAAAAACGATATTCGAAGATCATTTGAATCCAAGTGCGCTGCCTGGATGGGCGTATGCGAGAGCCCTGGCGCTTTTTGCGAGGGAAAAAGTAGGGTGAGGGGCAGGTAAGTTTTCTATTCATACTGTCAGCTGTATATTGATCTCGAGATGGTAGAGCGTAGGCAGCAGTACGGACGCGCTGAAGCAGGCTATGCTAGCCTTCCCGGAGGTTGTACCACTGCTTGCTGACAAGTGTGATATTTCACTATCTCCGGAGCTGCGCGAACACAGAGCATTCCGAATTCAAACTGACGGAATGTGCGTTAGATTGATTTCTCATATACCTGCGTACTGACAGCCATTGAAGTGGACTGTCAGCCTGCGCAAAGTGTCCTCCACCTCTTGTCTCACCTCTATGCTCAGCGATCCGCACCTCTATGGAAATCCGCTTCGCATATGAAATGGTTCGAAAATACCGCTAACGAAATTCGAGCGTCACTCAACGCCCAACGCTCCAATCAAACTCGTGAGCGGTTCCTCCAAATGTACACCTCGACAACGCTTCGCTACTCTGTCTATCGACATATTCTCGTTCTCGAGCAAAGCTTCCGGAACCTCACCCCTTTCATACCACGCTCTGTCTTGCTAGCCAAACAGCTTGCATGTGATCCGCTTCCACCACTGACAGCATCCTCCGAATACAATGACGCCTTCTTTGTAGGTGCAGAAGAAATCTTCAGCGTGCGTCCTCGCCGACGAGACGCGCGCGCGTTGGAACGACTCATCCCAGACGCAGGCATCAGGGCGCAAATTGAAGCGCTATTTGATGCAAATCCCGGGCTGGCGGGGCAGTTGCCTGGCGGCGTGGTGCAGTTTGTGCAAATGATGGCGCAGATGCCAGATGAGGCGCTGAATGACATGATGCTTGATCTTGTAATGGCTGCTGGGGAGGACGGTGTTCGTGTGCCAGGTGGAGGGGGTATGCCAGGTGGATTGCCGGTGGAGGGGGGTGATGATGTGCTGGACTTGGAACCAATGCCTCCGAGAGGTGCAGCGGAAGCGGCGCCAGCGTTGGCGAACGAGGATCAAAGCGACGAGGAAGACGAGGACGAGGACGAGTATATTGCTGTGAGCTGCCTTTTGATGTCTGGCTTGTCCAACGAAAGTGCTGATCTGATTGTTGCAGCCCATGCCCATACGAGTTGTGAGGAATCTGTTGAATAGGTTTTGGGGAAGTAGCGTGGCTACGGCTAACGATGGTGAATCTGATAGTGATACTGAGCAACGGGACCGTGACGGTGTTGACTAGGGGTATAATGTACAATTCTACGCGAGCCAAGTGCCCTTTTAGCCAATTTATTGATTTCACGGACGTCTGTCATGATGACTAAGCTCCATATTCGTTTGTCGACGTTCCAACGTCTATTGTATCCTGCACGACGATGGAGTCCAAATTATCATTCATTGTCAGAAAACCTTCGGCAGCAGACAACGATAAGGTCAACGACAGATTCAAACTCTCAGCACTTCCTCGTCACCTCTCTAGTGCCACCAGCTCCGCTTCTGGCTCCCCACTCACAGGTTCTCCTCGAACTTTCAGCTCCCGAGAGGATTCCGACGATGAAGAGGAGAGTGGGATCGTGTTTGCTGATGGCGGGAATAAAGACGAGCCAGACTCTAGCGACGATGAAGACGAGCGTCTCGAGGACGAGCTCATCACTTCTTTCAATAAATTTGGTGCACAGCGGTGCGTCTCATTGTGCTTTTTTCAACACGTCTACAGCTCACAAAAGGTACATGTGCTACTTATATTATTTAGTGTAAATGGGAAAAAGCCCAAGACCAAAGCCCCCACGGGCCCGCTTGTCATTCCTGCGAAGCCGAATCCTGACTGGCGCGAGGCAGCACGGAAACGTCGCGCAGCTGCCGCACGGTTTGTCCCTGATTCTGCCAAAGCGAGCACAGGTGCAGACGGGAGCGTCGGAGGGCTTGGAACGCGCGACACCATCAACTCCGGCCCCCAACTCTCGGGTATCCAGTTCGGGAAGAAGGAACCTAAAGTAGACAGCAGCACGACGTCTACTGACGAAGAGAAAAACATGACGGTAGAAGAAAATGGAAAGGAAGATATTGTAGAAGAGACGGAAGACCACAAAGCCCTCCGTGCGCTGCTGGCGGGGGATATGGACTCAGCGCCCCAGATCGATTCTATTCCTGTCCCTCCCAGCGAAACCGATGCCCTCCAACAAGATGTTGCTGACCTTCCGGAAGCTGCCACTCTGGATGACTATGCGCGCGTGCCCATCACTGCATTTGGGGCTGCTATGCTCCGTGGCATGGGTTGGGTGGACGGCGGGGCCGTTACGAGCTCAGAACGAGCGAAAAAGAATGCACTGGTGGAGCCTTACCTGCCGAAATCGCGCCCTGCATTGTTGGGAATCGGAGCGAAGGAGCAGGAGGTGCTGGATGACGGTAGTCAGAAGAAGAAACGGCGAGGGGACGAGAAGCGGTATATCCCGCTTGTGAGACAGGAGAGCAGTAGAGATGAAAGCAGGAATGGAAGCACGACAGTTTCGAGGAGGGCTTCGCGGTCACCTGAGAGAAGGAGCGGAGGAGGGAGTAGTAGGAGGGATGATCGCGATAGGCGACGAGAACGCGACCGTGACGATCGAGGAGACCGAGATGACAGGAGGAGAAGAGACGATAGTAGAAGAGACAGCGATAGGGACTCGGACCGACGAAACAGAGATCGCGATGTCGATAAACGTCGTGACAGAGTACGAGAGTACGATGACCGCGATCGGCGCAGAGACGGTGACAGCAAACGGGGAGGACGGGATAGGTGAGATTAATCATAGTATCATCACACCTTTTTGTCGTAGGTCTATGCTCTCATCTATGTATTGTATCCCCTCATTGTACGCTGATAGACGTTCGCTTCTGACTTAGATCCAACTGATCCGTGGCAAGGACAGATTAAATGTGACATTTTCATCAGTGGTGGTAAGTATTACGGTGCATGTGAATGTATCTGAAGTGCGCGAGGATGAGAGTGCTGGTGCTGGTGTGCTTGCCTGTGATTGGCTGATACCTATGGATTTGCAGAACTGTTGGGAGGCGGCATGGTTAGCGAGCGAGCGGGCTCGGCAGCCAATGAAGTTACCTCGCAGTGACTTCAGCTGAAAGTGCCTTCCTTGAGAAGCTTGTATTTGCGCCTGAACACCCTGTTGTTAGTGCATATATCGTGTCAAAAAGGTGTACGCATACGCGTTTTTCTTTTGACAGTCCGCTAATAGTCTATTCATCGAAGACTGGAAGGGCATCTATGACAGTTGCATCTGGGTTCTCGAAGAATAGCTCGCTGATCATGCTAGTTGTGTCTTTGAGGCGGCCTGAAGCGCTGTGGTTGCATGCAAATGATAGGCGGGTAGTTCGTGACCAATGGTTGAACCATTAAAGAGACACGTTGTTTGTGCACTGCTCGCTGTAATAGACCAACTGGTGGATGCGAGTCAGGTGAACGTGCGGAGCGCGTTACATACTAGAGGTGTGTCTTGCTTGAACAGTACCAGTTCTCTACGTCCCCTCGCTTGTCGTAGACACGAATGTGGTAGGGCGCAATACCATGCCTGGAATCAAAAACTTGTAGATATTGTTGTTAATCACGATCACGATTTAATGCACTGTTTGTTTCTGCTGTGTTATAGACTTCCTACGCTGCAGATTCGCCTGCCAGTGCGACCCAGTCTTTTCCGCCAGAAGTGGTGTCGATTTTCTAAGCGTACGTCCAGGATGGAGTAGGTGGAGTAGGCAGTAGGAATAGAATGGAGAGATGGGTATGGGGACTACCTAGATCATAACTTGGAGAGAGCGAGCTGGCCATGTATTTTTGTTGCAGATCGCATAAATATAGGTATCGCTCAGGCTGTGAGTCTTGTCCTGGGCGTCTAATGATACAGGAAAGCACGTTGCAATTGAGGCTGTGAAAAGAAGCACAAAAAGGCCCATATACCTCGGAAACTTAGATCAAGACACTCACAAGCTTTCCAGCAAGGTTCGCTCAACTCGAGCAGAATGATGGAAACAGAGCAGCCCGCCATTCGAATCGCTACGGCTACTCAAATATTTCAAGGTCATGACAACAGTGTCTTCGCAGTTGCAGTCTTCCCCGATAGACGCCGTATGGCGACGGCCTCGTTCGACAAGACACTTCGTCTGTGGGACTTAGAAGGCGGTGGTGTGTCGAAGACAATTGAAGGGCATCGCTTCGGCATAAAAACAGCTGCAGTATCAAGAGACGGGCAATTCATAGCAAGCGGTGATGAAGGTGGAGAGCTCATAGCCTGGAACAGAGACGGCGAATCTCTCACCGAACCCATCAAAGTCCACTCCAAAAAATATTGGGGCTTGATTTTTCCCCAGACAGCACATGGCTGGCGAGCGGCTCATTTGACACTACAGCGGAGCTCTGGAACACAAAAACATGGCAGGTGCAAGGAGATCCAATCAATTGTGGGACTGGCGCTGAAATCTTCTGCGTTCGGTATTCACCCTCTGGTGAACATCTTGCTATCGCAACAAAGCTAAATATCCAAATATGGAATCCAAGCAACAGGAAATGCATTGCGAAGTTCCAGGGTCATTATGCGTTCAATGAAGCATGGAATCTTTCACTCGTGTGGACGCCCGACGGCAAACAGCTTGTCTCGTCTGGTAATAGACGTGACCCCACCCTACAGATCTGGGATTCATCGACCTGGACACAGGTCGGTGAGCCCTACAAGGGCCATACTGACTCTGTCCACATGATTGCCTTGAATCCTACTGGCACCCTTCTCGCCTCCGCATCTTACGACCACCAGATTCGCCTTTGGCGGCTTTCGGATCGAAGAGCCATCGCCATATTCAAGTACCCCAATGAGGTGTACTGTGTCACCTTCTCCACGGATGGCAAACACATCTTGAGCGGAGGAAGAGATTTTATGATCTCAAAGTGGACAGTACCTTTCTTGGAGGACATTCACGAGGACCAGCCATCAGATGTAAGATTCTGTTCATTTTACCTCCCTCCTTTATCTCATAGCCTCCAAGGACGCGTTACGGAAAGACACTTTGAAGGAACAAGTGGCAGATAACGTGAGTTCCTGTTCTTTGTTAGTCTCCTTGCCTGTTGATCCTCAATTTTAATGCCAAGGCTCAACAGTCTGATTGCGAGGCATGTTTCTAGCCTTCACTCTTGCCACGTAATTTGACCATGCGTGATCCAGATCCTCACCATCAACACGACAGCCCGCAATGCATGCATAAGCGGGGACTTGCTCGCTGCTGACAGGATGTTAACACAAGATATCAATGCGGATGGCAACGACTATAACTCTTACGCGAATCGCTCGTTTGTCAAGGCAAGAAATTCAGACTGGGACTCTGCACTTGATGATGCGCACAAAGTGAGATAACTGTCGCGTCGTGACCTTTTTAACAAAGACTTACTTATACTTATATTGCGATATAGAGCATCAGTATTCAGCGATCCTTAATGGGCTGTATCTCGAAGGGCATTGCCCACTGTGGAAAACAACAGTTCCAAGATGCGATGAGAGCATTTGACCTCGCCTTTATGTACGTGGACGCAGACTTGGGTAAAACTCGTCTGCTACTCTTGATTAAGGTATGTCAATTGTCCCTCGTGTACTCGCTACTCAGACGACAGCTATTAGGCCATCGCCCTTTTCAATGCAAATCAACATGATGAGGCCATTCTGCGCGTCCAAGGGCTAGCTGCCACTCGTCCTGATCCAAATTCTCTTGCGTGCGGTATCGTGGAAGTGGGTGCTCCTGCCAGTCAACTCGAGATTCATGCGTCGATGCTGATTCTGTGAACCTCGCACGTCAGGCTTATCTACACCTCCAAATGGGAATGAATGCATTAGACGACGCACGTCACAATGAAGCGGCTGACCACTTCACTGCTGCTGTCAACACCATTGGTTTCTCGTCTATGTCGGCCACTCATTCTAGATATGATGTCTTTGTGGTGGTAGGTTAATTTCAATGCACTGGAAATCATTTTTTTCACGCCTTTTTCTAGTTATTTGGGTGGGACCTCGAGTCCTTGTGGCAAACTGCGCACCAGAATCGGTGCCATTTGTTGCTTCAGTCAGGTAGACTGCCAGAAGCCATCAAAGCATACCGATACATGATGGATAAGGCTGATGAGGCTACGAAGGCACGATGCCTTGATTGGTCCACCGGCAAGTCTTCATGACGTCCACCAAGTATAAGTAGTAACCTCACTTTCACTTAGTTTTTAAGCAAGATTGCAGCGTGCTCTATGCTGCCGCTGGAGTGGCTGACCTCACTGCGAGCGGAGATACTGCCCTCGCTGCAGGCGATTATGACAGAGCTATCGAGCTCTACTCTACGGCGATCGACCTCGATTTGGCAACCGGTACAATTTTTGCGAACCGTAGTAAGGCGAGGTCGGGAAAAATGCTATGGGACGATGCACTCCTTGATGCAGAGAAGGTGTGATGACAGCTACCGTTTCGTATCCAACACTCATTTCGCTGATACACAGGTGATCGAACTTGACCCCTCATCTTACTTTGGATATCAGTTGAAGCATGCAGTACTTCACGGCGCACACCGATATGACGAAGCAATCGACGCATTCCAAACCATGCTCTCCAAGTTGGAAAATGCTGCTGACACACAAACGCACAGTACGGTCCCAAATAAGCACAGCCTTGAACATGCTTGACTCTTTTTTCAGGGCTGCGCCAACAATACCTTAATCCATCTAAAGCGGAAGGAGCTATTCAACAGACCATCAAGGATCACCTCGATGACGCCCCGCATCGTATGCTGAATACCCTTACTGGGTGCTTATGCGATCGACAGGCACAGATTGGTGCCTTCAAAACGAGCACAGAGTACAAGGAGCTTTTGTCATCGACATTGATGCACGCAGAACTCCGAATGGAGCGCATTAAAGATGTCGTGGCGACGTACTTCTGTTGTGTCACGCTATCGCATCGGTGGGAAGGGAATGAACCGCTGCTGCACGACGTCCAGGACAAGGTCGTTGATGAGTTGAATTCAGTTGGGGGCATCATGAAGTTGCAGTCTTTCTGTAAAACTGCTCGTGCTGCGGGGTATCGCTGGGGGTGGATTGATTCCTGTTGCATAGACCAGGCCAATAACGTCGAACTCCAAACATCACTCAATTCCATGTTCGACTGGTATCGCGCCTCAGCGCTCACGATGGTCTACCTATCAGATGTTCCGCCATCGTCAAAACAAGGTGCGTTGGCAAGGAGCGCATGGAACACGAGAGGATGGACCGTACCTGAATTCCTCGCTCCAAAAGTCGTCCGCTTCTACCAAAGCGATTGGACCCCGTATCTCGACGACCACTCTCCCAACCACAAGCAGTCTGTCGCGATCATGCAGGAGTTGGAGGGTGCGACAGGGATAGATGCACAAGCCCTTGTCGCATTCCGTCCTGGAATGATAAACGCCCGCGAGAAACTTCAGTGGGTGTCGACCCGTGTCACCACAGTGCAGGAAGACATCGCGTACTCATTATTTGGTATTTTTGGTGTTCGGCTTCCTGTCATGTATGGTGAGAAGAAGCATAACGCGCTGGGGAGGCTCTTGCAGGAGATCGTAGCTCAGTCGGGCGACATCAGCGCCCTGGACTGGGTGGGGCAATCATCCGAATTCAATAGCTGTCTACCGGCCGACATTACATCATACAAAGCTCCACCATACACCCTGCCATCTTTGTCCGAAAATGACATTCAGACGTCAATCTCTACGCTCGGACATGTCGCGGCTGTGGATTTGGCCTTGAAACTTTATGTCCTGCTCGACGACCTGAACGCGCCTCGTTTCGCTAACTGCAGACTGCATCTGCCTTGCCTTGCATTTCGTGTCACAGCAGTCAAACGGAGTCGTGCCGAAGACCAGGATATATATGAAGTGAAGGCCGAAGGGCTTCACGACCTGCTGATCACCACGGAGGACAAGTTGAATCAGTTCTCATCGCCACGACTCACGATGCAGACATTCTTGCTTGTTCGTCCGTGGAATCGGTTTCTCCTCGGGCTTCCTGACTTCGCGGAGCAGTCTGGCATGGCAGAGCTGCCTGACATTGTCGATGATACGCAGAGTGAGGATGATTATTGGTCTGCACCCGGGTCTCCATTACAGAATTCCTCTGGCGGGTTCCCTGGAGCACAAGAGTTGGTTGATCCAGAACTGAGCGATCGAGCCTTGCAATTAGCTGCTCGCCTTGGACAGCCTTTTGGAGCATTTTTGCTAGCGCAGCAGCGCGGCGGAGAATACAAGAGAATCGCGTCAGATCATGCTATTATTGCACAAGTCCAAGACCTTTCTTCTATTCCGGACATGGTCAAGACGCTAGAGATATTGTAGCGGCATGCGTTTTTGGTGTTATTGATATCAATGATCCAAGAGTATGAATCTCACATATGAGACGATCAACACCCACGGAATGTCCTCGAAGGTGGTATATAAGAAACGATGCAACCGGCCAATTTCATACTCTCCAACCATAGGCTGACCTGTGGCTAAGACTAGAAATTGGATGAATGAGGAACATAATATTCATCACGAATCAAGCCATTGTCCGGAGCATTGTCGTGCTGCAAATGGGCGTGTAAGACCTAGACCACAACGGGAAAAATGAACAGAGCATGACATGCATGACAGTTGATCGATCTGGGGTAAAACATCGAAAATTGGTGGCAATATCATCATCAGCGAACCGGTGAAGAAAGTAGAAGGCCATATATCGCAGTATATAGTACATAAACACAATAATTAGTATAATTCTGTTATCGAGGATTGTATCGTCATCTTTGTCCTTGTAGAGGAAAGGAGGTTTTTTAATTTCTCTATGAAACTTGAAGATCAGGAAACAGTGCCAATATCGCTCGAACTGAAAATTGGAGGGAAGGTGCATCAGGAAATCTCGAGTTTACCTTCTCAGCTTTTTAGTACTTAAAATTCACTTTTTCACTTATTTTCTGCACGCAAAAAGTGGTCACCATGAAATTAAGTTGAAAGACCGAAAAAAGTGTAATAAGAGAAAAAAGTGCATATTAGGGCGCTCCAGCTACTAAGTAGTAGTATAGGTAACAGTAGTAGCACAAAAATACAAGTCATGACCGGCATGAAAACCAATGCCAAACTTGGAGGTGTCGCACTCGTCAGCGCTCCATTCATGGTTATGGGTATGTACTGACCAGCACCACTAACAAGCTATTTCGAAGGCATGATGGTCAGCAAATTTGTTCACATAGAACAGCTTGAAGACGTCAAGGACGTGATGGAACTTGATCAATGGTGAGAGTAGTGTTGCGGAAGTCCGGTTTGGTCCGGTTCAGCAACAAATTTTGCGAACGCTGAACCGGACGCCATGAACGCGTTCATGGCGTCCGGTTCACGTCCGGTTCAGCGTTCGAACATCGAACACATTGTAAATATACTCGATTGTACTATAGCTAGTAGTAAGGAGTACTGGTACACTACTGTGAAGCAGGCTCGAAGGGGGTGATGCCGTCGATATCTGTCTCATGATCCATGTCAGTAGCTGCATCCGTAGTTACCCCGTTATCCTGGTCTCCTTCACAGTCACTTTCCCCCTCAGAGCCCTCACTCGTGACCACTGACCTGCTAGCCTTGCGTTTGCGCAAGACAGCGTTGTTGGGGTCAACAAGCTTGGGTGCAGGGCATGGGATACGAGTTGAGCGATGTGCCTGAGCGGGAAGCACAGGCAGTGGAGTATCATCGTCGGGATTGTTGTACCATCGGATTTGACTGGCGTCGAGAAGAGTTCCATCTGCACCCAGACCACACTGGTCAGCCATGTTGTGAGGGGGAAAGCTTGAAGAGAGTTGAGCTTACCTTGAATTTGATCCATTTTAACTTCCATCGAGTTCATGAGTGCCAAACAATTCATGTAGCTACCCTAGAAAAAAAAACGACCCGTTAACAAATACATTAGCACTAAACCAAATTAACCAAAGTCTCCATACCTTATCAGGTTCTTCCTTTGTAATGTTTGGGTTAGTGGTAGGCAAACAAACCTTCACGGACCTTGCCAGTGTGGCATGGTCCTTGTGAATCGGATTCCAAGCGAAAAAGTCGCGAGTAATCATGTCATGTTCAGTGTATTGCGTGTGTGGGTGATGTCATCTTGTATGTGTGAGTAGCCTAAAATGGAAGCAGTTCAAAAAGGTTCGGACACGTTCAACACGTTCAAGGAATGCTGAACGCTGGACTGGACCATCGGTCCAGTTCAGCCTATACTCTGAACATTGAACTGGACCATGGTCCAGTCCATGAAAGGTCCGGTTCGAACCGCGGTTCAGAACCGAACCTCCGCATCACTAGGTGAGAGCGGTGCTGTACCATAGACTGGAATTAAATGAGCCGCACAAAAAATAGTGTCAATATGAACCACCGCAAAGTGTGGGGTGCGATTTGCAGAAAAAGCTGGCTTGACAATCCACATACCAGTGTCAGGATCAGGTGCATCACCAACTCGGTTGAACCAGCGGATCACTGCACATGGAATTCGTCTGCCGTGGTGTCGAAGGGAGAAGAACGCCATAACACGCACAACATCCATGCCTCCCATCCCATGATTGTCTGGATCGGTAATCACAAAAACACAATCATTGCGCGCACATTCATTTCTCCATAAGGTACATGCACGGATATATTTGCGCTTCATGCCACCAACACCACTAAGGTCACTGGGTGCATGAAATGTCGATGATGCAGAGTTAAATACTGAAATTCGACCCAGATAGTATGGGGACTCTAAGAGAGTGATTTCGGTAGGGTCACGAGCATCATAGGGATTAGACTGTTCGAAAAGGAACCATTGAACAAGCTCGGCCAGGTGGGGAACATTAAGCTCAGCACCAAGCTCTGGAATGCATTGTGCACGCTTTGTCCCTTCTATGTACTCATTCTCAGTATGTGAAATGAAAATTGATGAACACAGCTGTACTTACGTGGTGTATTAGCGAGTTCTACATGTGTGAGGACTGACATTGGGTCATCGACAACCTCAAAGTCTGTGCCCCCATCTTCTCCGAGTCCAGCAGGCAAGATGGCGGCAGGTGGCTCTTGTTGGTATGTATTGTGATGCTCCTCAGTGGGGGTTTGTGAATTCAGCGCCGCAATGACAGAAGATAGACAGGTGCCGTTAAGCATTCTGTGAGCCTGAAAATCTTGACATGAAGCAGTCAATTTGTCCAGGCGTTGGTTGGTGTCACGAGTACCGTTAACAAACCATTATTCTTTCTTGAATCTTCCTAAGCGTCAATACAAAGCGTCTAAGATAAACCCTAACCCTACTCTGAAAGCGTCTACCATTCCCGAAATACCTTTAGCGCCCACGACACGTGTCTTTGATGTGATTGATGAAGAAGACGAGTTCTTTGATTGTGAATAGATTAGATAAGATAAGATATGGTCACGGGATGCTTCTTTAATATTCTACGATGTTCTATGGTACAATTCCCTTTTCTATTTATATGATTGGCTAGTAGTTGTAACTCAGTTTCAATCTCCGTTTCAATAGTTGTATATAGGTAGCATGTCTTGGTCAATAGTTCCTTAGTTCAAACCTCTTGTATCTACACTGTAGCAATCCAAGACGTACCTGCTCTTCTCTCTTTGTCTGATAACCTTAGATCGAGTCCTAGTCTCTGCCCAAGCATTTATTCGTTATTTGGGTTGTGACAGTTGGTCACAAGCATCTGGCCAAGCGCTTTGTAGCAACTCGATCATCTCCATGGTTCTTTCACAGCCTTGATGTGTTTGGATTCGGTGATTGAGGAACAAAGTCCATTCGGAGCGCCAAAAAGTCGAATAAGAGTATGGTAGTGTTTCATCGAATGTTGTCGGGGGAGTGAGAATGTCAGAATCATCCCAGAGGACTTGAAGATTTCGTGATACTGATGGAATCGAGCGAGCGCATCATCAATTTCTGTAAGTGTCTTCTCTGTGATAATATTACGACGGACAAGATAACAAAATTTGAGGAAAGCATGAAATGTGCGGACAATTTCGACTGGGACATAGCCTTCGATTGCTGGCAAATATACCTATATGCTGTTAGTCAAGAGTCTTGAATAAAACCAGATAAAAATTGAAATACCTTCATAAGCGCCTTTGAATCGTCTCCAGTCCACTGTTGAAAGTTGCGTCCTTGAGGAAATCTGCGCAGTCCTGAAAATGCAGGAACTGCTGCGATTCTATTTGAGGTACTACTAAATATTGAATCCATGGTTAATATGATATGTGACGAACCTTCTATCAATGTCATCCAGAATAACATCGGCCTGTGTTTGTCCATGCGTCTGCACGAGATATTTTTCGACCCAGACCACCAAGTGGTCCTTGAACACCCCCTTGATTATTTGATGAAGAAGATCTGGCGCAATGAGTTCATGTATATCGGCACGGGGAAAGTCATTCGTAAATGGCTATACAGATAAATCAATTCTGATTGTCAAGTAGTAAACATGACACTCCCAGACTTACCACAAGTTGGGCGGCAATTCCAAACTCGTCCCAGAGTGCCAAATGGTCACATTCTTCGATTAGTGCCTCAGTATGTGTTTTTGAGCGTCGGAGACTGTCATCGTCAAGACTCTTGCGATCTGAAAGACATCTATTATAGATTTAGAATTAACATAACAAGAAAGTGACGAATACTACTTACTTAGCGCACCAATTTTTGACTATGCATCCAAGCAGCACTTGTTCTTCATAGTCAGCAATATATGGGCCTAATCCATAGATAACACAGCGATAATGACCATCGCCAAAGCGTGCAACTTCAGGCTTCGTCATTGCGGGCTTCAAGTTCTTCAGTATGTACGAAATTGATGAATGAAATAATTGGTGATGGAAATTGCGGAAATCTGCAGTCTTAGCATGCTGTTTAGTTGCTTTATGCATTGTGAGATGAGTAACAATGCGCAAATAGAGAGAAACTCACTCTTTGGCATTGCTAGAAATCCGATTACAGAAACTGCATTACGGTGAGCACGGCGCACATTGTTGCGAACATTTCCGATTGACGCATATAGTGGGTAATAGTCGTTCTGCCCAGTTGCAACTGATACAGTGGTTTTATCACTGCCAAGAATGACAGGCACGAACGTCGAGCCATGAGTGTCCAGATCATCAGAAATTTGATCCTATTTAGTTCTTAATTAAACCGACCAGCGTGAAAAGGAAGGGGACAGCTTACTGCATGATTCCAAGCCCAATCACCAGACATAAAGTCTTGCCATTGGCGCTCATCTGTTTCAGTCGCAAACTCATGGTAAGGCTGCAGATCCATCTCCAGGGCGTAATCAGGGTTAGCAAGCATATTCTGAACAACGTGATGAGGATCACAGAATCAAACATCATAACTATCTTCCATCCATGGTGCGGTGTCGTCAACTGTGCGATCTCCAGTGTATTTGACCGAGAATGACTGCCATTGCACTTTGCCCAAAGGAGTACTGTCAATGGTCTTGTAGACATGGCAGTGGTCTGTAAATAGCGCACCAGTATTAGTAGCACCACCTCAGATTAGCGAAGCTGCCCATATATCAAGCAGGGAGTCAATCTGTGCTGCGGGTGGTAAATATATAGTCGGTGAGCTTGAACTCTAACCGATCAGAGTAGGGAGTCCAGTCATTGAATGCTTTGTCCGACAACAGTAGAGGTGGAGTGCCAGGAGGAAGGAAGCTCCCTTCTGAATCACATGGACAAGCTTTTGAAATTGATGATGTGTCAGATAGAGAAAATGCGAAAAGTGAAGGACAATTACCAGTCAAGTAAGGGTGATAATTTCGATACAAGCGGTCACCGGCACCAAAGAACTCTGCAGGTGGTTGTGCAGGACCAGGAGTGGCAGCATGGTACTCTTTGTCCAAGTTGGTGCCATCATATTGCTCAGGGTTGATATCGGCATCAAAACAAGGTGAAGGGGATTGATCGGACTGAAGCGGATGTGAGGGTGCGGTGCTGGAAAGGACTGAATGGATGGTGTTTGTATGTTGTGTAAGACCAGACTTGTTCTTGAACCAGCGGTTGCAGCCTGGTTTCGTGCAAGGAATGTGAAGGGTATTAAACCCTGGTTCGACATGTGACATGGCATACTGGAATGGACAGTAGAGTGACCTGAAAAGTATTACAGCGCTGTTTGTCTGAGTTTAGAAAAGTGTGTTTCGGGCACTTACCAAAGTGTTTAATCCTGGTCTCCAGTCTATTTTCCTTCCCGGCATCTGAGCTGTCTCCCACTGCCTCTATTCTTTCTGCTATGGTTTCTACTCATGAGTCTAATAAAGGGAAGCACCCTGGTGATATTCTGAAAAAGACTATGAAGAAAAAGCATACCACCAAAGAAATTGCTGAGGATAATCGGCAGAGCAAAGAAGCTCAGGAAGCTCAGGAAAAAGCTGCCCAACACGGCATTGATCGCATTGGAGCAATAGAGGCCTCGATGGAAGTAGAGCAGGCAGCAGCAGTATCAAAGGTGGCACCCATAAAGCCAAAGCCTCATGCAAAGGCAGTCAAAAAGAAGGCTACTGATGACATCCCTTCAAATAGTTGCGTGGAATCAGGAGACGAGACCAGCAGTGAGTATAAATGCCACTTACCTTGATAGGCATTACTAACAACAATACAGACATAGCAGGCGATGAGGCTGAGCCAAACCCAAAGGGGAAGAGAAAAGTAAAGAACGTGCTGTTGCGTGAGGACACACATGACCAGAAAGGAAACTTAGTGTCAGTAACATCTCCATCTCACACCATCATGCTGATACTCACCAAATCAACACTTTACTTTCTAAACCTGACGTTAAAATTTAGAAGCAAGAAATTTAGCCTGTCTGGGCAGATTAATAACTGGCGTGATAAAGTTGAACCAGACTCGAAGCAAAAATCCTCATGAGCCGCCTCTGTTCTGAGTGGGACAACTTCCTACTCAACGACTTCCAAGCTGTCCAGCGCAACGGCAGCAACTACTTTTTCCAGTGCAACAGAACCACTGCCTACACCAGCAAAGACTTCTGGGTTCGCTGATTATACTGATGCCTCAGACGACAATCAGAGCAACAGTGACTCTGAAGAGCGTGCAGCTGCTGTCACAAGCAAAGGGAAAGGAAAAGCTGGCATGAAGGTAAGTTGCAGCTGATGATGAAACATTTGCTTACTGTCTGTTTCAGATAATTGTTGAAATTGAGGATGGTTCTGACTCCGAAGAGCATGCAGCTGTTAATGCAAAACAGGGAAGTCAGAAAGTTGCCGTGCAGGTAAGTCACAGCTAGTTATGATTGACAAAATTTGTACTTACAGTCGGCAAGGAACCTCAGGCTACTAGTAACGACGACTCACAAATGCCGCTGGCTGGCACTGCCTTTGCTGATTTGCCTTACAGCAAACAATTGGAAATTGTCAGCTTTGCATTAGAACAAGCGACACCACATACCATCCGCAAGAGGAAGATCGAAGAGCTCATGATTGAGTCGGACGAAGCTGGAGATGAGGATGGCTCAGAAGTCGAGTTTGATGATGTGGATTATGTCATGGAACCCTTTGATGAGATCGAAGCTACTCCTGAGAAGGCCGCTTTGCAGCTGGTTCGCACCACAGCAACGGTAAGTGACTTCTTGATTTGGCAAAACATTTACCTTGACAACCACACAGACAAGTGTGACAGCTTCTGAGAAACTGAAGGCGCCACCCAGGCCTGGCCCTCAAGCCAAGAAGATTAAATCAGAGACGGCTTCCCAAACCTCGATGATGCGAACCTCAGTTGTTCCCACTGTGTCAGAGTCAATGCTGGCAGACATGGCAATGAAGCCAAAAACGGGAAACCAGTGGCGCAACACAGACCTCCCACTGATCATGTTAGAGAATGGTGCATGGCACAGGCAATTCATTCCGACTGTTCTCCTTTGGGCGGGTAGCTAGCCTGATTTTTGGATGATCGAGGCCCCTGATTTACTGCATGCGCTGCAGGCTATATTTGCTACAATGTACCCAGGAATAGAGCACAAGGTCCAACTTAAGGGCCCCATCATGGGCGTGTTGTCCTTAACTGTACGTATATTTGTCACCTTGACCATCATTGAAACAGGCCACCCAGCGCTTATGTATGTGGTGGAACAACTTTGGTTCTACCGCGATCGCGCTTGTTTCTAATTTTTTGTCATCTGTGAACAAAAATGATGACGACAATGATGAAGCAGATGATGACACAGACTCAGATGCCCAAGAGAAAGCCATGGTACATATAGCATGCTCCCTTCTCAAAGATTACGCCTTTCTGTTTGCGGACCCCGATACCTGCAAGACCTCCGAGATTTACCGCTCCATCTTCATATTGCAAATGATTGCGACAGTCCATCTTAACACATTCATTGGCTTTGTCGACGTACCTGCACTTGATACAAGTGCTCTGCCTTCAATGCAGATGGAGGGGGTAATTGCTGCTTGCGCTGTTGCTGTACTGAGTCCTATCCCTAAACTTGCTTGAAAACAAACTAATCGTTAATTTAATTTTAACAGCTCAAACACTTTCAAGTTAGTTGCAGATAAGGACAAGAAGGGCATGGCTCTCAAAACCCCCCACAGACTCAACAAAGCTACTGGTAAGGAAAGCAGCGCTCAGCTAGCCTTTTCTGAGTCGAACTGGGGATCGTTCACTCGAGACTATTACCTGTCCATTCTGAGGCGTGGCCCGAAATATACAGCAGACACAATTATTATGGCACATGTGTTTGTGAAAGATATGAGCTCGGCAGATGGTAGCAGCAAAGGCTCGAACGAGGAAGGTGTCGCAGCTGGTGGGGAGCGGGCAATGCTCTGTGAGTGGTTTTTCCTTGTTCCATACTCCAGTGACTGACATAGTACTACTGTACTTTAACAGAATGACTCCTGCATTTTTTCTTCGCATATTCTCGAACATCTTCATGCTCTAAGCCGGCGCATCTAAGATATATATCATATTAATGCACCATCTACGTAAATTCTTCTCGTCACAAGCTACTGACTCAACTTTCTTCTTGTTTTCATCCTTTTCGCACTTTTCATACTTTTCACGAGCGCAGTAATACAACTTTTAGTCTGCTTTTTTAAGCGAATCTCAGAAATAAAAGTTCAAATAAGTGGAGGATAAGTGACATTTAAGTAGAGAGATCTAATTGAAAAAGTAACTTCTACTTTTTTCCGCCTCCGTACTATTTGATGCGAAAAGTCGGATAAAAGTGAGTAAAAGTTAAACTCGAGATTTCCTGATGTGGAACAAAAGCTAATGGTTGACTGACATGAATCAAAAGTGTCATACTGTTGGTAAGGTTCACAATATCCAAGCTAAGACTGAAAACCCGTGGCTTTCAAGGGTACAAGGATGTGTTGACTTCAGCGGAAGACATACATGTGTGTCTTCTGTTAAATCTGGATGTATTTCCTTGACAAGCCAATTTTCCGTCACTTTCACAACAATTTTACTTGTAAGAGTGAAAGTCCATGTCTTCCTGACCACGATAATGTATTCACCCGAGCGCATGACATGAAAAATACATTTTGCTTCCACTTTGCATCAGTGAACTGAGGGACAAATTAGAATGTCATGTATATCAATATATAGTACACAATCACAGGCATCTACATAATTCTGCCACCAATCGTTACAATGGCATGTTTGACCTTATAGAGGCACAGAGAGTTCCTGATTTCTCCGCACAAGTCTGTGATCAGGAAAAGACCCCCGCAACCCTCAAAATCAAGCTTCAAGGAAAAATAGAGCGAAGTCAGATACTCAAACTGGATGAATTATAATAGCCACTGGCTAGTGTTACAACTTGGATGGTATCTGTTGGCGACGCTCAAACAGAGCATGTGTCGTCAACGATTGAGGACGTCCTTGGGCTAGCCCAAGGTTAGGGGTCTTACTTGGCAAGGCTTCGGCAAGTAAGATTTGACGCCTATGTCCAAATCGGGTAGCTTACATCAAGCGGATGCTAGACGATGAGCTGTATCTGCCAAGACTTACGACACCCGAAGGTTAATCGTAAGATCGTCGTTAATTAGAAGGACGGAAGTCCGACTAGTTAGCAGGGGCTTTGCTCGTTGATGAAGTCGATGAGTAAAAATCGAGACTAAGGACTTATCCGCGAAGAGCAGATAAGAAGATAGAATATAGACTGCTGGCTAGGCAGAAAGGATCACTCTGGTGAGAGTAGGAGGTCAAGAACCAAGTAGATTCAAGTTAAGGAATATGGTACATGGTAGCGAGTTTATATAGAGGATAGGAGGCGTATTAGTGGATGATAACTCGTACTACCAAGTGAAGTAAATGATAAAGGGCATAACCATAAAAGGAAGGCACGTTCGGGGTGAGACACGGGTGAACCAGAACGTGCTTGATAAGAAAGTGAGTCAAAGGTCAAAACAAGAAGTGAAACGTGCAGGGGCACAATCGTGCAGCTGCGGAGTTAAGTATAAGTCGCATGTGCGACTGCGCACTGAGTCAGAGATCAAGAAAGGGAAATGGGCAAAGGGGATGCATCATGCATCATATCATAGGTTACCGTCTGGACGGTAAGGGTAAGGGGACTGTCCACAGGATCAGTCAGGTGGTAGAATGGAGCATGGGTATGCTTCGTCAGCAAACAGATCCGGCCAGATGTACTGGCTCTGCTGAAGCGACAGGTAGAGAGTGAAAGGGAATGCAAGGATGACAAGTATGACAAGGGTAAGGTCGGGGTAAGGGTATGACGCGAGGGCTGATACGAGGAGGATTAGGAGAAAAATGGTAGGGGCCCAAGCGTCTAGATGTTCTTGTAACAGCTAGTGCTGCCACGGTCCGGTCCAGAACTATGGTTTGAACTGGACTTTTGGTCCAGTTCTCTGCGGTTCGGTCCACGGTTCTCACATCAGCCAGAACTGGACTGGAGAACGGTTCTCGGTTCTAGGTCTTCCCAAACGGTCCCGTTCTGGTTTGGCCTTGCTGAACCATTCCGAACCATTATCGACTTTGACTTTGACTTTGACTGCGACAAAGTCGGTCTCCACATCAAACTGCTGTCTTCGGGATTTGCACTATTGGTTAATCAGGCTACCTTCAGCCTTTTCAAGGTAAGTACTAATCAATCAATTTCTCACATGACTTTCTATCTCTCTTTTTCAAGGCACCTTTGATTTGTGTCCCACCAATCATCCGGACTGAACCATCACTCAGCTCCATCTTGCCGTTGTCCACCCACAAATTACAGGTATGTGCATCTGAATTTAATTTTTTTTTAAAAAATCTCATTTGAGTCAGGCTCTATAATTATGTGCATGTGTCCTTTTTGTCACTGGCAAAAGCCATCTTCCTATCAACTGTCTCATTCAAATTGTTTTGAAGTTTTTGACTTGATACTAACCTTACACTTCAGGTACCCTCAGCTCCTGTTGCCAATAAACCCAGCCTATTCCCTACCTCATCTACTCCACAAATAACCACCACCACTGCACCTACCACGTCATCTACACCCTCCATACTGGACTTTTTCACTAAGCCAATTGCACCGTCGACGCCTGCACCTGCAGCATCAAGCATGGAAACCGGCAAACCAGCACCATTCCCCTTTGCAAAATTAACCCAGTGTACTACCTTCCTTGATGCCAACATCTACATCGACACAAGCTAACCCACCATCGATATTTAGTACCACTTCGAGCAATGCTGCCCCAACTTCTGCCCCATCCACACCTGCACCACTGAAGTTTGACTTTGGCAAGAAGCCTGTGAGCACGATCCAAAAACCTACTGCTGCACCTTCCCCTACCACAACTGTTGCCCATGCCACAAAACAGACTTGCCCTTCATTCGCGTTTTTGGTGGCTGCTCCCCAATCCAGTCCCCTGGGAGCAAGTTTGCACGGCCAATCATTTTCATGAAGGCTGCTTACCATAATGGACATCTTTCAGCAGCTACAGAGGCAGAGGAGTACACACAAATGTTATTAGAGTAGTTACTCAATGTGTAGACTAGTATTTCATCAATTGTTTTTGCTGTCCCTACAGAAATTCTTTTGGTTTAGTTTGAGTTCAGACCACAAAAAAACCGAACTGGACCATTGGTCCGGTTCTCGGTTCTTGTCGAAGACCCTCTGAACTGGACTGAACCGGACCACGGCAGCACTAATAGCCATGTAGCAAGCAAAGTACAAAATGTCAAAGTTAAGCATGGAACCTGGAATCTTTCGAGAGAACAAACTGGCGATAAGCAAGTAACAATGATATCACTCTTCGTCGCTCTCAAAAATTTAATGCCATCTTGATCAGTTATCTAAGAATTGTCTTGTGTGATGTGGTTGGCTATCCGTGTGAAGAAACATCAAGTTTGTACAGTAGCTGAGGTACATTCATGGAGTGAATCACAAAAATGTTCACTTTACTTTTACGTTGATACCACTTGTTTGAAATGTGGGGATATTCATCAATTACTGGTCAATGTCCAGGGTGGTCCCAAAGCGCCGACATCTTCCAGAGAACAACTATGTGCTCACCAAAGCAAGTGACAATCAAAGTGTGTGCTACTTGAAATTTTGACGGTATTTTCTTCAATGATCTAATAGTGGTATTGTAAACTGCAGTTGGAGATCCATGCAAAGATGTGTTCAGGTTTTCAGCAAGCAAACAACAATCAACCTATATTCGACTTCAAGTTGCCATTCAACCTTATGTAAGTGTGCAATGATCATATTATATATTGCACTTCAAAATCCATGGGAAGAAACACTACATTGGCATGGCTACCGGAGCATGTCAACGAGCGAGCAACAGTCAAGTCATATTCCACCTTGAATATCTAGTCTCAGCTATACAATTTGTCCTTTCGGCGACTATCTTACTAATCAGCACCAACATTGATGTATGACAGCGCATTATTGCGAAACTAAAAAAAAACATGGAGAAGTACAAAGCACATCCTCTACTTCATGGACTCAGCGTGTGGAACATAAGGGGAGTGATCCATCTTTTGCACCTCGAACTGCAAGCATTCAATGACCGGAAGATAATGCACATGGTGTCACGCATATCACGATTCCGTATTTATGTGCTTCAAAGGGAGAGATTTCGTATGTGTGCTTTTGAGATCTCAGCTATATAGTTTGTTCACCCAACAACCATTTTACCATTTGGCACTGACATCCATTTGTGATGGCTTATTATTATGAAACTAGGAAATACAGACAAGACAAAGCTCACCATATGTTCCATTGACTCAGGGAATAGAACACAAGGAGAGTGATTCATGATTCACATCTTGAACTGCAAGCCTTTAATGAGTGGCAGATAATGCATGCAGCGTCATACATCACAGCGATTTCATATTTGTGCGCTCTAAAGGGTGATTCCATATGTATGTATTTGAAATCTTGGTGAGGTAGCTCCTCCATCCGACAGGGAACTTACTGTTTGGCCCCCTCATACATTAGTGATGGCCCATTCACACCAGTCTCAAGAAGTTGTAGTTTAAAATCATTCACTCGAAAAAGATTCATTGCAGATGTAATATCCTTCATCAGCAAACTAGTGGGTACTTGTACAAGGTTGTACAAGGTTCACAGGCACACAAGGAAGTCCCCTCTTTACAGTCTTGTCACAAGGTAGTACAAACTATCACAGACTGTACAAGCATCACAAGATTCACAACTCATACAAGCACCACAATACTGACAAACAGAACACACTGTTAGGAGTCTGCAGATGAGACACATGTTGCAGATGAGACATGCTGTATAAGTTTATGTAATTTGTAGGACACCATGCAAGCTTGTACCGGAAGCATAAATTGTGCTGATTGTCATAGATCATAAAACATGAGTACTAACTAGTATGCAAGATTATAAAATGATGTTGATATCCTCCAAATCACTGCCTCCTGCACTCAAGTCGCCATGAACAAGCTCACCCATCCCAATATGAGCCCACAGCACCAGCATATCTTCAAGCTCGTCACAACGTTCGGGAATGTCCATCAGTTTGTTGAGAGACTTCTGCAATGAGTTTAAGTTGTTCCTACATTTTTCAGCGGAGAGGTCAGGTACTTTGTCGGTACCAGTTTCAGAAAACCCAGAGATGACACCCTTCATCTATTAACTGATTCGCAACAGAAAATAAAATAAATCACAGCATACCACAGTGGCCACGAGAATAAGCGCATTCGTTGGGATTGTGTGGTGAAATTCGTCTGTATTTTGAGCACCTTCTTGCTATTGCTATAATAAAATGCAAGGCAGCCATCCATGAGAGCTTGCGACACAAAATTTTTCCATTTGCCCTAGAAAAAATAAACAGTGAGCAGCCACATTGCGAGGAGTGATCACATACGTTAGACGAGTCAGGAACACGAAGGTAACCACCAGTCTTGAGGAGCTTAGTGGCAGCTGTGATGATGTGCTTCTGTATATCCTCCTTGCGTGTGACTGTGCCCTTTGGGAAGATGTCATATGCTGATTTCGCAATGGGTATGATGACTTTCTTCAGCTCTGTGTGGAATGTAAACAAATCATCGCAGAGCTGATAATAAAATAAGCACACTGATCATCAGTTAATGAGATGCTTATCACTCGAGACATTTGAGCTTTGTACTCCGGGAAATAACCTTGAAAAATAATGAGATTCGAGGAAGTCTGGTGGTGCGATAAACACTTACCTTTATCCATTTTGATCTTCTTCTTGTGGTACCTCCAGAGTTCAGCATCCATGTACCAGCGATTAAACCAATGATGTAGCGCTGAACATCACGGTGAACTCTCCCTGTGACTTGCTTGAGCTTTGAGATTCCACAAGAGAAGTGGTGGTAGCCTGTGATGGGCTGCAAAATCAGATCTGACATCATGATCCCAATCTCGGCTGCTATCATCAACAGTTTCAAGACAATGACAAGACACTCATGTATGAGGCAGTCTCCAAGCACGCCCCGCATCCATTGATTTGGGTGCAAATACTGTGAGATAGGGAGGAGAGCTGTAAGTAGGAATGCCCTAGATGAGAGTTTGGTGTGAGTGTGCATGCAGATATTCGCAAGGCCTAGAAGAAGTGGATGAGTGACCCTGGCACCAGTCATAGTGGTGATGTTTGTTTTGTTGGAAGATAGTACAGTCCCAAGGATTGTAGCGCCTCTAGGTAGTTGGTTCTGCAGAGCCTATGGTGAGATGATGCAAATTTTAGAGACCCAGATGCACGTACCTGGATATCCCAAGCAAAATCACCTGTCAGCCACTCCAAATATATGCGCAGAACCCGTGCTGCAGTAGTGTACACGCGACGAGGGACAAAGTCGAGCTTGTCATGGAAGAGGGGGTTGCTGAACAGACTCTCTAAGCATTCAACAGGATCCCTCCAGAATAGTCGGATCGGGTGTTTCATGCTATGGGGCGAGGTAATGAGCTGACATTTCCAGCTCGGTCCCTTGGGGAGCATCTCGGCATGGCTTCGTAATTCTTTAGCATTGTTGAAAGATAGTTTGAGTTCGCGAATCTGCAAGGGCAATTGTCAAAAAGAGGGCGAGGAGAAGGAAAAGTGCAAGCGCAAAAGATTACATACCATCGAGAGTGCCAAAAATTCATTGATTGCCACCATACTGAGGGAGGACTGAAGAAGAAAATCGGCGACTTCCCACTCGTTCCTCGATGCAAAAGGATAAAAAAGATTATCTTTCCTGCAGTCTGCATACTCATCAGTGTCAAATATGTCCAAGAAGGTTGTGCTGTCCTGAAAGTAACAAGTCCCTGCGCCCTCGTACCATTCCTCTGCACTTGATGGTTCTTCTCCCACTGTGTCAAAGTGGTCTCCCCCAATGCCAAAATCCATTCCATCTCCAGGATCAGGATCATATAAAACCCTGTCACGATCCGAAGGAAACTGAGAAGAGAGAGGATCAAGGGATTGCTGATGTGGTTCGACCAACTCTGCAAACTGAAAAATGTCGACCATATCGCAAATGGAGCTATGACATGAGGTTCGGGGCTGGCTAAGGTGGTGAGCTACACTGGACTCCTTCATGAATATTTTGCTGCATTTTGGAAATGATGGTATTGACATAAGGTATGCGAGATTCACACACTTCCAACTTAACATTCATCATCATATGGAGCCTCTAGCCCCGTCTCCTTCTCGTTATTCTACACCCTCTCGCTGTTCCAGAAACTCTTCTTGTTCAAGTTCTTGCCATTCCACACCTTGTTCTCGATCCTTGCGCTCATTGTATTCCAACTTGAATCATTTTCCAAGTTATCACTACTCACTAACACACCGCTGCACCTGTGCTCACAATCAACGACCTCCAAATCATTCGCCATCTCAATCGGCATGCTTAATCAAAGAGGAGGATGTTTTTCCAGGAGGAGTGCAGCTTGTGAGTTAATATGTGCTCTAATTTCCTCTGCACTTTCTTATCTGCCGTTGTCAGGAGTTTGATTCAAGTTGCACCTCATTTTACCAAGCCGATGAAGAGGATGACAACTCCGACCTGGCCCTTGAGGCAGCTAAATCAAGACGCAAAGTGTGCCAGGCTCAAAAAGCCCTGGTGGATTGCACCTTGGAGCATCATATGGTACCTGTGGACCTCTACCGCCGTCGCATTGAAGCTGCAAATATGCGTCTATTAATGGCCTACCTCAATGTAGGGCGTATGCATATTGAGAGGAAAAAAAGTGGTATTCTGACATTTGTGGGTTCAAGTCCTCGACGTGGTACAGCCTGAGTGCGCTGTAAGTTAGGTTCTGTCATACTACTATCATACTATTGTTAACAAATATTGATCAATATTTCACATGTGATATAACCAGTAATACTTGATTTATGCACTACATACTAGTATATACTGTTTTGATTTACTCCTCCTGCACACTATTGTTTCAATGTTTACCAGTGCTGTCCTTGTGACACTTGTGATGTCTGTGATGTCTGTGAGACCTTGTGTGGATCTGTGTGCACTTGTGACTCGTGTGAAACCTGTCACCAAATTAGTAGTTTGCTGATGTTATCGCACAAAGCAAATTTTAAACATATGACATTAGGTCAAAATTATGAATATAAAGCTCAAGTACGTTTAAGTTCTAGGGCAAGTCAAAAGCAGCATCGTCGTGTGCTGCCCTTTGCCTTGCAAGGGCGTTTACAGACATATTATCCTTCACTCCTTGGCTGAGGTCGTCATGATGACTCCTTCCAAAAACCTTCCTAAACAGAAAGTTCAATTAAGGCTTTCTGGGACAGTCAAAAATGCACCTAGTCCACCACTCCAGGAGCCTGTCTACCTGGTGCTGAGCTTCTCAACTGGGAGGCCTTTTGAAGAAGTCGACAACAGTCTGCCAAAATTGGACATAGTCGAAGTCTCCGTCAACTGACTGCCAGGAAGTGATGGAAGAGAGCGCAAACTGGACCTGTCAGCTTGATTATTAGATACTTAGATACCAGCAATATGACCAATGCTATAACTTACTTGGCAAACTATGTATGCAATTGACTGAGGGGTAACTTTCACCATATTGATGATCTGCACTACGTGTTTCTTGACCTTGAGTCCATCAAAGGATTTCCTAGCGCATCGGTTATTTTGAATGATGTCAATCCCATTGCCATTGCCATCGACGTCTTTAGCCGAGGAAGGCGACATAAATACTGCTTTGTATGCCTGGAAAACAACTGAGATCAATTCTGGACTATCGCTAGGCCACATACCTGAATAAGGATTTTCCCCTTGAATAGCCCCTCCTCCAGATCGTCAGGTTTCGCAGTGTATTTTGCATAAAAAAATGCCAGAAAGGAGAGGTCAGTTACAATGTAGCCATCTGCACGATCTCGAATGCCTGCCTTTACACTGGTGACATGTGAGTGATTTTTCTCAATATTCTAAGCACACCACTTACATTGGATTGTTCCAATCAAGTTCCGAAGGACAAAGTAACCTACCACACACATTGTTAATAAACCCACGCAAATGTTTGTCATCTGGATCAACCAGAGGTTCTGGCTTGAATTCACGGTTGACCCACTTGGAAACGAGAACCTTCAGTTTGGAGGTATCATTTCCTCAAGCAGTGTCGGCCCCTTGCCAAAGCTGAAAAATAGTTCAGTAAAAGCAAGATAATAATTGACATAATGAAAATTAACCATTTTTAACATTTGTGCATACTCTTCATACTCCATCTCCATGGCCTTCTTAAACCACCACATGGTATTCGTGAACATCATGTAGCCTATCTGTAAGCGATTTTGACTACATAAAACAGTGAGTAATGCTCAGACACCCAGGAAAGGACTTACTCAGTGGTATTTTCTGCATCCTCTTCAACGTCATACCTCCAGTCATTTTCGGCAACTAGATCCTCAAGGCTATCAAACAGAGTACAACACATATAATTGCTCTTCCTTGAGCCACATAATAGTTAGTCTGCCTATACTACAGTGAGAAACCAAACTCAACTGCTAATGAGGGTCATACCTTTCTTTAGCAGCGCGCCCAGATTCGAGAGCCAATAGTTTCTCCTCCAGGTGTGCGATTCTTCGTTTCTGTCAAGCCTGTGCAGATATTACTGCCTGATTGTGGCTGGCCTCAGCCTGCCGCTCCTTGACGCTGCCCAAGCCCTCCGAAGTAGGAAGTTCATCAACAGGTGGCGCACCGTGCTCGTCGTTGGACATAGAGACAGGGAAAGTTGGGAAAGATGGTTGAATGGGCAACTCAAAGGAGAGGGTGCAAGATGAGGGTTCTGAGAGCTAACCAGCCTGCATCTTATATGCTGGCCAGGGCCTGTAAGCGAGTACCAAATTCGGAAGATGCCAAAAATGTCAGTATAATATATGTTGCTTGAAAGTTACCCTATTTGGGGCATTAACGTTAGCATCAGTGTGATAGCAAAGGGTGCTAAAATGCCGTAGGGACCAAAAAATACAGTGAATGATTTGTGAGCATAGGAATCTGCATGAGAATGCTTCGGAGCCTATGAGTTCCTCAATTCCTGTGCACTCAAATATTTCTGTCGCAAAAAGCTTACTTGATACGGCTTCAACAACTCATGGAAGATTTGCACTGCTGCTGAAGCATGACATATTTCAACTCAATGTCTGCCATGAGTGATACTAGCGTGCTTGCGGGCTTCATCATTGGATTTTGAAGGGTGTGCTAGTATTTCTGGGTCATAGTCATGGTATGGCTCCAGTCCGAGTCTGTGAGGACATTCTCTCAACTATGCTGGGTTAGTTGGTGGTGACTTGCACGTGATATCATCAACAAGCAGCTACACCAATCCAAGGGAGTGATACTGCGATCTTAATCAGCTAGTTGTGAGCCCTATTAACTAATGGCATAGCGACAAACCTTTCAGTATTGCAGAGCGTTGATCCCTAGACTTTTTGATGCCAATGAAAGACAAGCTTGGTTGAAATAGAAACGAAGGCAAAGCAAACACAATAGACTTGGGTTTGCGTGAGTCAAAATCAAGTCAACTGCAAGTTGCATTGAACGTACTGCCAGAGCACCATAACACTTGCCCTCATTGGAGTCCATCTTTATGTAGTCATACTATGGTTAGGGCTCTTTCAAATTCCCTCTCATTTCACTCACTGCAAAACCGACACTTGTCGCTATCCAGGAATTTAAGTGCAAGTTACAAGACTTGCAAAGATACTGCACAGTAAAACTTTTATGCAGATATGGAGTATTCTCTGCCAGTGGAAGCAACTCCGAGTCATTACATCGATCACGATATTACATCAGCGGCATGTGCACTCCTGATATACAAAGTTTCATCCTTAAAAGTGGGATATATATCAGCTTGTAGTCTGAAATCACTTCAGACTTCATGCGTAACATTGTATGCTACAGCTTTTTTCACAGTACACAGCGTAATCTGCTTTTACTATTCAAATAAATTATGTTTGTCGGGAAGCAACTGTATCAACCTGGCGGCAGACATGCATAGCATATGTACGTTATGCCAAAAAATGACCTGTAAAAGGATTGTCAAGGATAAGACGCTATGGTGAATTTGGAAGGTGCACCAAATCTTTGATTTCTGTAATTCAATTGAGACATCACACAAAGGGAAAACTACTCAGTAACTTACTGTAGCCCTTGAATGGACCCTCAGGATCAGCTATATCTTTTGTCTTTGATGACCAGAGGGTACAATCTGTCAAAATGTAAACAAAGGCCCCGGGTCAAACAGGTTTTCTGATCATTGATGCAAATGCGGAACTCTGATTGAATGGTGCAGCTGCTGATGTTCCATTGATCACCTAGATGAAATAAGAAGCAGTTGCAAATTCGTGTAACAACCTTACCTTGATAGTTATCCCAAAAGTCTGAGCAAGCTCCCGTAATTGGTGTATAATCATTGTCATTATAGCATGCCCTTGGGAAGATACCACACTTAGTAGGGACGGCAATAGAAATGGGGTTGTAAAGTCAAGGACTAGCCTATCCATTGGATTGTTGGTCCGGAGCTCTGCAATATATAGCATAACTCGGGAATGAAAAAAACTCGAAAAGAGATAAAGGCATACCGAATGTGAGAAGAATGATGCCTCCCCAATGTCCAGGGATAGATGCCTGTTCTGCTACTAATTCGGTAAACTTCTCCAGCCTCAGGCAATAATTGGAGCTCACCTCGGATCTCGAGTGTCACAACCCAATAACAAATTAACACTGGGCAGAGACTAGGACTCGGACTAAGGTTATCACAACAAAAGGATAATGAGCAAGGACATCTTGGATTGCTACAGTGTAGATACAAGAGGTTTGAACTAAGGAACTATCGACCAAGACATGCTACCTATATACAACTATTGAAACTGAGATTGAAACTGAGCTACAACTACTAGCCAATCATAAAAGAGAAAAGGGAATTGTACCATAGAACATTGTAGAATATTAAGGAAGTATCATGTGATCATATCTTATCTTATCATATCTAATCTAATCTTTTCACAATCAAAGAACTCGTCTTCTTCATCAGTCACATTGAAGACACATGTTGTGGACGCTAAAGGTATTTCGAAACTGGTAGACACTTTCATGGTAGGGTTAGGGTTTGACTTAGGCACTGTGTATTGGCGCTTAGGGAGATTCACAAAAGAATAGTGATTTGTTAAAGGTACTCGTGACAGCGAGCACCACCTTGCAAACTGGATCCTGCCACCCATTGGGCGACTAGTCACGGTATTGGTGGTGAAGGGACTCAGACGGACAAGGTACTACATGGCTGGCTGAGTTTCTTGGTGAACGTCGCAACAGGGAGTTTCCAGAGGCAGGCAGAGTCAGTGCCGGGAGGAAAGCAGGGTGTACGGATGAAAGACTCAGTTGGATGTAGGATAGATAGCACTTGGATAGCCGCACAGCAGTTTTTGTTTGAAGGAAAATTGATGAACTTATGGTCTTTTTAAAGGTCACATGATACCATAGACAACAATCCGAGCTGAAGTGAGTACACACATGGTGTTGCGTTAACACCAATTGCAAATTGCTGTGTTCTTACAATAAGTAGATGATATTGTGGTAGACCTACAATTTCAGAGTTACAGTTCTACCGGTGGTAGTAGTCATTAGTTATACAATGTCAGCTAACCTAGTCATAGTGCAAGCCTTCACATCCGACCATTGTTTTGCCAACTTCTCATTCTTCTGGATGACGTTCATGATGTATTGTTTCAACAGGTCATAAATAAATTTGAAGGATTCTATCGAAAACTCGATTTCACGGTCCAATTTTCCGGAAGAAAACTGCACTAGAACGCAGTAGATTGCAGCTGTGGCCGTGCAATAAAGATTATCCAGATCATGGATGTAGCGCCAATATTTGAGCTTCCTCACTACACCAAGAACCACATCTAGAAGTGCATCATGCTTGAATGCCATCCATTCACCAGTCTCTTCATCCTTCTTGAAGAGAAATTTGAGAGGCCAGGTTGCATTGCCGATGAGGCTTTTGATTTTCTTTTGCTTCCACTTTGACTCCGATGTGTTCGACCAAATCAAGGGTCAAAGATTGTAGCCTCAATCAACAACACCGAATGCCAGCTCTTTACAGGCTGCCATCAAAAGTCTAAACAGTACAGAGAGATCCATGTACAATAATCCCACATTTTTTGCTGCCCAACGTTGACCAAATTCTGTTAAATTTACAGCAATATATTCTCCAAATCTGATATTTGATTTACCTTCAATTTCTTTGTTTGCCAACCCAGCCAGGTCAGATTGAGTCTTTTTCAAGCAGTCTTGTACTGCATTTGCTAATGCGGCTTGAACCAAGCCCTCTCTTAATGAGGGCTTTATCATGGTACAATTGTTGACAGCGTCTCTGATAAGTTCCTTCTCCATGGCAAGAATGAAGGCATTGTGTATTGGAAGATTAGATTGGTAATCCAGAGGCGGAAGGTCAATCTGTGGCTGCGTAGGCTGAGTAGGGGTCAGATGAGAAGGCGTTGTGCTAGAAGGCACTGACTGCTTCACTATTATGAGCGCACAAGTTAGTTTATGAAGGAAGAGCACTTACTAAAGGGGTTTCAAATGATTTTTGTCACTGACCTGAGAATGCGACAAATCACCATGGACCATCGCATTTTAGAGTTTGGGAATGAGGATGTTTCAGCACTGTGAAGGGTTGTGGTCGTATATAATTTGGTGCTGCTGGTGGTAGCATAGTAACACCGTCCATAGATAGGAGTGGAGGAGGAAAATTGCACCGATAATTGGCAAGTACTGATGGCAGCGATGCCAAATCATTCAAATAGATGGGATTCTGAGACAGGACTATGAACGGTGGAAGCAAAGTTCCATTGTAATAGTCGATGGTTGTCGAAGGCATGTGATCAGATGGGGCTGATGGAGGCCAATGATGGTTTTCATTGAAGGTTGGAAGGGGCGTGAACATTGGTGCTTGCTGCATGGCGGCAGCACCTAGTAGTGAATGATTAAGTGAGATTGGGGAAGGCGAATCATTGCCTTGATGACTTTGGCTGAAGGTTGGAATGGGTGTAAACATCGGTGCTTGCTGCATGGCGGCAGCAGCTGGTAGCAGATGATGAAATGAGATCGGGAGAGGCAAATCATCGCCTTGATGACTTTTGCCGAAGGTTGGAGGGGGTGTGAACATTGGTGCTTGCCGCATGGCAGCTGCACCTGGGTACCGTTGTCCTGCATGATGTGAGAATCATGCATGGACATGAATACTAGGTGACCCTCAAAAGACAAAGTCTGTTAGCTTAGTCCTCAGACTAGTCAACCCATACCTTGGTTTCAAACCATGGTCCATATTTCCAGTTTTCTCCAAGTTTCGTGATCTGAATACATTTTGACGGAAAAAGTCTAATGTGAGATGGGAATCACATTTAGACCTAGTTGATGTGAGAAGAGAAATGAAGGTTAAGGTATAGCCTTGCCTTTGGCTTATTCACTTTGGCTAGAGAAAACCATAGAGAAAAGTACAAAGCCTATAAAAAACCTATCCAAAAAGACCGTGTTTCAATTCCTGCCAACTGTCTTATTTTTGCTACCTACTTTTCTCTAGTGTTTCTTTACTTTACTTTTTCATTAGGATGCTTTGACTCACCTGACACTTCATAAAATTGTACCCATAGGGTATGATGTCATCATGATGTCATAAGACTCCACAGATACTCCTGCAGGTATTCTGTTGAAAGATATTATGTCATCAAGCTCTAGATTATTCTACTCCACAATGACATCATCCATGATGTCATTTCCTTCTAGAATATTCTGCTCCACAATGACTCACTCTGACTCACTCATGGAAGGTTCTGGAATCTTTTGCTCCACAATGATGTCACTCTTGATGTCATTATGATGTCATTACTCCACATTCCAGAATGTTCTGCTCCACAATGATGTCATAGCTCCATCTTTCACTTGTATTTTATTCTTTTATTGGGTTTGACCCAATATTTTGATTGGTCCTCCTTATTTTTTATTGTTTGTGAACCTAGGTTACTTTCCCACACAAAATGTATATAAGGAGAGCCCATTCTCCCCCCAAAAAATATGATCTCCCATTTGTAGCAATCTGCCTATCAGATATTTCACTTGCAAAGTTAGTCCCTTTGAAGTGAGACAAGTGCAGGGAAAAGAATTTCCTTGAGATTATAAGTTTCTTACCTTAGAAACTTATTTAGTGCTATAGACCAAGTGTTCTTGGTCACATATATTGTCTTTGAGACCCCTTTGTCTCATTGCTCTGTGCCCTTTGACTAAGCGATCTTAGTCATCTATCATATTATTGAGATCACGTCTCACTAGTTGTCCCATAGACCAAGCGATCTTGGTCAAGTTCCAGTCCCATTTGTTCAAGTGATCTTGAACATATATTGTATATTTGAGACTGTTGTCTCATAGTTCCAGTGCCCATAGACCAAGTGATCTTGGTCATATTTCGTATATTTGAGACCATGTCTCACTAGTTCCAGTATCCAAGTCCAGAGCCTAGAAGGAGATTTCCTAGGCAAATATGTCCCAGAAACCAAATTACGTGTCTAGAAGCTTATTCCTAGACAAGAGATTTGAGTTTCAATAAAGAAAAGTAAAGCTCCGACTAGGTTAATCTTAATAAATATTAGTTTAGCAAGCCTCCCAAGAACTCACACATTATCTACCACAAAATAGGAAAAGTCGTAGACCGTGTTAATTGAGGACTGGCAAGAAGTCTTATCCAAAGTGTAATTGTGGTGTCATTACATTTACATGACTTTATATAAGACCCTCAGTTATTAAGATACCGTGACTGTGAACCAGATGGAAGTGGTTAATTATTTGGCGGAGGAAGTCATGCTGGCCTGGAGACTGATTCAGATGTTGTATACTGGATGTCATTGTCAGTCGTGCGCAGCGATCCCCCCCGGTCAACAAGCACATACACTAGCCACTGCAATTCTTGATCCACCTTCCCAAGCTCCATTTCTGTTTCATGATGTAAGGACTCGTTAAAGATGCTCAGCCTCCTTGATGTCTCAAGTAGCCAGCCTCTGTACAAGTATTTCATGCGCAAAGTTTCTTGAACCGCCTCCTTGTAGTGAATAGCGCAGTGGAAGGTGTGCGGGCTCATATCCTTTATAGTTGTCGACAACACTATCATGACAGATGTGACAATTATATGTAGGAACAATAAATATTCTATACATGGTATACCTCAATGTTCATACCTTCTGAGTACTGCTGACATGACTGTCTGTGCAAGATCTGCTCAGCACGATCATGGTATCTGTCTCCTGATAACAGCTGCTGGCGGAGGTAAGAATGGTAGAGTTTGGTATGTCTCTTTGACTCAGGAGTGCTGCTAGTATGACCTGATTCATCATGGTGAGAGATATCAGCAGTGGGGCAGTGTTTACCCCCAGACCACTTGGAATCAGGTGTCACAGGGAAGTTGTCGTCCTCCTCTGAGACAATACTCTCGGACTCTGCCATTTATAATATATTCAAGTCTATCTGCAAAACACCATGATATGAGAGTCATCCATACCTGATATTCCAATTGATGGGGGAGAGTTTGGAGGTGAGTTTGAAGGAGAAGAGAGCTTTGACTTATCATAGCTGGCCTGAGTGACAGAATGATAGGGGCTACAGATAGCTGGCTTTTCATCACAGAAAGTAGTACAAGTAGCGGCCAAGCTTAAGTTCATTTTTTCCATGGGTAGGGTTTTAGGTGCAATCCTTTCTACCACTTTGAGTCTAAGTCAGCCCTCTTTCAAGTCTGGTTCACTCAATCCTTTGGAGGACTCCGAGTTCATGGCACATACTACTACTATCCAATCCAACTCGGAGATACTCGAGTCATGCCAACTTGAACACGATCATCGTCAAGATAATGATGCAGCGATAGTTCAAAAATCAGAGGTGCAGTCTGGGCATTCGGCCAGTCTGAATGAGACACAGAAGGATCAAAAAGTTGTAGTAAGCACTCGTTGTGAAAAGCTTGCGCCAACGGTAGTACGGTTGCTTACACTTTGGTCTGACAAGGATCTACTATTACTTGTATCATGAAGTCCTGGTCCTGCACCAGCGGTGAAGCACATCATGATCCATAGGGAGAAGACGGGTACTGATTGGCAATCGGTCTTCGATGTCATCAAGTATGACAAAGAAAAACAAGCAGTTGTGGTTATTCAGGAAAGAGTGGTGGTATGATGTGGCCTTCATAATGACGATGATGGAGGCTATGTCAAGAATGACTGAGTTGGCCTAGCGCAATAGTATTAGTCTGAATCATGTTAAATCGGTATTAGGTTGACTACTTACCAGTATCATTCACACAAGTCAATATTAAATCACGGAGCCTAACTTACATACCGTCTGTCGAATGGTCACACTCCATGTTCTCTTCCACCATCTGATGTCCACATAGTAAGTTTGCCTTCTCAAGACATTTTTGCCTATGTCATCTGCGAGCATTATCATCCTCGAGTGTGCTTTGCAGACTTGGACCCAGAGTCATCTAGGGCAAAATGCAGAAAACCCACCTCTCATAAGATGAAACTCTAGCTTATCCATACCCCGAAAACGAGTTGCTCTGATCTGCAAATGCTGATCGTCCAAAGGACAGTGTCACATTGGGATCATTACAAAAGATCTCATTCACAGCAAGCATCCGTCTTGAAAGGTGCGAAGATAAACACAATACATTGGCATTGAGCACCTGAGAGCCAGAATGTGAAATGGGTGGCAAGAGCAGAAGGGCAGGAGGCGGCATGATACTGGTGGACGCAAAAATAAAGTCCTGGAGCATTTCCTCAACAACTCCTGAAAATTAGCTGCATGAGCCCCCACCCTGTGAACGAGAGTAATGCACTTACTCTCAATATTCTGAATCCAGAGATTCAATCAATCTATAGCTATCTCTCGGTCTTTCTCAGTGGAATCCTCTGGATGAATATCCTCGTACCTGAATATCCCAGCTTCACTGGAGTGGTGCTGCTCAAACTCGATGGGCTCCAGGGAAGCACAGCACACAGGCATTGTACGACCACTTGATATTTGGCCAAGCTTCGAGGACTTGTACATCCAAACACCCTTATCTGTGTCGTCAAAGTTCAGAATTAGACAAAGGGGGTGATTAGAGAAGGAGAGATGCACCAATAGAACCTTTCACACTGTGTTAAGTCCAATGAATCCAGACTCACTAACCTGGCACATTTCACTTGAGAGGTTGCATTCAGCTGGACATATGTCATCAATCAGCATATATTCAAGATGCAAAGGACCACTCACCAGGTGCTGCCGAATAGCTCCTGTCTACTCCAAGCACCAACACACTTGCTTTACTCATCTCCAACAACTGCGTGCTCACCCTCACCCCTATTCCTGCAATATCTATATGCTCTGAGCTCAAATCTGCACAATAGCTCATAACATTTGCATCAATCTCGCTATCTGTCCGTCGACACTTTGTGTTTGACATGCATTGTGCCTCTCGTTGACGCAGATGGATGTCCTCCTGGATGTCCTTCTCAGGTGTGCAGGAGACTGAGTGGGATACTGAGAAACAGGAGGGAGAACAATAATTGGAGGACCAGGGGAGCAAAATGTCAAGACGCCACGAAAACAGGCGCATCTCTGGGTATGGCATCTTTTGGAGTGGAAGGGTCTTTCACTGGGGAGATGTGAGTATGCATTTCCTGATGAAGATAAGACGTGACTCACTATGTACAAGCTTGCCCAAAACTGCATTTGCAACCTGCCAATATACATCAGCCATGGCCTGTTTCACCATCCACCTTAAATCAGCATTGGGAACAATCATGCGCTTCTCCACAGGCCTGGGAATGGTGTACATGCCTACCCATTTACCACACATCTATGCGATTAGCATCATCAATTATCTGCTCATTAGACTTGAAAATCTAAAATACTCACTGCCCTGCCCCGATGGTGCATTGGATGTAGGGGGCATGTCTTCATTAGATGGAGATGAAGTGCTGGAGGAGGTTGAAGGTAACATGACTTACTGAGATGTCAGTCACACACACTAACAGGGCCTTGGGATTTTGCCGCATCATACCACATCCTGGTGCATTGGTGCCGCACCCTACCTAATAGTGTCTTATATCCCTGTATAATATGTCTATGTCGTCCATAAAGGCCATGAATATGATTATTGATGCAAAAATATCATAGTATATGTTTTTGAGTTAGAATTACACTGATACAACAGTGATAGTATACTTGATGGGTGCGGCAGTGATGCGGTAGTGATGTGGCAGTGGCTGTGCACTACTGCACTACCGCACCCACCTTATGCACTACACTTGCAGCACCTCATGTGAAACTTGGTTAAACTACTAAACAAACTCCTCACACAGTTCAACGCCTCAATGCCTATTGTTCAAGATATGTCTTCATTGGTGACATGCCTTGACAACTTCACTACAGCACATCTTCAGGCCTCAAACATGATTCTGTGCCCCTGCGAGAACAGATATTAGGGTCTAAGGTATGTATGTGATGGGTATATGGCCTTTAGATAAGACTCATTAGTTTCACAGTACACAAGTTCTATGGACTACTGTCAACTTAAGACACCTTATGTGCCTTCCTTGGTCATGGCCGCAGTTTCGGCTTTTGGATCTGTCTCTTGTTTTTAGGAATGACTTCGGGCTCACTTCCTTCACTAAAGTTTGGCCTGCACTATCATGTAAAGTGTTTCAGAGCAATCCATGCTACAATATGACAACAACTCACGTCCACTTCTCCTTCGAATTTGGGTGCATATGGATCTCCGTCACCATGATTCCAGTACTCAGGAGGCCCTTGTATGGATTCCATCGGTCTTGGTGAGCATTGGCATCTTTTACCCATCGTTCATTCCTAGCAGCGCCTGCAGCCAATGAGAGCTCAAACATTCATTGTTCTAGTATACCAAGACACTCCAAGTTGACGTCTATATCCATCAAGGACATTGGAGGTCAAGTCAAGTATCACGCCAGTATCACACCAACAACTTGAACAGCATTCATGCAAAAAATATGTTAGCATCTGCAAAGAAAGAACATCGTTATTAGTGGTTGTGCGATAGAGTATGGTGCATGTCTCATGCAATTAGTACTACATGCCAGTAGTAGCCAGAGGGCGCATAAGCGAGACAGGCCATTGCAAGGAGGGTGATCTAGTGATAGTATGAATGTCAATGTCTCATGCAGTACATAGTACATACAGTAATGATATCAAGACTCACCGTCAAGAGGCCACTACACCCATTACTGCATCCATGCTGCAGCATAGTACTCAACTTGTTTTCGGGATTAGACTCTCAAAGGCATGACCGTGAGGTGCATAATTGATGAGTTTGACGGTAAACCAATTATATTGTGCACATCAACAGTGATTATCGAAACTAAAAGTGAAATGTGCTGATTTGGTGCGGGTGCAGCAGTAATGATGTGTTAGTGGTGCAGCAAGTTGCAGCAAAATACCTGAGCCCTAACTAACACCATCATCAGAAGTTCGATCAACATAGCTCTTTTGGTATCCCATCATTTTACCAACATCACTGACAGCAATCCCACTTTCACCAGGCCATTTCAACTGTCAAGCTCAATATTCGTCTCTCTTACAGTATTTCAAGTTAGTTTCCCTCTCTTGTCAGAACAAAGTATGGCACTTCTACTAAGTTATATCCTCAAGAGGATCAAACTAACTTAGCTGCAGTGCAGGCGACTCCATCAGGTTGGGTTTTAGACTCTGCCAAGACCTGAGGCCTGAGCACTCATACCTGGTTGTCCTACATTGCAGGCTAGAGTGCCGCTGCCATGCACTTTTCTAAAACCCTTTGGACTGGCTTCTTTTTTGTTTTTTCTAGTGATGGTGTCTTGTAAGGCTCCAGGTTACATGTGGGAGCGGACGACAGACATTCAAGGGCTCACTAGATATCATTCAGCTTGTCCTTTCTATAAGAGATGCAGCACCCTTGCCAGTCAGAAGAGACAACTCCCAAACTCTGGGGCTAGCACATCATCAGTGAGTGGCCTTTCAAGGTTGCTTCAGACTTGTACTAATCATTCTTAGTGAATCTCAGCTGTCTGGCATATGAGGGACCATCCCAGCCTGAAACCCATTGCCCCTTTCAAGCTTCTCAGGCCAGTGTTCATGGCACATCATTCATACTGTGCATCCCAGGCCAACTCTCCTGAAGACTCTCAGCGCCCTCATGAATCAGGGAAGGACGGTGCTGACATTGAAATGAGGGATGATTCTAGACAGGAATTGAACTATGGTTCAGGTTTGTGTCTCTTTGGCTAGTATTCGTGTTTTGCCTACATAGCTCGAATAATTTTAGAGAAAAACTTGCCTCCAACGAGATGAACTCTGAGAACTTTCATTGACATCAAGCATTTGGACCAATATCTTAATCCTTCTGACAATGCTAACAGCTCAACAGTCCAAAGTTCAGCCCTGCAAACAGCCCAATTCAGAATTCAGCGGGTTCTTTTAATGCTAAGGGACATGCTCCAGACTACCTTCAATACCTTTGGACTCTCACGACTATATCCTCACCATCCTTCTTTTGAACCAGATAAATTTATTCCATCGACACTACTTGCAAGAACATCTCCCATAGCCCAAACAACAGACTCTGCGCCTTATGTCTTAGCGCCGCCCTTTCCATTTGCTAATATAACTATCTATCGGCTTATGACTTGGATGAACTCCGGCAGCAGTCAATCATCTGAAACACCAAAGTCTCCCACTTGGTCAAGGATGTTATCCTGGCAGAGAACTTCGACCGCAAGCACCTCGAGGACTTTTCTGTGAGCGCCCCAATTGGGGGCATGCCACCTCATAGGATTTTTGCCATTGGTAAGCTTTGTTGAAGCTAGCATGTTTCTCTACTGCGATTGACAAATTTAGGTTGCTGACAGTATCAAAGATGTTCTGGGTGGCCTGTCTCGCATATCAAAAACCAGTATGGTATCCCTTCTCACTTTTTGCTGCAGGGAATTGTTTCATTCCTGCTGGGATATCTTATTGGATGAAGATTTCCTCGAGGCTTACCATCATGGGATCATTTTACAATGTGCTGATGGTGTGTTATAGAGGGTCTTTCCCCGACTCTTTACATACTCAGCTGACTATCCAGAAAAGTACATATTTTAACCTGTGGCGTCAAAATGCTGAATCACGCATCAATTTATAGGGTTCTAATTGCTACTATCAAGGATATGGGCTCATGTCTGTGCCCTCATTGTCTCACACTAAAGGCCTTGTTCAGCTCTCTTGGGCTGGTGAGAGACATAAATGGCCGAGTAGCCAACCTTCGAACCTACATCATGTCCAAGGTTATGAAGGCTTGCGAATTTATTGCATCAGGACATACAGTAGATGGTGTAGAGCCTCGCGCCTCCAAAGGCACTTCCTTTGAATTTTCCCACATTCCCTACACACTCTAGCTCTAATCCCAAGGATATGTCTTGCACAGTAGTGCTTCATATATTTTACTTTGCAGATTCCGTGTGCAGCCACTCGCACTTTGCATGCACCACACATCCGTGTTAGCATCATCCGCATACCCGTCCATCCATCCTCCCCATGTCCTTAGATGTCCATTGGTGCGTGTTCTCACTATATTTCCATTTTGACCAATTGTTTTCATTGCTAATTCTTGGCCTAGCGCTACGTGCGCAGCCAAGACCCTATTACCTATCTCGCATACTATATTTAGCTTACTCGGGTCGCTACATCAGACCTGCGCACCTAGCGGCGCTTAGCCATCTTTACATATACTATCTCTTTACTCTATTTTCGAGGTCAATTTTCCGCCCACTTTCTGTGTGTCTCTAGATACTAAGAATTTTACTCGTTGTTTGTGGTTGACTATCCAAAGTCGTGCGCTTCGGTTCTCGCTCTCCATCTTAGCATCAGCCAACCATAGTTGGGGTGTTAACACTTGTCTTGCCTCGTCTCTCCCTTGCTTGTCCCTTGCCTTCACTCATGCGCGCTACCTTCGCATCACGCATCTCGATCTTCGCCCTTTCACACTCGCACGCATTCGCCTTTCATACATCGCATCATTTCCGCTTTGCGCATTACTTAGACTTAGTACTTCATTAGTTGTTTGGTGTCCCTCTTTTTACAAAGAGAGGTTTCCTTTACTCAGTTAGCTGCCCTTGGGACAATGATTTCACTCGTGCCCGGGTCTATCTGTGTTTGCTTAGCTTAGCACCAACTTTCCCCACAGTCTAGATTCCTCATCTTCAATGGTACAAAGGTGGAAAATACTCTTGGAGAGGGCTCATGGGTCCCTATTTTGGTGAGCATGATGGCTTCTGGTGCTTTTTCATCAACTCAAACTGTTTGCCACTGAAAGAATCAATTTGTGTGCAAGCTTGGACAGTCCAGCCTAGACCCCTTCTGTATGCTTGTGGTGGACCTTATGTACGAGTGCGAACTGGGCACTTGGAAAGCGCTATTCACCCATCTAATCAGGCTTCTGTATGCCCTTCCACAGGGTAGCCAGCTGGTTGCCCTCCTTGATAGCAGGTAGGAAAAGTTTGTATGGGTGCTGTGACCTGCTAACTCCAATGGGCTGGCAAGATTTCGAGAGATTCCAATGTTGTCTTAATAACCGAGGGTCTTATATAAAGTCATGTAAATGTAATGACACCACAATTACACTTTGGATAAGACTTCTTGCCAGTCCTCAATTAACATGGTCTATGACTTTTCCTATTTCGTGGTAGATAATGTGTTGTTACGACTTGGATGGTATCTGTTGGCGATGCTCAAACAGAGCGTGTGTCGTCAATGGTCGAGGACGTCCTTGGGCTAGCCCAAGGTTAGGGGTCTTACTTGGCGAGGCTTCGGCAAGTAAGATTTGACGCCTATGTCCAAATTGGGTAGCTTACGTCAAGCGGATGCTAGACAATGAGCTGTATTTGCCAAGACTTACGACACCCGAAGGTTAATCGTAAGATCGTCGTTAATTAGAAGGACGGAAGTCCGACTAGTTAACAGAGGCTTTGCTCGTCGACAAAGTCGATGAGTAAAGATCGAGACTAAGGACTTATCCGCGAAGAGCAGATAAGAAGATAGAATATAGACTGCTGGCTAGGCAGAAAGGATCACTCTGGTGAGAGTAGGAGGTCAAGAACCAAGTAGATTCAAGTTAGGGAATACAGTACATGGTAGCGAGTTTATATAGAGGACAGGAAGAGTATTAGTGGATGATAACTCGTACTACCAAGAGAGGTAAGTGGTAAAGGGGATAACCATAAAAGGAAGGCATGTTCGAGGTGAGACACGAGTGAGTCCTGAACGCGCTGATAAGAAAGTGAGTCAAAGATCAGAACAGGAAGTGAAACATGCAGGGGTACGATCGTGCAACTGCGGAGCTAAGTATAAGTAACATGTGCGACTGCGCACTGAGTCAGAGATCAAGAAAGGGAAAAGGGCAAAGGGGATGCGTTGTGCATCATATCATAGGTTACCGTCTGGACGGTAAGGGCAAGGGGACTGTCCACAGGATCAGTCAGGTGGTGTAACGGAGCATGGGTATGCTTCGTCAGCGAAAGGATCTGGCCAAATGTACTGGCTCTGCTGAAGCGACAGGTAGAGAGCGAAAGGGAATGCAAGAATAACAAGGATGACAAGGGTGAGGTCGGGGTAAGGGTATGATGTGAGGGCTGATATGAGGAGGATGAGGAGAAAAATGGTAGGGGCCCAAGCGTCTAGATGTTCTTGTAACATGTGTGAGTTCTTGGGAGGCTTGCTAAACTAATCTTTATTAAGATTAACCTAGCCAGAGCTTTACTTTTCTTTATTGAAACTCAAATCTCTTGTCTAGGAATAAGTTTCTAGACACATAATTCAGTTTCTGGGATGTATTTGCCTAGGAAATCTCCTTCTAGGCTCTGGACTTGGATACTGAAACTAGTGAGACATGGTCTCAAATATACGAAATATGACCAAGATCACTTGGTCTATGGGCACTGGAACTATGAGACAATGGTCTCAAATATACAATATATGTTTAAGATCGCTTGGTCTATGGGACAACTAGTGAGACGTGATCTCAACAATATGATAGATGACTAAGATCACTTAGTCAAAGGGCACAGAGCAATGAGACAAAGGGGTCTCAAAGACAATATATATGACCAAGAACACTTGGTCTATAGCACTAAATAAGTTTCTAAGGTAAGAAACTTATAATCTCAAGGGAATTCTTTTCCCTGCACTTGTCTCACTTCAAAGGGACTAACTTTGCAAGTGAAATATCTGATAGGCAGATTGCTACAAATGGGAGATCATATTTTTTTTTGGGGGGGAGAATGGGCTCTCCTTATATACATTTTGTGTGGAAAAGTAACCTAGGTTCACAAACAATAAAAAATAAGGAGGACCAATCAAAATATTGGGTCAAACCCAATAAAAGAATAAAATACAAGTGAAAGATGGAGCTATGACATCATTGTGGAGCAGAACATTCTGGAATATGGAGTAATGACATCATAATGACATCAAGAGTGACATCATTGTAGAGCAAAAGATTCCAGAACCTTCCATGAGCGAGTCATTGTGGAGCAGAATATTCTAGAAGGAAATGACATCATGGATGATGTCATTGTGGAGTAGAATAATCTAGAGCTTGATGACATAATATCTTTCAACAGAATACCTGCAGGAGTATCTGTGGAGTCTTATGACATCATAATGACATCATACCCTATGGGTACAATTTTATGAAGTGTCAGGTGAGTCAAAGCATCCTAATGAAAAAGTAAAGTAAAGAAAGAGAAAAGTAGGTAGCAAAAAATAAGACAGTTGGCAGGAATTAAAACATGGCCTTTTTGGATAGGTTTTTTTATAGGCTTTGTACTTTTCTCTATGGTTTTCTCTAGCCAAAGTGAATAAGCCAAAGGTAAGGCTATACCTTAACCTTCATTTCTCTTCTCACATCAACTAGGTCTAAATGTGATTCCCATCTCACATTAGACTTTTTCCATCAAAATGTATTCAGATTGTGAAACTTGGGGAAAACTGGAAATATGGACCATGGTTTGAAACCAAGGTATGGGTTGACTAGTCTGAGGACTAAGCTAACAGACTTTGTCTTTTGAGGGTCACCTAGTATTCATGTCCATGCATGATTCCCACATCATGCAGGACACCACCAGAGGCGGACATGATGATCGTAAGATGTGGAAGCAACAAGGGTGCCAGCAGGGTTCACAGTAAGGGTATTGATGCCCTTAGTACTATTGCCCCTGCCAGTGCAAGGATGACTGACCTGTTCCCACGTTGATGTATCCCACTCCCGTATGGTGGGATCCAGATAGGAACCCACTGTGAATAGCCGTCTGCCATCTGACACCCATGAAAGGGAGTAATTCCATGCTGAATTGAATGCAGCGTGAGCCTTTAAGGTTTTGATTTGTTGCCTGCTGTTCGTATTCCATATTTGGATATCCTCAGATGTTGCGATGGCAAGATGTTCTCCGGACGGTGAATACCGAATGCAGTGAACATAATCACCACAAGCAATTGGATTGCCTTGCTGCTTCCATGATTTCACACTCCACAACTTCATAGCTTTGTCCTTTGAACCAGTTACCAGCACTTCTCCATCTTGAGAAAAGTCCACTGAGTGAATCATTGTGATCACCACTTGCTATAAATCTCTCGTCTCGTGATACTGCAACTGCCCACACCCAACTGCGATGACCTTCCATTCTCCTCACCACACCATTGTCTTTCAAGTCCCACAACACGTCTGAGATGAAATGGTTAGCAGCACGGGACTTTGAAGATATCCTACAGGTGTTTTGAGTCACTTAGTAACCTTAGTGCTTGATTTGCTGATATGTTCTCTGCCATTAGTGCACTATTCCAGTGTTTGAAGGACTATTTCCCCTGGACCATGACATGATTGTGCAATCACTGCTTTATCGGTTTGCAGAATGGCATGCGCTCACAAAACTTAGGATACATTCAGACTCTACAATTACCTTTCTCGAAGAAACGTTCAAGAAACTTTCTCGCAAGTTACGCAAATTTTGAAACTGTTACCTGCACCACTTTTACTACTGTTGAATTACCCAGAGAGAAGACAGCATGCCAATGCAAGGCTGCCCAATGTTCTGAAAATGGTGATGCTTCTCAAGAGCCCAGTTGGGCAAGGGTCAAGAAGTTTAATTTACTGACATATAAATTCCATGCAATGGGGGACTACTGCAAGAACTATCAGGCTCTTCGGGACTGACGGATTCCTTTACTACTCAAATAGTGAATGCTGTGTCTTCCTGCCATGCTATATGCCTGATGTTAAGTTTGGATAGGGAGAACTTGCCCACAGAGCCCTTAAGGCTTTCTATCCTGCTGACCAACAAATTAGACACACCAGGACAATTAGCAAAAACAATGAACAGGAGACATGTACTACGGCGTGTAGCGGAGGCAGGAGGAAGCGTACCCTCCGCTAGTAACCAATCGCACGCGGACACCCCCCCTTCATTGAAAATACATCACCATATATCAAATTCTCAAACAACCCAGGTCCGTCTATTCACTTTTCTCCAAGAAAATGAGGGGCAATCCTGCTATCAAGGTAGGTGCAAAGCTTATGGACCTGAGTCATACTTTTTACTAACCGGAGGCGGTCAGAATTTCATCCCTAAACTGAGGGACCACATTCTTTATAGGCTTCAGGGGTTGGACATCAGTTACTATGACCACACCTTTACGGATGAGGAATGAAACATGGATGATCATTCCCAATAACACCATCTATTCAGTTCAGACCATGCAAATATGCTACACTACTTATGACTTAAGGCACGAATATGACAGCATTAACCCCCGAACTCATGGCGATGTTGTAGTACTCTCAGGCGAGTCGACGCCCAGCCACTCATACTGGTATGCGAGGGTGTTAGGTATTTATCACATGGAGGTATGGCTCACTGGCAATGGTGGGAGCAAGCCTTTGAAGCAGCACCTTGAAGTTTTGTGGGTCCGATGGCTGGCAGTGCTTCAGGGCCATCGATCTGGCACTAAGCATGCCCGTCTTCCAAAGATTGCTTTTGTGGAGGAGTCTGATCCAAATGCATTTGGATTCCTTGACCCAGGGCAAGTAATATGAGAAGCTCACCTACTTCCCACATTTGCCTCTGGACATGGCGTAAGCTTGCTTTGGCAAGGAGAATCATCAGTGCGCCCTGGGGGACAGCTAGATGACTGGGAGGAGTACTATGTTGGAATGTAAGTGTAAATATTCAAGAGTTCATAAAAACCACCTAACTTTGAGCCAGATTCGTCGATCGAGACATGTTCATGCGATATACACACCTGGGTGTTGGCCATCCCATCACTTTGCGCAGAGTAGCCAGGGACTGCTTTGGCTCTCAGTCGGCAATACGGTCTGATGCCATGGATGTTGTGAATGACGAGGATGCGCATGATGAAAATGATGGTGATGGCGAGGGGTTTGAAGAATTCAATGAGGAAGGGGAGGATAGTGACGAAGGGTGCGGATACGACTCGGAGTCCAGTCTGAATGATGGAGAACATGAGGAGGGTGTCGAGGAAGAATTCGACAAATTGTCTTTTTAAAATGAAATGACAGATACTGAAGTCTCGTTTAGTTGCAATGTGAATGTGTTACAAGAACATCTAGACGCTTGGGCCCCTACTATTTTTCTCCTAATCCTCCTCGTATCAGCCCTCGCATCATACCCTTACCCTGACCTCACCCTTGTCATCCTCATCATCCTCGCATTCCCTTTCGCCCTCTACCTGTTGCTTCAGCAAAGCCAGTACATCTGGCCGGACCCTTTCGCTGACGAAGCATACCCATGCTCCGTTTCAGCACCTGACTGATCCTGTGGACAGTCCCCTTTACCTTTACTGTCTGGACGGTAACCTATGATATGATGCACGACGCATCCCCTTTGCCCTGTTCCCTTTCTTGATCTCTGACTTGGTGCGCAGTCGCACATGCGACATATACTTAGATCCGCAGCTGCACGATCATGCCCCTGCACGTTTCACTTCTTATTTTTGATCTTTGACTCACTTTCTTATCTAGCACGTTCTGCCTCGACCGAACGTGCCTTCCTGTTATGGTTATACCCTTTACCGATTGCCTCTCCCGGTAGTACGAGTTATCACCCACTAATACGTCTCCTGTCCTCTATATAAACTCGCTACCATGTACTATATTCCCTAACTTGAATCTACTTGGTTCTTGACCTCCTACTCTCACCAGAGTGATCCTTCTGCCTCGCCAGCAGTCTATATTCTATCTTCTTATCTGCTCATCGCGGATAAGCCTATAGTCTCGACCTTTACTCATCGACTTCGTCGACGAGCAAAGCCCCTGTTAACTAGTCGGACTTCTGTCCTTCTAATTAACGACGATCCTTATGATTAACCTTCGGGTGTCGTAAGCCTAGGCCGATATAGCTTATCGTCTTGCACCCGCGTGACATAAGCTACCCAATTTGGACATAGGCGTTAAATTGTACTTGCCGAAGACCCGCCAAGTACGACCCCTAACCTTGGGCTAGCCCAAGGACGTCCACAGACCGTTGACGACACAAGCTCTGTTTGAGCGTCGCCAACAGATACCATCCAAGTCGTAACAGAATGAATAAACATCATATGGACTCAGACTGACCATCCGTTGGTCAGTCACAGTTATCTTCATCTCAGTCAAGGTGAAGTTGTCGCAATTGCTATTCATACTTCACCGTTGTATCTCCAAGTCAGCACTCGCCAGTATATGTGCTGAACAATGAATACTAGTTTTTTCCTTGATGTCTGGTCTGATGCATCGGAGTCGCATCAGAATGAAAGGCACTGCTGAATTTGGTCCCTCGCAGGCTACTATGGTGCAATGTGACCACATTTTCATGAATTCCACGGTGTTCTTGATCCGGTGAAAATTTCCAAAGTTATCTTTCAAGGGAAAGCCTTGAATGGCCTTTATATTCAAAGCATATACTGGTGGACATCAAGAACACTTGACAAGATTGACACAATTCCCCCACTACCACTCACAGGCTGCAATGGTGCCATGGAGCAGCATATGTCACAAATTCCCATACTAATTTACATATGATGTTCAGTGCTAATGCCACCTGCTGGGAGAAAGCCTTGAATAGTGATATAATTCAAACTATAAATATGAGGAAACAAGAACACTCAACAAGCGGAACTCAATTATACTACCATCCTGTTGCTGGTCGGAATGTAAAATAGTAACAACTTTGCTACAAACTCCTCATGGTAGTCTAAATTTACAAGCATCCATGCCTATGTATTGACAACTCAAATATCTTGTAGTATAAATTGACATATTAAGTTGGAGCAGAATGAATGACCTTTATGTCCAAAACATATACAGTGGACATCAAGAATGCTCGACAAGATTGACACGATTCCCCCACTATCAGCTGCAATGGTGCCATGGCGCAGCATTGTCACAAATTCCGATACTAATTTACATATGATGTTCAGTGCTAACGCCATGTCAGAAAATTCGAAAATCCATTTTAAGCCATCATAATGGATTGAAATAGACAAATTCAGCTGCACTATTTTAATCCTGATGTAATAAGAGAGTCTTATTACAATAAAATTATTATTATTATTATAATTCAATTTGTAACAACACTGGCAATAGAAATTTTAATGAATAGTGATACCTTTGCACTCCCCGTTTGGAGCTTATTTGAACATTGTGGAGCTCATTATAATATCTGCTACAATAATCATTAAAATTGCATTTGCAAGTCCCATGAGACTTGTTGCAATACTCCAAATGCGATTGCGAGAAGATTGTAACTTATTCACAACTGGCAGTGTTCATGAATTGTATCATTGGACTGCTACTATCAATACAATATTATTCTATTAGTACTTGAAACAAGCTGTAGTCAAATGTCTAGATCAGCAGTAATATGTTATGAGGTCGCTGTGCAACCAGGATTCAGGGTGAAACCTGTGCCAGTAGTATTCAATTGAAAATTGAGCCAGCAGCCTGAGGGGCATGTCAAAATATGAAAAACATGATTCGCAAGTAAGGATAAACTCACCAAGACACTGCGAACAGTGGGCAATGACTTCGATCAGCATGGCTCGAGCTTGACGGAGGATTGACATGCTGCAAATGGCAGGAACGACTCAGATCAGCATGGCTGTTGCTCGAACAAGGATCAACACACTCACTCTCTGCAAATGGTAGGGCAATGACTTGGATCAGCATGGCTGTTGCTCGAATGAGGATCGACACACTCACATCCTGTGAACTGATGGGCGATGACTTGGATCAGCATGGCTGTTGCTCGAACAAGGATCAGACAGACTCACTCACTGCGACTCCCCATCCAGAGTTGTCGAGTCTACATGCACTGCGAGCAAGTGAGAATGAGTGCCGCCTCTCATTCTTTTGTCACATTCAGGTGTCCTGGTGTCATCCGCATGTGTTCGTGCCACATCAGCACTTGCTGGCATGCATTGGGCATTTGCGCATGGTGTTGTCTAATCTTCATGAGATACAGAGCATCCCAACAACACACCAGAATCTTCTTGAAGCTGTAGAATAGATTTTTATACTGAATCCCTGAGCTTTTTCCATGGCCATCTTGAGAAAATACTGTATTTAGCAATGAAAGAAAAATAGCCTTGGATAAGGAGTACTTAGCGATGACAGGAGTGATAAAATAAACCGCTTACAATTGTAGTACTCCACGCAATTTCTCTGGGCATTATGGCAGATACTCCCCAATTCTGAAAGTTCCTGGGTGGCCCACCCTTCTTGACAGACATAAGGGATGCTTTGCCCATTAAAACCACTTTCAGGATCTGTTCAAAAGACATAGTTTTTGTCAATAAGCTGTATACAAATGAGGAAATGGCAACATACCTGAGCCAAGGGCTTCCAGTTACCAAATACAGGTGAATTGCTAGTATTGATAATGGTGTTTGGAAAGAGAATGGGAGGAAATAGTGGGTAGGTACGGCTTCTGGGTGTAGTGCCTAGCAACCTACAAAGCTCGTCGATGGTGTCTCGCTTAGAAGACGTGACAAAGTAATCAGAGCTTAGCCCAAAAATGCGACCAGCAACTCATCGCAACTTGATGAGTTCAGAAGACCGACCTGCTTCAAGTGCTTGTTGTAGCTGGATGATGTAAATTAGCAAATATTGAAGTCAATCAATGATATACATATGTACAGTCTTATGGAAATGATTTAAGGGCACAAGATGGTGCAGGTGATCCGGGAGCACACTATGTAGCTCGGACAATAATGTGTCTGCTTCTGCAGCTGAGTTCGCATAGCGAGCCTGTCAGTCAAACAGCAAACCAGGAGTTGAGGGAAGAGTCTTCTTTAGTAGCTTGGCGCTGGTGGGTACATCTCGTACATGATGCCATACTTCCTAGCGAACATCTTCACTTCCTCATCAAACGCCAGAAGCTGGGAGGGTGCCTTGGAGGCTTTGCAAGAAGGTTTGTTCACCTCCAAGATTGCATTCTTTTCTTCCAAGAATCGATTGCACTGCTTGATGGCTTGCAATTAAAGTTGAGCGTCCTTCAAAGTCTATTGAAAAGATCTGAATAAGTCGCTCAAAAATGACAGCTGTACCAATATATCTAACTCACTGTACTAATGTGAGATCTGTCATGAGCAGATGTACAATGACTTGTTGTACCTGCTGCAGGGTGAGGATTAGAAATAGAAGGATCAGAAACACAATGTTGCGATGTTGCAATTTCAGAGTCTGAATCATCGGACCGATGACTATGTCCCACGTTCATCTTGAATAAGAGGACACAATGGAATTTTGACTGTAATGTTGATGCGGATCAAGCTGAGGGAAGACGCAGAGGAATGGTCGACAGAGGATTGAATTGTGTGAGGGTTAATATATTGCGATCCAAACTCCGAAGCAGCCAGGACTTACTCAAGTGCTCGATTACGTAGGTCATGAGGCAAGCATGATGGTAATTGACCAATTGCCTTGCAGTTGCCAGCAGTTGACTTGATGTGGACTATGTAATATAACAAGCAGATTGGTCACCTTCGGATGAGCACAGGTGGAGCACAGACAGGCGAATTGGTTCCGCGGGATCAAATGTTTTGTCCTAGACCTAATATAATCATGAACGGAGTGCTCATGAGCTTCTCCAACCCATAATCATGAACAGAGTGCTCATGAGCTTCTCCAACACACCTGGTACTATCAGAAGTAGGTAAGTAAGCTTCTCAGTCCATAATCATGAATAGAGTACTCACCAGATGGTTACCCATAATCATGAACGGAGCGCTTATGAGCTTCTCCAATGCACCTGGTACTATTAGAAGTAGGTAAGTAAGCTTTTCAGTCCATAATCATGAATAGAGCACTCACCAGACTGTTACCCATAATCATGAACGGAGGACTCATGAGCTTCTCCAATGCACCTGTCATATTAACACTAACAAAAAGCAGGTAAGCTTCCCAGTCAGTTATGAACAGAGCACTCACCTGATAGTTTAATTGCTCATCAGTGTCTGAATCTTTAGTGCACCTGGCATGTTAGGAAGCAGGAGGTCTTACTAGAACTAACCATAACCTTGCAATGTGAGATCATGCACATGAATTGTCAAGTATATGATGACATAAGAGAGTGATTAAGATAACACTGGTGTAATTAGTATACATGGGAGTCTTTGTAAAGTTTCATGCGAAGGAACATATCAGTGTCAATTGAATCGACAACAAGGAAGTCACCAGGCTGAGAGCGATCCTCAAGCAACAGCGCCTGTTACAAGAACATCTAGACGCTTGGGCCCCTACCATTTTTCTCCTCATCCTTCTCGTATCAGCCCTTGCATCATACCCTCACCCCGACCTCACCCTTGTTATCCTTGTCATCCTCGCATTCCCGTTCGCCCTCTACCTGTCGCTTCAGCAGAGCCAGTACATCTGGCCGGATTCTTTCGCTGACGAAGCATACCCATGCTCCGTTACACCACCTGACTGATCCTGTGGACAGTCCCCTTGCCCTTACCGTCCAGACGGTAACCTATGATATGATGCACGACGCATCCCCTTTGCCCTTTTTCCTTTCTTGATCTCTGACTCGGTGCGCAGTCGCACATGCAACTTATACTTAGCTCCACAGCTGCACGATCGTGCCCCTGCGTGTTTCACTTCTTATTCTGATCTTTGACTCACTTTCTTATCTGCACGTTCAGGACTCACCTGTGTCTCACCTCGAATGTGCCTTCCTTTTATGGTCATACCCTTTACCGTTTACTTCTCTTGGTAGTACAAGTTATCATCCACTAATACACTTCCTGTCCTCTATATAAACTCGCTACCATGTAACATATTCCCTAACTTGAATCTACTTGGTTCTTGACCTCCTACTCTCACCAGAGTGATCCTTTCTGCCTAGCCAGCAGTCTATATTCTATCTTCTTATCTGCTCTTCGCGGATAAGCCTATAGTCTCGATCTTTACTCATCGACTTCGTGGACGAGCAAAAGCCCCTGTTAATTAGTTGGACTTCCGTCCTTCTAATTAACAATGATCTTACGATTAACCTTCGGGTGTCATAAGCCTTTGCAGATACAGCTCATCGTCTAGCACCCGCTTGATGTAAGCTACCCGATTCGGACATAGGCGTCAAATCTTACTTGCCGAAGCCTCGCCAAGTAAGACCCCTAACCTTGGGCTAGCCCAAGGACGTCCTCGACCATTGACGACACACGCTCTGTTTGAGTGTCACCAACAGATACCATCCAAGTCATAACAGTGCCCCCCTGATAATTGATTCAGTGAAAATAAACTCATTCTTATGCTGAGGTTGAGCTCTAACTCGCCATAAACCCAGGAGCCTGTCCTTCAAAGGTTGATTTTGAATGGGGGCATCACAAGGTTGAATAAGAGCCATGGGGTGGCTTGTGCCTTTAACTAAGCATGTGAATATGAATATCAAGCGACCAAAGATCATCCCATCTTGAGTCCTGATGATGACAGAGTCATATCTTGGGGCATTGTGAAACATCGGGGAACAGCGGAGGCAGTCTGTCGATGTCCGAAAATCAACCATCAACTCAAAGTTTGCTTTCAAGTACCAGAATTCTGTTACCTGCATGTGCGGCACAAATCAAAGTATTAGCGCTGTAGCTGGCTTATCAATATGAACGAAAATCTCACTATATTGGCACTCAATTCAAGTGCAACATGTCCATTTCATGCAATGACAGGTATCATGTTAAGAAAGGGGTTAAGTTTGGTATGAAACTGATGAAATGCCAGGTCTTCAAGGTGTGCTTGCTGAATGGCATGTATCGACAATGCACGCTGACATGATCCAAGCTTGATATGAAAGCTGGACTCCAGTCCAGGTGCGTTCAGAACTTCGTCATCGGAATCTGAATCATCAAGATCACTCGCTTCTTTCCTTGCATTATAGGCATTAAGGTTGTTGATGTGATAGTGAATCCATGCAGATACAAGGCTCCAATGGTCCGCACGTAAGATCTATTAGTATTCACAGTAATCAATGCAAGTTCAGACGCAGTAGAAGATGCCCGACCTGGTCTGCTACTTGTTTGAAATTTGTTCGGAGCTGGTAAGATTTTTTCAAAGGTCTATGCACTTTCTCATTTGGTTTGGTATTGAAATTCCAAGTAACACCTTTGGCCTTGATATCGTCAAAAAGGTGAACGCCCAAGTGATATTTTGGAAAATCCCAACTCTTTGATTCACATTCAGACTCGGAAATATATTTCTATGGAGGATCCATCAGCCATTTGATTCAGACAGCGCTAGCATGTCAGTGAAGCACAACTTACGTCCATGAGTCTTGAAAACTCATCAAGAGCAGCTCGACCGGCAGCAAGGGTCTGTGTGGTATGAACCTCGAGAGCTGCAAACATGTCTACATCTAAATGGGCTCAAATACATTGAAGGAGCGGATATCCAGACTTGTGTGTTTCGGGATCGAGTATGTCATGGGCAACAAACAGAATCAACTACATGTAAAGGGACATCAATTAGAATTGAGATCTCAAGAGTGTCCGAGTCGATCACCTTTAATATGTCTTTGTGCTTTGTCCCGTCAGTAGAAGCTAACTCCCATGACCTCCTTGAAGTGGTTGAGATTCCTCCACCTTGGCACTGCCGCAAACCTGAGGAATGCTTATAATAGATGTCTACGATGAAACAAAAAAAAACAGACCCTTCATCAATTTTAGTCGCAGCGTGTCTACCAACTTCATTGACACATTTTTGCAGCTCAATTCACAAGTGTTTTCCCCACAGTCCTTCATGGTGAGTATGTAGGCGGTCAAAACAAAGGGCACGAAAGACGTCCAGAAGCTTTGATATATTGAGAGAGTTCTGTTGAGTTACGCTGTGAACTTGATTCCAGAAATATGGGATTCAAATAATACTTACTTCAACATCTCTCAATGACTGAGACTTCAGCTTCTTCTCTCGCTTTGCCTTGGTGTACTTCCTTCTTGCCTTCCTGAGTAAGCAAACAGAATCGTGACATGTGCGAAGTGGCCAGGTCTCCAACAGGTTATGTAACTCAGCGCACGGAACCAAACAAATTGGACATGGAAATTTGCCCATGACTCCACAGATCAGGGACATAATGCATCTGCAGACATTACATGTTAGCAACAATGATAGATGACACTCCAGACTGTACACACTGTTCCTCGTAGTCCGCAGACAAGATTGGAATGATAGGGAACATAAGGTGTTGAAGTTCATCCCAACACTCCACCCATCCACCATGTTTCCTCTTCAATCTAAGACACTTGAGTATTTGCTTGAAGGACTTGTGCCAAACCGCAGCTTTGAAATCCGCAAATTTCTGTTTTCCCGACCTCAAGGGATCATCTTTGACCTTAAAAAAATCAATGTTAGTTAAACAAAAATGAGATGAGATAGAATCACAATACAATGGGGAGCCAGGTGACAACTCAACCGCCACCAATGCCTTCACCATTTCGGATGGATGCGGGGAGGTTTGCAATATGGGCAATCACAGGGTAGCCTTTTTCACGACCAAAGGAAGACAACTTTGTCTTATCTGCATAGAGGATGAATGCAAGAGGCTTTGCATGGCTTTGCATAGCCAACTGGATGTATTACACTGAGTTGCCTTCAACTAATGGTGCACTGCTCAACACATACCTGAGCCTCCCAAAAAGTATCCACAGTCCAAGGCTCGTCAATAAATCTCACAAATGTATTACTGTCAAACTTTGACAGGTGTTGAGCATCGAAGGTAAATTGAGGGCCAAGATAAGGATCGCGAAGAAGGTCGCATGCCCAGTCCCATAAGTCCCAGTAGTAGAGAGTGAATTCTTGATCAACTCCATCGTAAGGCACTTCAATTGTTCGCTTTTGAAACTATCAAAACACACTTGTCAGACAAGTTAAAATGAAAAATAGAGATGACCTTACTGGTGTTAGACGATGGGAAATAGCACTCCACATGTTCTGAATATCTTTGTAGTTGCACAGGCTGAAAGGTTCCTGCTTCAAGTGATGCAAAAGGTCGATTAGCTGCTCAATTTGAGGCTGTGTTATGACTGGGATAGTTCTTCTGTCAATGGTCAAAGATAGACCAGTCTTGTTGACAGCTTGTTCTGAACTCCTAGTACAAGGAGGGTTCAGGTTCAAGGGTTCTGCTAGACGAGCGCTGCAGCTTCTATCTAGTTTCAGCGGCGAGTGGTTTTAGCACTTCTGCCTATCAAGGGTTCAGGCTAAGACAGTGAGTGACTGTCTTAGAATCAGGTATCAGACTATAAGGGTGGAGACCTTATAGAATAGGATTCAAGGAGAAAACCCAGTAGATTAAGTTAAAGAGTACTACTGTTGTACATGGGGTTTATATAGGTAACAAAGGGGGGCGCAGCCGAGTCAAGAAAGGTAACAAGGATAGGGAAATAGTACAACCTATCAAGACAGCAAAGATAGGTGAAACAGCCATGCGGTGCATGATAGTAGTCAAGTTACAATCAAGAAGAAAGGAAGTGCAGACAGCCCGCTTAGAAGAGAATAGCTGAGTCTAGATGGGTCTAGAGTCAGCACTATGGTTACAGAAAAGGAAAAATAAGTAGGGCTTAAATGTTATTGTAACAGGCTGGCTGAGAGCGGCTTCATGAGCAAGTTCAGCTACCTCAAAGTCCAGCCGATATCAAAATGGCGCCCAAGGTTGCGCATCAGGAGTTGGTGGGTCATGCAAAAGGTCGCACTGAAATGTCAAGAATGTTCGTCTGTGCTGGGATTCCAGAGTTAGGGTGATACTCAGTCCGAATGTCATCAACATTGTGTCGATGTTCTGAGCCATCTACAGATGGTTCATGTGATGAAGGTATGCGATAAATATCTATCAAATGGCGGCTAGTTATAATGTCAAAGATAAGGATGGTCTTTTTTTACTCACCTTCCTCAAGATCCAGCCACTGGTCAACATCTGTGACTGGCTCATCTGAAATGTGCGCATTCAAACTCTCTGCCTCAGGCTGATTCGACTCGTCAGCTCCATGGTGTGCATCGATTGGTATATTTACTATTGAGTGTACATTAATATGTCCAGGGATCTTATTAAGACTGAATGAGAATGAACGCACCTGAAGGTCCATGATAAGTGTTCACAATGCGATTCTGGTACTCCTCAAAGTCCCTTGCACATTTTGCACAGGCAGTGCGATGTGTCTTGACACCACACAGCTTGAAAGATTTACTACAGAGGTCACATTGGGCCACCTCTGCCATGTTGGTCCCTGTATTAATATTTTAATTCACTGAGTACTGGAAGCAGCTTTAAGGTGTAATACTTACTGATCCGTTCGACCAACTCAAATGAGAAACAACAATGGCGAAGTTTAATCTATATTAGTCACGTCTGAATCTCATTGCAACTGCTTGACAAACATGTACAAAGCATTACGATACCTTGCAATGATGCGAGGTACCATTACTAATTTTAATATTATATTTATTTTAATGACCTGCTATTACAATCGCGGTGGGAAATTTCTGACACACCTGCCGGGAGAAAGCCTTGAATAGTGATATAATTTAAAATATAAATATGAGGGAATGAAAACACTCAACAAGCGGAACTCAATTATACTACCATCCGTTGCTGGTCGGAATGTAAAATAGTAACGATTTTGCTACAAACTCCTCATGGTAGTCTAAATTTACAAGCATCCATGCCTATGTATTGACGATTCAAATATCTTTCAGTATAAATTGACATATTTAGTTGGAGCAGAATTATTTTCTTCTATAACTCATACGACTACAATATCAAGGACTCCTGAATTCATTGATGTGAGCGCTCTCTTTTCGATGTGCCTAATGTTTGTCTGCTATGCATGCATTTCGAAGGCGTGCGAAAATGCTGTACCTTTGCGCACTAGCTGGCACATCAGGGATTCGAATATTTAACATGCAGAGAGCGACCTTGCCATGGATTTTTGTAAGTTACCTAGGTCAACCGCCCCCCAACAGGTCATGTGACTTCACGTGACTTATGAACGACGTGTAACAATGACTAACACACGATGCTTATCTTTGGCGATAGTATGTAATTGTATTGTATGTTCTTTTGAATCTGATGTTCTGGTAATACAATTATGTACTTTCATCACTGGCCGTTGATAGCGCGGGTGCGATAGAACATCGCGTTCGATGTTTCCCTTTCCCATGTTGTTGGACTCCTCTGCCGTGACGAATTCTCTCGTTTCTCTCAACCAAGGCAATTCTCCATCAGGCGGATGAATGATGCACCCTCATGCTCGACAGCATTGAGCATCCTGTGATCGTTGAACTGGATTTGATACTGGAGACCATCACAAAAATCACGGAGGTTTTTGATGTGTGCCTCGAAGCGTTCTTGAAAGGTGTGTGTATCCATCCGTCCGGCCGCTGTATCCACAAACTCATCTTCCGCTTCTTCATTTTCCCTATCAAATATATTTCCCTCTACTCCAGTTGGGTTCTCATGGGCGTCCTCCCCTCCTCTCACCGAGTATTGCAATGTCTGCTGTACCATGGAATCGGGAGGAAGGCTGTCATGCAATGGAACGAGTGATGGGTGCGACCAGAAAGGTAATGTTCGGTTACATTGAACTTCCAAGAAAAATACTGGGCTAACTATATGCACGTCTTGCACTAGATGTTTGCAGACAAGGAACCGGCTCTTGACGAAGTGTGGGCAGGTGCACACCCACTTTCCAACATCGGGGCGATATTTTGCATTCATCGGCATTGTTATCGGTGTTTCGAGTGCTCGTTGCCATTCGCTTTTGAATGATTTGCGCCATGACGACAATTCCCGAAAACGGCCAGTGTCGTGGAGTAAGTGATCTAATTTTTTGGAGTATGATGGTGCGAGCTTGGTGACTAAAATCCATGCCAGAAGATCGATACGAGGCTTCAAAAAATGGTACAAATAGTCAACCTTGATTCGACGCCAGCTAGAATTCGAACGGTGAGTGCATGTTATATACTTATTGAATGATTTACTCACTGGCTTTCCATTATCATAGTCGTCTTTAGTCTCGGTACCTCCATTGGTGCAACTGCTCGTGCCCAAAGCTCCCACCGGCCGTGTCGATACCAATTCTCCCATAGGTAAGCCCAAACCTCGCAAAGATTGTTTTCTTTGCAAAATGTATACATCTGTTTGACCGCCCACTGACGGATGCCAACAGCGCTTGGATGCGAGTAGCCCGGTATTAGTGGATGCGCACAAAAGTGGTGCTCGATCAGTGCAATTACCGTTTCGCGAAGGTGAGTGGGACAAAATACTCTGGAATGAATGTCTGCTGATCGTTCTTCAAGACCTTTCTTTGGTATCTTGATTTTGATTGTTAGCGGATTTCTGTTGGTATTGATTTCATCATCCACTGAATCAACATCATTAGGCTCCGAATCTCTGCTGGAACGGAGCTGAGACAGGTTTGGGATGCAAATTGACAGTGATGGCACGGCCTCGTCCTCAGGGTGGATTTCATCGGGTTTGAGAAGGACACCACCCTCAAATTCTCCAGCGTCTGCAGTACCTGCGGGTGCGAATAAGATGTCAATGAAGGGAAACTCGTGGTTTGCGCGAGCAGGCTTGTATGGAGTTGTTGACAATTTTGATTTTGCTAATCGTTCTCGAATGGCTTTCCACAGGTGCCACCAGCAAAGCTGGATCTTTGCCGTTGGCCAGACAGATTTGGACATGCTGATTTCGGCCATGTCTTTATCGACATGAACAAATCGTGGAATGATGCCATACTTGTCTCGAAGGTAAGTTGTTCATCGTCGCAGTGCTGTTGTTCGTTTCCCAATTTCGATTGCAGTTGCAGTCGAAAGCAAGCAATATGATAACGGAAAGCCAGCATTATCAAATTCACCGAGCACGCTATACAGTTCTAGGTGTTTAGCATTTGTGTTGTCTGATGATTTATGTGAGCCATGGTCAATATAGCTAACCAGAACACCATTACTCACATGTCGCATCAAGGCCAATCTCGACCACCTTCCCTTCTAGCCGCCGGGTTATCTTTTTCATCCCCCAACATAGTTGCTCCACGCCATCCGCCAATTCTACATCAAAGACATCAATATCTCGACCAAATTCGTCCAACAGCATCTTTGCTGAGGTAAGCTGATCTGAATCTTTTTTCCAGAGTATTTCGCTCATCTTCGTCCATGCAAAATGTACCTGTGATGCTGTGATACAAGGATAAAGTGCCTGGATCTTCGGGGCCAATGAGCTTGGACTACTCCACTCGAGCTGGTCACGGATAATCTGGGTCGCATCTGATGGCATAGCCACATCGTAGTAAGGCACATGTGCGTCATGATGCCTCATCCTAATGGATAATGTGCACGCGTTAATTTGGTTACCCATTCTATTGCAGCAAGATATGGTAAGAGCGCTCCGACAAGGGAAGCACTTCATTCCAATTGTATCACGGTGTTTGACACCTTCCTTCTGGCTTGGCCGGGATTTCTGTTTCTTGTCCTCATCTTGACAACACCATAGAATTGTCTTGTGTCCTGTCTTGAGGGGGTAGTTGTGTTGTACCCTGTAAATATCACGGTAAGCGTCAAAACCATGCACCTTATTCGACTTACCTGAAACGATATCCGGTTGTCCTCCAGACCTCAAGTGCTGCCATTTGGACCCTCTCTTTTTCACTTGTGATTGGATCCTCAGGTACAAGGTAACTTCCATGAAATTGGACATCATTTGAGCTTTTAAACGAGGTTCGTAGGGCTGCGAATAGACACTGAGCATTCTCATACTGTGATAGCATGTAAGTACCCTTTTCCTTGAATCCATCTTGAATACTGACTAGGGTGGATTCATCATTGGACTCTGGGTCTGCTGCTTGACTTGTGCCTTCGTCTATATTGCCAGCGGGAGGAGATGGAGCAGGACGGGGAGCTTCTTGTTCCTGTTCTTGTTCTCGCTTCCTCTTCCTCCAAGCAGCAGTACTAAGTCTGTCTGCATCCCGACACTTTTGACAAGTCATCTTTGGGTCATCATGGGGTAGCACTCTCTTGCATTTTGATTTCGAGCATATCCTTTGGTCAGATGACGAGTCTCGGTTCATGTAGGTAGAGTATCACACTTTTCGGTAGGCATCACACAATGTTCATCATGGCACATACATAAGTTCCCAAGGTCACGTGATAAGTCACGTGACCTGTCGGGGGGCGGTTGAGCTGGGACAGCTGATTTTTGTTGCAGATTGCATAAATATAGGTATCACTGTGAGTCTTATCTTGGGCGTCTAATGATACAGGAAGCACGTCGAGGCTGTGAAAAGAAGCATAAAAAGGCCCATATACCTCGGAAACTTAGATCAAGACACTCACAAGCTTCCCAGCAAGGTTCGCTCAACTCGACTAGAATGATGGAAGCAGAGCAGTCCGCCATTCGAATCACTACGGCTACTCAAACATTTAAAGGTCATACTAATAGTATCTTTGCAGTTGCAGTCTTCCCCGATAGACGCCGTATGGTGACGGCCTCGTACGACAAGACACTTCGTCTGTGGGACCTAGAAGGCGGTGGTGTGTTGAAGACAATTGAAGGGCATCGCTTCGCCGTAGAAATAGTTGCAGTATCAAGAGACGGGCAATTCATAGCAAGCGGTGATGATGGTGGAGAGCTCATAGCCTGGAACAGAGACAGCGAATCTCTCACCAAACCTATCAAAGTCCACTCCAAAGAAATATTGGGGCTTGATTTTTCCCCAGACAGCACATGGCTGGCGAGCGGCTCATTTGACACTACAGCGGAGCTCTGGAACACAAAAACATGGCAGGTGCAAGGAAATCCAATCAATTGTGGGACTAACGCTCAAATCTTCTGCGTTCGGTATTCACCCTCTGGTGAACATCTTGCTATCGCAACAAAGCTAAATATCCAAATATGGAATCCAAGCAACAGGAAATGCATTGCGAAGTTCCAGGGTCATTATGCGTTCAATGAAGCATGTAATCTTTCACTCGTGTGGACGCCCGACGGCAAACAGCTTGTCTCGTCTGGTAATAGACGTGACCCCACCCTGCAGATCTGGGATTCATCGACCTGGACACAGGTCGGTGAGCCCTACAAGGGCCATACTGACTCTGTCCACATGATTGCCTTGAACCCTACTGGCACCCTTCTCGCCTCCGCATCTTCCGACCACCAGATTCGCCTTTGGCGGCTTTCAGATCGAAGAACCATCGCCATATTTAAGCACTCCAATAAGGCGTTCTGTGTCACCTTCTCCAAGGATGGCAAGCACATCTTCAGCGGAGGAAAAGATTTTATGATCTCAAAGTGGGCAGTACCTTTTTTGGAGGACATTCACGAGGACCAGCCATCAGATGTAAGATTCTGTCCATCTTACGTCCCTCCTTTATCTTATAGCCTCCAAGGACGCGTTACGGAAAGACACTTTGAAGGAACAAGTGGCAGATAACGTGAGTTTCTGTTCTTTGCTAGCTCATTGCCTGTTGATCCTCAATTTTAATGCCAGTCTGATTGCGAGGCATGTTTCTAGCCTTCACTCTTGCCACGTAATTTGACCATGCGTGATCCAGATCCTCACCATCAACACGACAGCTCGCAATGCATGCATAAGCGGGGACTTGCTCGCTGCTGACAGGATTTTAACTCAAGATATCAATGCGGATGGCAACGACTACAACTCTTATGCGAATCGCTCGTTTGTCAAGGCAAGAAATTCAGACTGGGACTCTGCACTTGATGATGCGCACAAAGTGAGATGACTGTTGCGTCGTGACCTTTTTAACACAGACTTACTTTATATGGCGATATAGAGCATCGGTATTCAGCCATCCTTAATGGGCTGTATCTCGAAGGGCATCGCCCACTGCGGAAAACGACAGTTCCAAGATGCGATGAAAGCATTTGACCTCGCCTTCACGTATGTGGACGCAGACTTGGGTAAAACTCGTCTGCTACTCTTGATTAAGGTATGTCAATTGCGTCTCATACTCGCTACTCACACGATAGCTATTAGGCCATCGCCCTTTTCAATGCAAATCAACATGACGAGGCCATTCTGCGCGTCCAAGAGCTAGCTGCCACTCGTCCTGATCCAAATTCTCTTGCGTGTGGTATCGTGGAAGTGGGTGCTCCTGCCAGTCAACTCGAGAACCATGCGTTGATGCTGATTTTGTGGACCTCGCACATCAGGCTTATCTGCACCTCCAAATGGGAATGAACGCATTAGACAACGCACGTCACAATGAAGCGGCTGACCACTTCACTGCTGCTGTCAACACCATTGGTTTCTCGTCTATGTCGGCCACTCATTCCAGATATGATGTCTTCGTGGTGGTAGGTTGATTTCAATGCACTGGAAATCATTTTTTTTACGCCTTTTTCTAGTTATTTGGGTGGGATCTCGAGTCCTTGTGGCAAACTGCACACCAGAATCGGTGCCATTTGTTGCTTCAGTCAGGTAGACTGCCAGAAGCCATCAAAGCATACCGATACATGATGGATAAGGCTGATGAGGCTACGAAGGCACGATGCCTTGATTGGTCTACCGGCAAGTCTTCATGACGTCCACCAAGTATAAGTAGTAACCTCATTTTCACTTAGTTTTTAAGCAAGATTGCAGCGTGCTCTATGCTGCCGCTGGAGTGGCTGACCTCACTGCGAGCGGAGATTCTGCCCTCGCTGCAGGCGATTATGACAGAGCTATCGAGCTCTACTCTACGGCGATCGACCTCGATTTGGCAACCGGTACAATTTTTGCGAACCGTAGTAAGGCGAGGTCGGGAAAAATGCTATGGGACGATGCACTCCTTGATGCAGAGAAGGTGTGATGACAGCTACCGTTTCGTATCCAACACTCATTTCGCTGATACACAGGTGATCGAACTTGACCCCTCATCTTACTTTGGATATCAGTTGAAGCATGCAGTACTTCACGGCGCACACCGATATGACGAAGCGATCGACGCATTCCAAACCATTCTCTCCAAGTTGGAAAATGCTGCTGACACACAAACACGCAGTACGGTCCCAAATAAGCACAGCCTTACACCTGCTTGACCCTTTTTCCAGGGCTGCGCCAACAATACCTTAATCCATCCAAAGCAGAAGGAGCTATTCAACAGACCATCAAGGATCACCTCGATGACGCCCCGCATCGTATGCTGAATACCCTTGCTGGGCGCTTATGCGATCGACAGGCACAGATTGGTGCCTTCAAAACGAGCACAGAGTACAAGGAGCTTTTGTCATCGACATTGATGCACGCAGAACTCCGAATGGAGCGCATTAAAGATGTCGTGGCGACGTACTTCTGTTGTGTCACGCTATCGCATCGGTGGGAAGGGAATGAACCGCTGCTGCACGACGTCCAGGACAAGGTCGTTGATGAGTTGAATCCAGTTGGGGGCATCATGAAGTTGCAGTCTTTCTGTAAAACTGCTCGTGCTGCGGGGTATCGCTGGGGGTGGATTGATTCATGTTGCATCGACCAGGCCAACAACGTCGAACTCCAAACATCGCTCAATTCCATGTTCGACTGGTATCGCACCTCAGCGCTCACGATGGTCTACCTATCAGATGTTCCGCCATCGTCAAACACAAGGTGCGTTGGCAAGGAGCGCATGGAACACGAGAGGATGGACCGTACCTGAATTCCTCGCTCCAAAAGTCGTTCGCTTCTACCAAAGCGATTGGACCCCGTATCTCGACGACCACTCTCCCAACCACAAGCAGTCTGTCGCGATCATGCAGGAGTTGGAGGGTGCGACAGGGATAGATGCACAAGCCCTTGTCGCATTCCGTCCTGGAATGATAAACGCCCGCGAGAAACTTCAGTGGGTGTCGACGCGTGTCACCACAGTGCAGGAAGACATCGCGTACTCATTATTTGGTGTTTTTGGTGTTCGGCTTCCTGTCATGTATGGTGAGAAGAAGCATAACGCGCTGGGGAGGCTCTTGCAGGAGATCGTAGCTCAGTCGGGCGACATCAGCGCCCTGGACTGGGTGGGGCAATCATCCGAATTCAATAGCTGTCTACCGGCCGACATTACTTCATACAAAGCTCCACCACACACCCTGCCATCTTTGTCCGAAAATGACATTCAGACGTCAATCTCCACGCTTGGACATGTCGCGGCTGTGGATTTGGCCTTGAAACTTTATGTCCTGCTTGACAACCTGAACACGCCTCGTTTCGCTAACTGCAGACTGCATCTGCCTTGCCTTGCATTTCGTGTCACGGCAGTCAAACGGAGTCGTGCCGAGGACCAGGATATATATGAAGTTAAGGCCGAAGGGCTTCATAACCTGCTGATCACCACGGAGGACAAGTTGAATCAGTTCTCATCGCCACGACGCACGATGCAGACATTCTTGCTTGTTCGTCCGTGGAATCGATTTCTCCTCGGGCTTCCTGACTTCGCGGAGCAGTCTGGCTTGGCAGAGCTGCCTGACATTGTCGACGATACGCAGAGTGAGGATGATTATTGGTCTGCACCCGGGTCTCCATTACAGAATTCCTCTGGCGGGTTCCCTGGAGCACAAGAGTTGGTTGATCCAGAACTGAGCTATCGAGCCTTGCAATTAGCTGCTCGCCTTGGACAGCCTTTTGGAGCATTTTTGCTAGCGCAGCAGCGCGGCGGAGAATACAAGAGAATCGCGTCAGATCATGCTATTATTGCACAAGTCCAAGACCTTTCTTCTATTCCGGACATGGTCAAGACGCTAGAGATATTGTAGCGGCATGCGTTTTTGGTGTTATTGATATCAATGATCCAAGAGTATGAATCTGACATATGAGACGATCAACACCCACGGAATGTCCTCGAAGGTGGTATATAAGAAACGATGCAACCGGCCAATTTCATACTCTCCAACCATAGGCTGACCTGTGGCTAAGACTAGAAATTGGATGAATGAGGAACATAATATTCATCACGAATCAAGCCATTGTCCGGAGCATCGTCGTGCTGCAAATGATAGACTCATGTAAGACCTAGACTACAGCGGAAAAAAATGAACTGGGCATGACAATTCGTACAGGGACTCACTCGAGAAGACATGTCGAACGATATTCCTTTAATCCCATGTTCTAGTCTTATCATTGTACTCACTGCAGAGCTACAACATCGAGGCTTGGCAAGTATTATCATAGCTACCCCTATCATGCAATCATTTGTATGTTGTATCTTGGTTGCCGACTGCGTTGAAACTCTCGTGAAGCTCTCCGTTGGCACACTGCAGCATTAGCCAGATATGATCATCAGAAAGCGAATAGAATCGGGCGCGCATGCGGGTGGCCCATTTCTACAATTACCCACATCTAGTATGTATACTTGGTTTAGACGCTCACGAGTAACTGGGCCACGAACGTTACGGTGATCCATTAAGACCCGCCTATCTTCCAAAGTTACCCCATGAATGCACGAAAAATTGTCATGCAAATTGATACAGCTCGGAGATCGTAATGCGTCTGACTCGGTATTTCCACGAGGCTTGATCAATAGTAGACTCAAAAGCCTTGTGTAGGTCCTGAAAATGGTTAAGAACTGTGCACTGCAAGATTTAATCGTTGCAAACACACTTCTGATCAGTCTCTTGGTAACTTGCAAGCTTCCTTTGCAGCTTCCTTGCGGTCGCCCACAAGTAATGTCACATGGTCCGTGCCTTCGAGAACACACTCTCCCGTCGTGACCTTGCTTGATGACGGTTTTGACTTTCATCTTGACTTTGACTTGATATCTGCGCGTTTCCTTGCGGCTTGGACGTGCGATGATACTACAGGTGCACTCGACGTATTAGCAGCGCTGAAAACTCCGAATGAAGGCGTGACGCAAGTAATGCAGTTGTCTTCTTCTTCTAACGGGACTTCATTATTAGAAAGTGAACAAATTGATCGTCGACGACTCATGATGTGTTTGTGCAGCTCTGCGTTCCCCCATGATCTTGATGGTCTAAAGAAGGCAGTGCTCAGTGGCAGTGCTCAGCGCTCAATGCTCGTCTTTGGTTCTGCCCAGCCACTCTGAACCAACGATTGCTACAGCACTATCTCATTCAAATCAATAATTTTACTCTCGTTTCTGTGCTGGAGCATCACCGTCAATACAATCTTGTTCATTTATCAGCAGCGCCTGTCTTTCGTTTCTCGGTCTTTCTTCCTTCTTACAGCTCACTCACCAGTGTCAATGAACACAGATAGCACAATTCTGCGAGCGATCAAGATTTCTTGAACGGAAAGGGTCACCGTCCTCTAACCAATCGTGTTTGTGTTAGTTTTTGCTGTTGGTTCTTGAATTTGACTCTCGTCCTCGATCACACACTCATCAAATCAACCATCTTCCACATCTCCGAGCAACTCGCTCACCTGGGCCTAGCCTACGTACGACACGCATCATTGGTGCTATCCACTTTACCTGCTCGAAAATAGACGACAGTATTAGTGAACGTTATCAACGCCTACCTTTATTTCGACACCCTTCGTCGTGACCAACAATCGTGCATCATCCAATAATAGTGGTACGAGGAGTCTTATCGGACGTATTGTTCACCTTCTTGTGTGCTACCACTGCTGGTCCTCTTTCTCCTCTCACAACACCTGTCGACTCCTCTTTCTGGAGATTTGATGTCCGGATCAAACGATGACTCGACACGCCGTCCACGATTTATTTTGCTATGATATCCGATACCAGCTTCTGGTACAATTCATCCTGCATTCTTGAATAACCCGAGAGGGCATCATCGAAGATCGAATCTGATCCCCCAGCAACAATTAGCGCTGTGACGAATAAGGAGTACTTGCCGTCTTTTTGTACCAAGAATGATAATTGTATGCTCGCCATAGGAGACCGGGAATTTTTTACATGTCTGTCCACTACAGACATATGCAAATGAATATAAATTTTGCTAACTCGCGACCCCAAGCGGAACTCTGACATGAACCTTGCAGTCTTGATTTCGTCTAGGATGCAGGTCACTGACAGCTACGGTACAGCGTAAACGACGGAAGTTGTGTCACATTCCAGGGAGTTGGTTTATTCCCAACCTCTGCGTGAACTCGCCTGTGAACGATGCCCTGCAGCAACAATCAAAACTTCAAGCTAACAGCAACCCACTGCTGCGAGTTGTCGTGCCAGCCTAGTGGAATATGTAAAGAGTCATGGAAGAGGCATCCTCCGTCAGTCATGATACCAGCATGCAGTATGCCAACGCTCGTTCACTGCAGATGATCTCAGACGTGAGGTTGAATCGATTAACGTATCTCTCTGTACGCGCGAGGTTGTAACCACTTATCACAAAAATTTCCATGGTAAGACCACGGCTGCCACGAGAACTTCCAGTTTGAAAGTGATCTTCTCAGCCACTGACGCTGATGACACGAACACTGATCAAAGCACCCGCAGTGGTCACTGGCACCTCCTCGATATCTGTATCAATTCTCAAGGGTGCAAACACATCTCTGACGAAATTAGTTGTCGGTACGAATCAGCAGCAACATTCGAGTTTCACCCAGTCTGCTGTTCAGGGCATCGTTCAATCTGACAACCGTAAATTCATGCTCCGTACTAGGTATCAAAATTGAAAGGGAATAAAAGAATCAAATGGTACACTCAATATTGGAATAAAATCATCGTTACGTGGAGCTAGCAGGATTGATGTTAGCAACTGCGAGGGAACGGTAAAGACTAAGAACTCACTCTTCCCGGCAACTCGACCAGCGTGATCCATGGGCCATGCGGCTCAAATCAAGCTCAACGCCTCCTCTCGGGTAGTGATGTGCATGGCCCGGCTTCAGGCCGTGGGCCAGGCCAAGCCAGGCCTGAATAGGCCAAGCCGAGCCAGGCCAAAGTCACGGCTTGGTGACGGCTTTGGCCTGGCCTGAGATTTTGAGAAGCCGAAGCCGGCGGCTCAAGCCGCGGCTTATGTCACACAGAACTGTGCCTGCAGCGTCGCAAACACCACTCACTTGACAACCCCAGAATCCCACTTCTATCCCATTTTAGACTTTCACTTACCGTTGTATGAGCTCATGACAGTGAGTTGCTGATCTTTGTTCTTTCCAAGCACGACATAACTCACTTTGTTGCTGGTGGATAGATCAATTTCAGTAATTTGCCCTCTTTTACGAGTCTCTTGCGACTTGCAAGCTTGGCAGCTAGCACATTTGTTTTCGGACAAAAGGCGTGCATCTGTGATGGTATTTTTTTCATATCTGTTTCTTACTACTTGTCTCTAATGGTTGGAACCATCCACACAGACAGTGATGACGAATGTCATGCATGACCAGTCTGTCAAAAGAAGCCCAGTGCCGCCCTTCTCCAACATTCAGAGAAGGTGGCTCTCCCATCCCAAACCAAGGCCATCAACGCCTTTCGTGCAGCTGAGGCTACGAGGCATTTGCCTGAAATTCAACACGCTTCCAACATGGATCAAACCACCCCCAGCTCAACAGGTGACACCACACCATCAGGTTCAACCCTGGCAACCTCAGCAGCACTCAAAACGGGTAAATGGATGCGTGTTGAAGCAGTTGTTGATGAATCTGATGGAGAGGAATATGAGGATGCACACACCGAGGAACGTGAAGATGCACGCACCAATCCACGACGTAAGTTTCTTTTTCCATCTGCAAATATAAAACTGATACCCTGGTAGCCAAAAGATTGCGCAAATCAGCGCCAATCAATGTAGATTTGATTGACGATGATGGCATTCCTATTGATGTTCATGTCCAACCCATTACCGACACAGCTACGACATGCGAAGGCAAGACTGCGGATCTCAACGCCTTTTTTGGTGCAACATTCGATCGTACGGGAACCAATGGCAAGGTCAAAAAGCACCAAAAGTGCAAGTTATGCATGTAAGTCCATAAGGTCATGATTGCGCTTGCTCACTCACAGCAAATTAATAGGAAACAGTGTATACTTGTGAACGAAGCTACAACACTTCGTCGTCATGCTGAAGCAAATTTTGCGGTGCGTAAATTTCTTTCATATATTCATTGTGCATATATATATATGATTATACTGTAGGGAAAGTATCGACAATGGGCGAAGGAGAACTCCTTCGAGTCTATGTTACCGGGTGACGTCAAGGCCCGCAAGGAGAAGGCCGAGCAGGCACAGCGGACCATTAACTCGCATCTGACTGAACGCAAACTCTCTGAACGAGTCATACCGTACTCGGATAAGTTATTCAAACAAGCTGCAATTGAATGGTTGGTCGTGATGGACCAAGTATGTATGCTTTGCTTGATCTAATAGTATGACCATTGACACGCCTTCATCTAGCCCATCCAAGCCCTCAAACACCCGAAGTTCCAGGAGATGATCGATGTTGCTTCACAGGCAACAAATGGTGTCAAAATCCCCGGTCGCAAAGCCACCCACACTGAGATCATATGAATATTTAAGAATCATTTGATGAGACTCCGGACGATGTTAAATGTATGTCACAATTCAGCGTGTGCTTTACCACATCTCATCCGCCAACACAGAGCACTGCTGTTAGCGGAGCAATCAATATCACTTGTGACGCGTGGCAAGCCACCAACACTGATGGATATTTCGCTGTCACTGGCCACTGGATCGAAGAGAAGTCAACGATGCAATGGGAGTGCGAAAGCGCACTTCTTGGCTTTACCCAGCTCAACAACGCACACAATGGGAAGCGTCTCGGTGGCACACTGTTCAAAGTTTTAGATCGCGTCGGTATCACACATAAGGCATGTCATTTTTGCATTCTGCTTGGCTTACTAGTCTAATCATGATATATAGTTGGGCCATGTCACTTGTGATAATGCCTCTAACAATGGCACAATGCTCGAGAAGTTTGCTCGACTCTATAAAGCGCATCACAAAAAGGAGTTCCCTTGCTATGAACGAAGGATCAAGTAAGTCACTTGTTTTGCAGTTGATATGTGCTCACATAGTGTTCAGCTGTCTCGCTCATGTGATTAATCTCGGCACCCAAGTACTGATCAGTACATACAGCAAATCTCCGCACTATGAACCTCACAATCCCCATGCTCATGAGCCGGATACCACCAAGCATCAAAATCGTGACGAGATTGGACTCATACATTCGATATGCGTAAAGGTGATTGATATCTCTTCGCACATTACGTTTTACTGAATTATTCAAAGGAGCGATCATCTGCGAAACGTAAGGAACTTTACAAAACAGTGCAAGTCAAGGCTGGTGTCTCGCACCCTACACAACTCCTTCTGGATATGAAGGTCCGTTGGTCCTCGACCTATGTGATGGTCAACCGTGCAGAAAGCAATAAAGAGGTGAGTGTAGTCTGCAGTGTTCAATAATGCAATGTCTAATTTCTGACAACAGCATGTTGACATCTTCGTGTATGAGATGGGGCTACAAGAGCGAGACTTGACAAAACGGGCTAAGATCGACTTCCTTACGCTGGCGCCAGATGAATGGACCCGTGTTGGTAAATTTGCCGATCTATTATCAGTATGTTACCTTCATTATTTGATATTGTGCCACCGCTGATTTAATGTTTCAGTATGCAGACGTTGCCCAGCAGGCCTTCTCGTCAGAATCAACTACTACGCTACATCTTGCTATCCCTGCACTCGAGACTCTCCATCGAGCTTGGTCTTCACGTGCGGAATGGCCAAAATATTCACATTTCACACCAGCATTGCATGCCGCTGCACAAAAGCTCGACAAGTATTATGATAAGACCACTGACTCCCCGGCCTATGTCATGACTATGTGTATGTTCCATTTACCATGTATCCGTGATGCTCATGTTCCATGCAGTGCTTGATCCAACGGGTAAAATGTCGTACTTCAAGAAGAACTGGCCCGAGGATTTGCAAGACGAAGTTCTCGCTTGCGCGAAACGAGTGGTATGTTGGACAAAGTTATTCACCAGCCTACAATCACTTACAAGTCATTTAGTTTGAGGCTCGCTATCTTGAATTGGGCCAGGCAGCATCCATGTCGCAACCTTCGCTTGTCAAGAAAGGCAAGGCTAGCGGACTCAAGAAGTTAATTCGCGAGGCGCAGAGCTCCGATGAAGACGACAATGACGAGACTGTCGTCACCCATACAGATCCATCTAGACCATGGTATGCCAGTTTTGAAAACTATGTCAATGCTGTAGAGACGAAACCTCCGCCTGGAATGAGCATAATTCAATGGTGGGGTGTAAGTACACATCCAAGTCTATCTCGTCTCAATACTGACCAGTCTTTGTTGTAGATTAATGGACACAGATATGGCCCAGTATGGACCTCACTAGCTCGTGACTACCTCTCAATTATGGTGTCGTCAGTTTCGAGTGAGCGCGCGTTCTCACAGGGTGGTATTACCATTAGCAAGCGCCGCAACCGCCTCAAAGGCGACATCGTTGAGGCACTACAGTGCGTCAAATGTGCCCTCCGCCATGATCTACTCTTCCGCGAGCCTGGACCCTCATCATCAACTGAGGAAGCTCTCGAGGACTCTGATATTGAAATGGATGCTAACGAGAAGCTGAGTGATGTCGAAGATGGGGATGAGGAGGGCTGGGATGCTCTTCTGGAGGGAGATGAGGATTTTGTAGAATCAGATGCTGACTCCATGATGTAAATTATCTGCTGAACATGTTTCTCCATTTTCAGTACTTGGGCCGCGGCTCAGGCCAAAGCCGAGCCAAAGCCAGCCATCACTGGCGGCTTTGGCCCGGCCTCGAATTTTCGCAAGCCTAAGCCGTCTGAAGCCAGGCCGAAGCCACGGCTTTCGAGCCAAGCCGGGCCGGAACATCATTACTCTCGGGATTACCATTGCAGTGTCAGGAGAATAAAATGGATGTCAGGAAGCTGGAGGTACCCAGAAAAGGAGCCGATGATTGGGTCCCATCACCCATCCATCAGCCTGCGGCAAGAAAGGGGTTGAATCAGAATCGTGGTGAGAGGGGGGCTCGAGCAAGTCAGTGGGGTTGGGCAGAGCGTGTTCCAAGCTGGATGAAAAAGAAACGAGGCGATTGCTACAGGTTGGGATGACATGGCTTTCTCGGGTGGGAGGTGCGGTGCTTTGATGCAATGGAGATGCGGAAGAATCTGGCTTTCTTGACTCGGGGAATTGGGTGGGAGGTACAGTGCTTTGATGCAATAGAGATGTGGAGGAATCTGGATCTCTTGACTTGGGGGATGGCTGCACTTTCACTACACCCCACATCCGCACAGTGTTATCCCATGAACCAGACGCGATGCGAGTACCATCCGGTGAGAACGAGACTGATGAAACTGTCCAGTTGCCCCTTCAAGGGCTCACCCATGGCTGTCCCGTTGCTACATCCCACATCCGCACAGTCTTATCGGTGAACCAGACGCGATGCGAGTACCATCCGGTGAGAACGAGACTGACCAAACATATCCAGTGTGCCCCTTCAAGGGCTCACCCAATGGCTGTCCCGTCGCTGCATCCCACATCCGCACAGTGTTATCCCGTGAACCAGACGCGATGCGAGTACCATCTGGTGAGAACGAGACTGACTGAACCCCTCCAGTGTGCCCATTGATTATGGCCTGAACAACCGTCCAGTTCAAATCACGACCAGATGCTAGACGAATGGTATTCGGAAACCTTGCCGTGAATTTGCTAGCCATGGTGGAGTTGACGGGCGAGAATGGGAGCGCTGATAAATACAGATGTGGTGTGCTGTGCAAAATCATGGCCCCGAACACTTGAATGAATCTTTGTACATCCATCGTGGTGGACCATAAATCTTCGTATCCAGAATGACCCTGTATCTATTTATGAGCTGTTCGTCCGACACTGCCTCGTAGGCATGTGCTCACCTTCAGCCACTTGGCAACTAGTGGAAGCACAAAAATTGCACCTCTGATTGCATTGAGAATTCCGAGTGCTTCAATCCAGAACATCTGTCGCTCGTCGTCGAAGAGTGATTTTATTTCCTTTGCGAGCTTATCATCAAAGTCTGTTGTTTGGACATGCGTGGCCCAATATCGGCAGGAATAGGATAGATGTGGGGAAATGGATGTTTTAACTCGTTGAGACAGCTCCGTGTCTTGGGAATTAGGGAGGTAGGACGACTTCAAGCCACAGATATTGAAGCGAAGGCCATCTTGCCGGGCCATCATCACTCGTAATGATGCAAATGCAAGGTCGCGTTGTTGCGCCTTCGTTCTCTCGACGAAGAAGTCTCCACTGGATGATTTGTCTGTCAGGAATTCTTGAAAAGTCGCATGAAGAGGTCGGATGGGGGTATTTGAGTCGGTGGTACCGCTGAGGAGGGATCCCATGTGTTTTATTACTACGTCTACTTCGTAATGGTCGTTGTCGTCCGGGAATTGATGCCGCATAGCATTCAGTGAATCTAAAGGGAGGGGTTCGGATGTGGCAAGTATTTGGCCCATCACAGAACGAAACTGCGCTAGTGCTTCCAGGTACTCGTTCTCGCCATACTGATCTCGTGGCCAGATATCTGTCAAAATAAGCCGATACATATCATACAGCTTGTTTGTCCACTGGTGAGGTTCACGATTCACAACAGTTTCAAAGCGAGCCCTTGGGTTTATGCCGGGAAGGTCTGCCTTAATGTATTCGCATGCAAGACGTGCCCACTCGAAAAGTCCATCGACCTTCGCGGCGAGGCGTGCAAACTCCTTGCGCCCGAAACGCGGCAGCCCTTGTAGCTTGTTAGATACAAAAGCACGGATGTCGGACTCCGCCACTTCTGCTGGAATCTTGTCCATGGACAACCGTAGAATATGATCAGCACCTTCAAATTCCTTTTCGATATCGTGAAGTGGGCGAGAGGTGACGAGAATCCGAAAGTTGGAAGGGAGTTCGGTGATTTGGGGAAGCCCATTGTCCTGAAGTTTACCGGCAAGTATGCGGAGGAGGTTACTCCGCGTCTCCACTCCACCGCTCTCATCCAGTGCTTCTATCACGATCAAGACAGGCCCTACACTTGACCCAGAGAACTTCTTCAGCGGTTCCATGAGAAGCTTCCGCCACTGCTGGATAATGTCCGTCGTGTTCTTGAGAGCGTTTGCATTCTTGACTGCATCCGCTAACGCGCGTTTCATCCCCGGGTCACGATCGGCAAGATCGCGCGCGATGGTGGAGAAAATCTTCTCGTGGCGACGATCTGCTTCTCTATGCCGATCAAAACAAAAACATGAACCAAGGCCTCCCGTTTCCTCGAACCAGTTGGCAATAGTGTGGGCGATGGCTGATTTTCCCTTGCCAGCAGGGCCGGATAGCCACATTACACGCGGAACAGAATCTCCGCTGCTGTTGATCCACTTGGTGATTTCGGAGAGAATGTCCGTACGAGTGCCTGACAAACATTGCTTCGCAGTATTTAGTCCTGCGCCCGCTGCATAAGTCATGCCGCTGAGATCGAGTGTTTCGCCTTTGAGTGTATGAGTAGAATTAAAGTTAGAGACATGCAGGAATCCTCACCCGCAAACTGGACAAAGATAGCTACGTCCCGATGAGATTGATCGCGAAATTGCTGCATAAGTCCATCCAAGGCATCGTTGTACCGTGTGATGATATCGTTTGTTTCCGCGACGATGTTTTTACTGGCTCTCTTCCCTATTATCACAGTAAGCATAAGACCGGTTTGCGAATGCTATGACCCACAGAAACTTTTCGTCGCCGAGTATTCCCTGATGAAACGGGCACACTCGAGAGTCTGCTGAGCAATCTTTCCGATGACATCACGCATCGATTCAACCCTGGAAAGATTATCGTCTTGGGTAATGAAACCATAAACTTCATCTAATTTTTGAAGAAGGCGATCTACTGATTCGTCGCGCTCCGCTTGAGCAAGAATAATCTGTATGGAACCATGACTTCTGAGCGGGAGGTAGATTTCCGGGAAAGATAGAACGTACTTTGGCTGCAGCAGAAAGTACGCCCAACGCCATCTTTGCGTATGGATGCACCTATAACTTGATTAGTTCGCTACCAACTAAGGAGAGCAGCCCATACGTTTGCGATCTTGTCGATAGCAGTGTCGAAAATTTTCAGGGGTTGGAGGTAATTGGTCTGGAAATTATCTACGGCAGTGAGACCTGCTGGGGCATTGTTGACAGCGGATATCACAGGCTGCGCATGTCTCCAGGGTGTTTTCATGTTTTCTAAAGCCTTGTGAGCACCCTGAAGTTCGGCATCAACTGATTTGGGACCAGAGATTTCCTCTATGCTAGAGTGGACGTCGAGAACCTGCGCGACCAACAAAATTTAGACATAGAAACTAAATAATTGGATGCAAGTACATTCGAAGCAGGTTCTCCGGATAGCCCTTGGTTGACGCAGCCACTGAGATTCTCAGATGTGGTGGGATACTTGTCATTGATGGAAGAATGCGGATGTGACGTGTCCTGGGCGCCTCTGATCAAAAACAATGAACTGGGAATACGATTTCAAGCACCTACCTGGATGTTCTCACTGGATGAAGCACCTTGACGTCCGACATTCTGGATCGCAGGAATACGCTTGCGGGAACACTTGAAGCGTTTCTGCACGATGTCAGCCAGAATCAGGAAACTCAGCAAGCTACCTACAGAAAGTTTCTTGGTGATCTTTTTCGCAAATTTCCAAGTACCCTGTTTGACTCGACTACTGGGCTGGCTCTGGACGAAGAAAGCGTCGGGAGCAACGATGAATTTCATGAGCGCTCATCCACAGCAAGTAAGCCTTTGAGACTACATACCGAGCTTTCAGGAATGGTTGCTTCACAGGTTTCTGGAGGAGGATCTGGCCTATTGTCGCTCATGACAGCGGACGATTACTGCGAGCGAAGTGGGTGCAAGAAGTAGGTGAGAAAGGAGAGGACCTCTAGGATGAGCCGAATACTGTTGACCGAAGCATAGCCAACACGTTGGCTAAGTTCTTTAAGCGCTAACTGCCAGTCATATGCCCATTGCCGAAGGAATAACTTGAAGGGAACCGTGACAGCAGGGATAGCCTTGCCATAAACCTTACCACAAAGCGAAGTATTGAATTCCACCATTCGATATCAAATTTGAAGGTGATCACATCTCTCCGATGAAGAATTGATAACGGCGTCTTTGGCACGATGTAACAGGGAGCTTGGTGCGAGAGAGAGCAGACATCCATACGCTCTTCCTCTTCGGTTGGCAGGTTCGACGATATCCATTCTCCTTTGTCCAGACTGATCTCTGCATTATGGCAAAAGGATCGGGTTTGTCTATTATTGTCCGCTTTGTGATAGTTGATCATCCTGGAACAGTCCATCATGTGCTATTGCCTAGAGCTGGCTTGTCCTAACCTGGCTCACGACTCTTGTCTGGCTTCCAAAGAAAAAAATTCTGATAGATAGAAACATGGAATATTCTTCTTCGTCCGGAGATTCGCATGTTGATCTACAATGCACAGAGAAACTGATTACTTTGCAAGCCAGATCCAAGTCATCTTTACGGTGCTACCTTTAATATCCATAGCCTCATGTTCAATCAATCAGCCTTCAGGTAGCTCCATAACCCCAATTCTCAATGGAAATGTCAAGCCGCCGCACGACAACACATTTGCCTAACACAGCATCCAATAAACGGTGTTTCACTGTTTGAAGGGTCAATCGAGTCCTTTGGGGTCAGTCACCCTACATGTATCTTTCCTTCATATATAAGAGTCCTCGAGACTCACTTAACAGTTGAGTCGTTTGTATTTCTCGCTCGAATCTGTCTACTACACTTTATACAATGTCCACTCCTACTTCCAATGAGGTGCACCGCACCAATGCGTCATTGTGAGGATTGCTTTGTTGCGTGAAAGCTGCATGTCGCTCATCGCAATTTTAATTCAGGGATATCATGTTCCTCCAAGACGCTACAGAGAATCAACAGCCCTACATCGACACCGCACGCAACGAGATCAACCAGATCTCTAACACCCTTTTATCTGGGGAAAATTTCGCCCCGGAAGACATCAGATTCGGTCTTGTTGCCTTCCGCGATCACCCTCCTGAAGAGGACAGCTTCGTCATCCAGGAATACCCTTTCACGTCCGATGTTGCAAGTTTTGCGTCTGATTTGGCCAGCTTAAAAGCGGAAGGCGGTGGAGATCTACCTGATTGTCAAGGTGATGCTCTGGCCGCTGCCTACAAGGCTGACTGGAGGGACGGAGCGACAAAGGTTGTGGTGCTGGTTACCGATTCACTCCCACATGGGGTCATAAATGACGACAGAAACGACGGAGACGGCTTCCCTTTAGGGTGTCCACTTCGTAAATCATACTTTTGTTCTTCAGTTCATAATGGATCAGCGACTAATGCTAAATTAGAAAACGACCCGCTCCGTATTGCGAAGAGCATGGGAATAGCTGGTATCACTCTGGTATGTCGATCATTCTACATCTCGTGCTAGAGTTTAATCTCAACACAGCATGTGATTGCGTGCGAGCCTACTCTGAGTAACGATCACAAGGTGAGATCATTTTCTTTATGCTGTCGTGTCAGATGCGTTATTGATCACGCAGGGAGGCCGTGATTTCTACCAAGGGTTAGCGAAGAGAACGGGGTAAGACGATCATACTGGCTTCGATCATTCATCAATAAATTGACTACGTGTGATAGAGGGAGAATGATCGATCTCAGCGATATGAGCGTGCTGCCCACTCTCATCGCTGGTTCTGCTCTAGAAGCAGTCGACAGCGAGCTTTACGTTACCAAGCATCGTGCTGAAGTTCGCAGCATCGCGGACAAGGATAATATCAGCGCCAAAGATATTTCTTTGAGGCTACACAAGGACTTGGTGGCCGCAGGCGTGCAGCACAGCACCCTTGTCGTCGACAATGTGTACCATAAGAACTTCGAGGTTGCAGGCGTCCAACAGAGCACCATCGTTGTCGATAACGTGTGCGAACAGCGAGACCAGCATGTCGACACATGGTTTAATGCTGAGAATCTCGGCGAAGGCAGGAAGAAGATCCAGCAGGTAGGCCAAGTGTCGACGAATCTTTGCGTTCTTGACTCTCATAACTCCATCCAGCTTGGAGTCGATCGTGTTGTCGAAAATTACCAGGCCAATGTGGTGGTGGCGGAACAATCAGCTGGTGTGGAGACGAAGCTGATCAGCTTGGCTCAGGTGATCTTTTCCTCGCTCGTATTGATGTCGATGTTTTTAGTGACCGCTTTCACAAGGTCGAGGCTGTCGTTCACAAGTGTCTTGTGAGAGAATTATGAGTGTGAAGATCGTGTTGTTTTCGTGGATATGTACTCGTATTACCTGGCTGGAAAAATGTAACACCATGGCGAATGACATTGAATTGAAGGCTCAGCGTCTGCGGAGTTGTTCGCTTGTATTTTTTGACCTTCAAGTTGGACACTAAGTCCATATCTTGCCTAAACCCATGCATGTCTAGGCACAGTCGGCATGTCCACCCTTACTTCTCGAATTCCTCAGTACCAGCTGCGTTAGACGCGCGCGCATACTGTCGGTACCCGTACTAGCTCTCCAACTTCGACTGTTGCGTGAGGTGAAGACGAATCGAGTGCGAAGGCGTCGTAAGGTTGGGCTGGGTCTGAGCGTTAGCTCGGGCTGGACGCTGAAGGAATGAGCCGCTGGGTGGGCTGGGAACAAACGAACAACGATTAAATTAGTGACGCCAGTGTATGAAGCAAATCGATTGGAGTGCGTAAGGGAGAATTAATAAATGTTCAAACCGGGTCAGCACATTCTGATCTTGGTCTCGGTTTCAGAGGGTTTAGAAACAAAGGGTGGGATGAGTTATTGTCTACCACACTGTACTTTTCCCTGCCAAGTGCACTTAACTGCACTTATTGAAACACGGCCTCAATCAGGAGACCGGCAACCTTCGACAGTAGTACCACTGTGCCTTTGATATTAAAGGTTAAGCAATGGCTGGTTAAAGGCTTTTGTCAAGCTCATCGCGAGAGTGACACGTTGTCTCCCTTTGCAGCTCTCGTCTGGATTTGTTGTTGGCTGTCCTCAGAGACAAGTGCGCGCGCTCCCAAGGTTGCTATCTGCCAATTAAGGACCTTATGAGGCCCCGTCTATTACAAGTCAACCCATGGCAACAGTGAGCGGCAATGCCATATTACAGGAGGGTAGGCATAACACAAGTCCGCACAAAATATTCATGAAAACGACTATCTTTAGTGAGCTCCGGGTGAAATGTGGTGAGCATATGTTGTCCTTGCCGTAATGCGACGATACTTTGTGAATCGTCCGGGCTAGAGTCGCCTTCGTCATGTAGTATCAGCTTCTGTGACTTTGGCACCAGGTTAACCGGTAAGCGAGCGATGACTTCTATTGGTGGGTTCTCGGTGGATGGATGTAAAGCTAAGATAACCTTTTCGATGAAAGTTCAATGAATACAACGATATGGATGAGCGCAAAAAACGCACAGGAGCACGAATGAATACACCCATAAAAGGAGTGGTTGGATCCAGCAGACCGTCTATTGAGAGAGGTGCTTCGAAAGACTCGACCTTGGCGAGACAGTATCAACAAAGAAAAGACTGCAAAACATGATTTTCATACCTGTGAACCCCAACCATTCCGAGCTATGGTAACTGATATTCCGCCAAGAAGCTCCTGACCACCTTTTTTGGTGTTCTCGACTGCCTGTGCAAGAAGAATCGCTCCAGCACAAGTTCCCCAGACGGGCTTCTTCTGCAAAAACGTCCGTAGAGGTTCTAAAAGCCCAGAAAGCTTAGCGAGGAATGCAATAGTCGTGGATTCTATCGGGTGATGTGAGTAAATTTAGATAAAATGACGTTGATCTTACCTCCTCCGGGGATTATCAGAGCATCACATGCTGAAAGATCTTCTGCAGTCCGAACAAGAACAACTGCGATTTTCTTCTGGCATGAGAGCTTTTGCAGGGCGGTCTTATGTTCTGCGAAAGCTCCTTGAAGGGCTGGATTTTTCCTATAAGTCTATATTATGCCAGCACACATACCATACTTACCTAGTATGCCGATGGTAACGTTATTGCTGGCCTGGACGTAGGTCATGATGAGAAAGACAGACACTGAAGCGATCTGTTTACACGTCGCAGAACTCACGGGAACAACTGCGGATTCTAGGCGGAATGATACGGATCGAGTCAGTTAAAACATGTGGTCTTTGAGGAGAAAAATTGGCTGTTGGCCGACGCGGCCCGCGCGGTGCAGGGCGTGGGACTTTTTTAGGCATAAGTGATGACACGATGACTAAGACCCAAGGTCTTTTTCACTCTCACTGCAACCACCATCATGTCTGAGCTTGACGCTGACCTTTATGGCGGTATATATTTTCAAAGCTTGCGAACTGTCCATTTTTTTTGACTTGTCACTTTTCTAGATCTCTACGGCAACGATGAGTCTGAATTTCCAACTTCAGCAGAAAACGGCGACCAATCTAAAGCGGAAGAGTCTGTTCTGCCGGAAGCGCCCTCTCAAGTACCTGCTGCTTCCACCATAAAGGCTCCCCTGCCACAATCAAAACAGCCTTCACCGGTCGTGCCGGCCGCCTCCATCAAAGCACCTATAACGGAGACCTATCCAGTACAGACTTACGAAGAATACGCATCAACTACCGCTCAATCAGGACCTCCTGCCTATACTGCTCCCGCTACGCAGCAAATTCCGACTTATCAACAACCTCAGTCCGACTATGCAGCAGACATGGGCCAACATGAAGGTGTGGGTAGTTATGACCGTCAACATAGCCACGAGAGAAGTGTGCGGCCCTCAGAGATGAAAGACGAAGGGTGAGTTGGTTAGGACAGTTCTACTAACTTTCTATAAAAAAAATTGGGTCATGCATTTTTGCTGGGAAATATTGGATCGTAGTCGTTGACGGTCAATAATGCCGACGTAGTTGCTCGGTCATCGTCACGCTAGCTACTCAGCTATGTCGACTAGGACGACTAGTCTAGCTCTAGCATATTCGCGTTCTCTACGTCCAGTCTAAGCTAGGCTAGCCATAACGCGAACAGACAGTAGCGTCTTCCCTTTTCTCCTCTGTCATAACAACCCCTGTCTCTACAGAAACTAATAACGAGCTTTGCTTTTCATATCGTACGCTCAATTACCGACGTCCGAACGTATACCTCGTGTCTTCGACCATGTTGCCTCGCGCGTGCGACACTATCTATAGCAAGATGTTCATTGGCGGTCTTAACTGGGACACAACCGATGGTACTTACATCATTATTACTTGCTCTGTACCGTTCGGTAGTACTAAAATAAGGTCGTTCGCGGCAGAGTCCCTCAGGAATTACTTCTCCCAGTTCGGTAGAGTAGATGCATGCACGATCATGCGCGATGCTGCTGGCCGGTCGAGATGCTTCGCCTTTTTGACCTTTGACGATCCCGCAAGCGTTAATGCGGTGATGGTGCGGGAGCACTTTTTAGATGGCAAGATTGTACGTACAATATTGTATCTAGCATTGGAGTTCTATTTACCCGTTACCCAAGATTGATCCAAAGAGAGCAATACCTAGACAAGAGCACCAACGCGCCACAAAATTATTCATCGGCGGTCTTGCAGGGAGTGTGACGTCCGAGTCGATGCGAGACTTCTTCTCGCAGTTTGGCAAGGTCATTGATTCGACTGTCATGTTAGACCGTGAGACAGGGAGAAGCAAGGGTTTTGGATTTGTTTCATTTGAAGACACAAATGTCCAGCCCTTCCTCGGTTTTGGGAACCTAGAGATCGATGGGAAATTGGTATGTGACGAATGTGCCGTATCTATAGATAGATTCATTCATTTACGCACTTTATTTAAGATTGATGTGAAACTAGCGCAACCGCGTTATCAGCGCGACAATTTTAATGAGGACGGTGGTCAGCAACAACAGTACACCAACAAGGGCGGAAATTTCAATGCGGCAGCTAACGCTATGCCCGCAGCACCCTCGGGCAACACTCCATTTGATCCCCAGGCTCTTGCCGCGTTGTACACCCGCATGTTCCAAATGGCAGGCGGAGGTGGTATGATGGGAGGCATGGGTATGAGTATGAATCCAGGCATGACCCCTGGCATCAACCCGGGTATGATGGGTGGCATGGGTGGTTATGGTGGCGCAGGCATGGGCATGGGCAGAGGTGGAATGGGAAGCCCCGCAATAGCAGGTAGTATGGGTGGAGGACCAGGGATGGGTGGTGGAATGGGGCGAGGGGGACAGGGTATGGGGGGCGGTGGTACACCTACAGGGCCTGCCAGCCTGGGTCCGAATGTTCCACGCGGTCCACGAGGAGCACAAGGCAGTCCGAGTGGTCCTGGTGGTCTTGGCGTTGGTCCACAACGTGCGGGACAGCGAGGGCAGCACAGCTACCATCCCTATGCGCGCTAATTTTCATGACATCCGAGTCCGAGTCGCTGGATTTGCATTGCAACTAACTTATCAATTCAAAAGCTGGTCCGTGTACGCATGAAGATGGTGGACCTTTCATATACATTTATATGCAGTACGGTAGTCTTGTTCGTCTTTTTCGCTTTTTAGTATGTTCAGAAGCCGTATGGAATGAATTATTTGTGCCTGCTGCATCACCAGGTTCCACGAATTTGGAAATTTACAAATAGATAACAACAACACGAGGTACAATTGCAAAATGCTTCCGCCAGATCTTTTGCATATTGAGCTCGAACTAAACATCTCTCTAGCTGTTAGTCCTGACACCAACACTCGCGATACAACCTGAACCATAGACAGGGCGCCTACTGTGTGCCCTGAACATGCCCCCTCATGTGGACGTAGTCATCGTTTTTTGTGCTATCCAAAAAGGAGCCAGCTTTTCTAAAGAGCAAGTGCGCCAGAATGCTGTCAAGGCAGAAAAGCAGTATTCTAAGCTCATTAATACGCTCACACGCGCCGGCCTCAAGGCTGTTGGGAGGCGTGGAGAGAGCCAGGGTCAATTACTAGTCTTGGTGACTTGCCCGCAGAATGTGCTTGCGAACCTTATTCATTGTGAACGGTGAGTTTCACAACGAGTTCACCGTCTATCTTCTCATGCATGCATGCCAGACATTCGGACTTTTTGTACGGACTTCCAATGTCAAAGTTGCCGTCCACGAACGACTTTGAATCAGCCCCATTATCTCCTGCCGACCGTATCCGTTTAATCCACGGATTCATTTCTTCCACTCCCGAAGATGGAGGCTTGGGTATCATTCCAGGGCGAAAAGAGTGGAATCTTGTGGAGTCTGTGATGGCACTTCACGATCATGACTTCAATGATCACTGGATCCACCTATGGACGCGGCACCGAATAGAGAGCGTGGAACTCGAAAAGATTCGAGACCAGGTTTGTCAATTATTTTTGTTCCTTGTACATCATTATAACGAAGTTGTCCTAGTTCGGAGATTCCGTTGCGCTCTACTTTTTTTTCCTCACAGCATACACGCGGGCTCTAATATTTCCCGCGGCATTGGGCGCTATCTATTATCTCTGGGGAAAACCTTACTCTGCTTCTTACTCCACTTTACTCCTGTTGTGGTCAATTGCGTTCGTCGAATGGTGGAGACTCCAGGAACGTATCCTGTCAATCAGATGGTGTATCCGTGGTTCGTGGCGTGTGGAAAAGCGGAGGGCTGATTATCTCCCGAGCTTCCCCTGGTGGAAGCAGGAGATGCGCATGATGGCTGGCCTACCAGTCATACTACTCTTTGCAACTATCCTGGCGGTTATATTGACAGGCACATTCGTCCTTGAAGCCTTTGTGACCCAGCTTTACAAGGGTCCTGGCCACACATATGTGGTAAGTTTCATTATGCCTGCTGCTTACCGCCTTTCTGAGCACCGTTCGTTTAAGTCTTTCGCCCCAACGATACTTTTCTCGCTCCTTGTTCCTCGGTTGCTAGCAATGTATCCACAAGCTCGCCACAAACTTCACGGATTGGGAAAATCACAAACATCAATCGAATCATAGTTGGTCTCTTTCATTGAAGGTTTTCGCGCTCTCTGCGATGAATGCATATCTTGGCCTTGCACTGTCCGCATTCGTCTATGTCCCTTTCGGGGAAAGTGTCATGAACTTTGTCCAGTCCTACTTGTCCACAGGTGGTCATCGTGCGTTGGTCTTACTGGAGAAATTTAATGTCAATTTCAACGCCACGTCCTATCTCGGTGCTAGAGGAAGCAGTGGAAACAAAATCAGTGCGGCCGGACTCAGTTTATGGGAGTCGGATAGGAGAAACGCGCGACGCATGTTGAATTCATCGAGGCTTCAGGAACAGATGTTCGCCTTTTCGGTCACAAATCAAGTGGTGGATACCTTCACAGCTATTGGCTTGCCATACATCCTCCGTGCCGTGGAATCGTTCCGCAATGGGAAAGGTTTTCGGAATGGTAGCGGAAAGGGACACGGGAAAAAAAAGCGGGTGGCATTTGATGACGAACCTGTAGGGCATGATGCACACGGTAGAGAGGAGCGCGAATTCCTCGAGCGCGTTCGGAGCGAAGTGGTGCTGCCAGAGTATGATGTGTTCACGGACTACAGCGAGATGGTGACACAGTTTGGCTACGTCGCTCTTTGGTCAACGATATGGCCACTTGCACCGGCGATGGCACTTTTCAACAACTACATTGAGGCGCGCTCTGATGCGTTCAAAATCACGGTGCACACCCGACGACCGACACCTGTTCGAACAGATACGATAGGGCCATGGCTTGAGTCTCTATCCCTTCTAACATGGTTGTCGGCTCTCACGAACTCTGCACTGGTATACCTCTTCCGTCCCCCTGATCAACAGGAGCATGAGGCGGGCACCATGGTGAATACGAATGCGGCTGATCAGTCACAGGATCTGAATCATCAACGACCCAATGGTCTCGCTGGAACCCGGGAACTTCTCGTGTCCGCTCTGTTGATCGCGATGTTAGCGTCCCATGGTTATCTCGTAATGCGTGCCGCCGTCCGACATGTCTTGAAACGTGCCATATGGACAGGAAGCAAGGAGATGAAGGAGGCAGAACGCGTGGAGAGGGAGATGAAGGAAAAATATCTGAGTAGCCTCGGGCAGTGCACGCCTAGCGAAAATATGATCTCGGAAGTGACGGGCGAGAAGGATGAGTGGGCCACCTTCTGGACAATAGACGAGGGTATGGATGATATAGGGAAAATGCTGAAAGATGTTTGAGTTGTCGGACCGTGGGTCGATGAATTATGTTTGGCATTGGACCTGGATATCTCGTTGGTATCTTTATTTCGGCGGGGTTTCATTGTCACTAACGTTTTTGTTTCCTTCGCGATCCCAGAGATGATATCCTGTAGATATATGGGAGTTCTCAGTCTTGTGCATTTGGCAGGCGATTCGGACTAAATTGGACTAAACGGTTTCAAGTGGCAGGCCAGCGAAGACGACGATCATGTCGTGATTCGTTTCTTGTACTCGGGCCTTGTTCCGTCAACACATTGCAATCATGTCAATGATGTGTTTCTTGTACTCGAGCCTCCTTGCATCAAAGACGTGAACGACGAGAGCAAACGGAGATACTCACCTTGCTTACATCTTCATTCTCTTCAATTATCTAGGACATGTCTTAATATCACGGTCGTTATTATGAGCCGGAGCGCGCTGTGTTGTGCTAATGACCTCGGCTCTTGAGGTTCTTTGTCTTCATCATCATCTCCTCTACCGGAACAGGTCAAGGACCTCGCGGGACTGGATTCTTGGTGATGGCTTCCCCGGACCCGGAGGGATGAGGGGCGAACAGGGTGGAATGTTAGCCGTATACCTGCAACCTCCACCCGACCCATAGACCGAGCTACTGGTGGCCATCTTCGGTTTCCTAAACAAGGGACCCAAGTTCCACATTTCAGGCCATCCACAAAATCCCGACGTGGGACAGCGATGACGACCGATGCTACTGAAGATTACACGGTGTTGGTGACGTGGCCGAAAGATAAAATTGGAACACACCTGTCATTTTACGCATGAGTTTATGGAGCAGCGAGAGTGTTGAGTTGACAAGAGCTGAAGCGCCTGAACCATTGGGCCAGCGACCAGACCGGGGAGATTGGCATGCTGAAGGAGTAAGCAGTACAGAGAGATGGTATTGAATACCTGACGGGACACATCAGCGAAGTGCCGAGCAGATCCCGTACACGCTGTGGATGAGGGTAAGCAATTAGTGCGTCTCTCAGTGGCTTCCTCGTTCTTGATGCACGTCGGAGATACCATTTCATCGACTAGTAAGGCAAAGTACAGACCACCAGGTGTGAGGCTACAAATGTGCCAGCGCACACATGACACATCATGATGCAAACCTGTAGCGTTCAAAGCTACTTCAGGTTGTTGATGCTCACGACTTGGGTGCAATGAGAAAAACAAAGCCTGAGTCATATAATGCATAGAGGAAGTATATACGGAACATGTCATGCGGTGATGGGTGGCAGGGTGGATGAACAAGAGTCCTCGTCACAATGGTAGAATGGACATGAGGCTGTCGGTACTAGGACGCCAATGAGACGCGTGTATAAACGCCACACATCTAGTTAAGCAGGACTGGGGCTGTTTATACACCACAGCAAGCGGCCGATAGGCTATCTGATTTGGACCAGCGTGACGGAGAATTGTCATCTGTATATGATAAACACGTGGACGACCACATCGGTTTGCTCTATTGATGACTACGAGATACATAAACAACTTATACTCGACTGAGCCAATTCGCACCTCGGACAACCCTGAAAGGGGTCACGTACTTCATGATTACGTATACACACCCAACCTTCAGATTCAACGGCAACCAACCCTAAACAGGTGTCCTCGCTTCACTCGATAACGAGAATGACGTCGCGGGTTTTGTCGTATGATGATATTGAACGCCTGTACTAACACCAAGAATTTCGTCCGCCTCTCGGGACCCGGCGAGCGGGACGTCTTTCCGAAGCGAAACCTTGACAGGATCTTCGCCAGTAATATGCGCCAATGCAAACATAACGTCAAGGTCTTTCATGAAACAATTAACCAGGAGCTGGACAAAAGACGCACAAAACTCACCTTCTAAAGACCGACCGCCGGTTTCAGGGAAGAAAAAGTAAACAACTGGAATAATGGCTACATTCAGGGCTGCAAAAACGATGTAGGTTCTCCAGGAGATGTTGTTGAAGGATGGGCCAACGACCATTACGACGACGAAGTTGAAAGTCCAGTTTGACGCTGGGAAAAGAATAGGTAAGTGGATTTATCTCCATGTCTTGGCGTACGAGTGACAAACCCGTGCTTAGTGCATTTGTTGGTGCACGGATTCTGAGCCCAACAAGCTCAGCACACTGGAAATCGCCGAAAAGTCAACCAAAAAAAAAATTAAAAATTGCCGTTGCTGTACTCACGTATAACCACGCCATTCCAAGCCACCCAATAGCAAAAAACGTGTTGAAGCCGAATAACAGGACTACGCTCACAATCTGGGCTGGTCCATTGTTGATATATCCTAAGATAGCCAAGAGCAGCATTACGATAGATTGACCGATGGCTCCAATCAGCATGAGTTGACGCCTGCCAACATAGTCTATTGCATAATAAGCAATAAAAGAAGCGAGAAAATATTCTGTGCCATTGGCAGCAGCGGTAATGCGTGCGTCGACATCGGAGAGACCAAGACGCTGGAATACAATGGTCTGTGTGATCTCAGTATTGCCGCAGTAGATTATGTGGTCGCATAACATACAGCGTAACTGTTGAAAGCGCATTTTTAGATCACAACAAGTCACATCAAGGGGGCTGAAATACCCACTAGGTAACGAGGTTGATGCCAGTCAGCTGCTGCATCATCTGACATACCACAGCAATGACTGTTCGTCTGAAGTTCTGGCTGCGACCCCCGGTAGTGAGTTCACGTAGTGAACCTTGACTAGTAGATGTTTCAACAGCAACAGCCTCACGAATGCCGTAGTAAGTGCGCTGAACTTCTGGATCAGAGGGAGGTTTGTCTTCCATTGCGGATATAACCGCCATCGCTTCTGCATTTCGGCCGTGCTTTACCAACCTAAGATTCTGATCAGCTTCGCAAAAATCACGGAGAATGACAAAAACTTACCATCTCGGTGACTCAGGAAGCTTACGTAGGGTGCCAGATCGAATCCGTTAGCACAAGTATACACATTTTCAGGGGAGAAACAGAACTCACAAATCCGACGCATGTCACCACAATAATTTCAAACACTAATTGCAGCGATATCGGAACTCTCCACTGAGCAGACGACCAATTTACGAAGAATCTGTTTTGATGGTTGTCATCGGTCAGTCAAACTTAACCTGGGCGTGACACTGAACATACAGTGCTAAATCAATCCACTAAAAAAACCACGTCAGAAAAGTGAACAAATGAAAATAACAATTTGCGTACATAGCTGTAAGACAGCAATCAATTTAACAAAATAAATCAATACAGTAACACACTCACGCAATAGCTACTCCAAACACGATCAGAGTCCCCTCCATCATAATCCTAGAAGGATTCCGTGAGCTATTTATCTATCGCATATGAATGACATACATTCGACCCCTCTTTGCAGAAGGGGAGAGCTCCGCATGATATATTGGTACTGTCGATGTCTACAAACAAATTTGTTTCAGCAGGACTTTGAAGCCAATGATAAGCACCACTGACTATCAGACCAGTTCCGCAGCCTGTGAAGATACGAGCAAAAATCAAGTGTGCGAAAGAAAATGCAGTTGTTTGCAGGATTGCCCCTGAGAAAATTAGCTGGTACTCTAAACGCAATATAGTTCGCCTACCGATCATCATTATGCTGCCTGCTAAAGCAATTGTCTTACGGCGACCGAGCTTATCACCAACCCAAAGATTGGAAAGAGCACCGAAGAGACAGCCTACTTCCTGCATTGTATAAGCGCAAAAGGTGGGGTATAAAAGGTGAAAACATACATAGATGGCAATTGTGAAGCTCTGAAGAGTTGCATGATTGGGGTGGCTGGCCTCCACTACGACTTCAGGAAAGGTAGCTTCAAACTTTTAGAATGTGATATATACATATTCGCATGCAAGCTATAGAATATGTCGTTACCTGATTACCCGTAATTAGTGACGACATGACACCTTGGTCATATCTGAATCGCAAAATAAGAAGATTTCGATTTCGAGTTACTTGACGCACCCAAGGAGTGTGAATCCAGTTCCTGCTACAAACGCCACTGCAACCGTTAGCTTACGACCGCGCAACGAGGGCGTATGAGCAGCGATATCTGCTGGATCCAAGTCGAATTGTTGATTTATCTGCTCATGGTTAACATCAGTCTTTTCTACCATAGATGGCCAACATTTATCCTGATCAGATAGAGGAAGAGACATAGTGCTGCGTAGACACCGATTCTTATTGTTGAAGGACGAGATTTAAATACTTGGGCAGCTCGCCTTCGATCCTGACGAATGGGTCTATTTCCATGCCTGCTGATATGACCTCAAAAGCGGGGATCAGGATGCAGCTGCGGAGATCAAAATGGTTCTGCCGTTCATGATTGGAGATAAGGTCGACTATCGAATTGTACGGTTCGGATTTTGTGATGCAGGGCAGTGATGTGTTCTGAAGAATTGAAGTGGATTCTGTGAAGAACTCCCGGTTCAGTTGAGTATTATAGCTCAAGACACGTTTCGTGAATAAAAATAGGCTAGCGAATTCTTGAATATAGCGCTGGCACGAAATGTAATGAAGGTGTGAAACCTAGTGAACATTGAAGTCGCGAGGCTCTTGATAAATGAAAGACATGAAGCAGGCAAGAAGTCTTGAATTTGCATGCAAGCTACAATGTGATGTAGTTAGATGACGAGAATGACCACCTAGATTAGCACTGGCAGGTGATCACCGTGAGCTGAAGCAGATGACTTGCTAAATGCTTGGCCTGGTCTCATGGTTTCAACTTGGCACGGAGCCCAAGTCAGTGACTCTCACAATATATCGGTAGAAGAGCCTGCGGTGCCACAGATGGGGACCAGACCCTGGCCATGGTAGATATCAACTGGACCGTGATTTGATTCGTCGCTGAACCAGCTCAGAAGGAAAGAAGAGGTGCGTAATTCGGGAGTGAAACATGGTGCCGTCGGACCTTGCCGAAGGATCGGTACCGTCGTTCCCACAGTACGGGACTCTCAGGCTTCAGCTCGAGCTTCGTCGACACATTAGGGACGTTCAAAGTTGGGCGCCCACGCCCACCGCCCACGCCCATGACCCCTTCGCCCACGCGTCGTCACCTAAAATGTAGTTTGCATAATTAGATAATACAAAGTAATTCTGAAAATTTATTGGTTTGTTACCTTCACTCACCATCAATCAGATCTGCGCATATGGCGAAGAAGAAGGATAACGGCGTCACAATCCCGGAGATTGTCTGGACTGATGACTTGGTCTGGCAGCTATTGGTGCAGATTGAACTATCGGAGAACAGAGTCGTGCTTCTAGGCAAACGGAAGAAGGGCGAGGTAAGTGAGTCAAAGTTGTCATATATGATACGAGATATGATGTTTCTGTGTCAGAACACGTCAGGTGATAGCAAAGTGACGGTGTATCAGCGCATGGTGGCTGCCGTTTTCCCGCAATTGCACAGCCAGAATGCTGTCGCAATGGGGGACCGA